TTTTTTTTTACTCTCTTCGTCTCTTATTACATTTGTCGGCATTTTATTTACTCTACTCTTTAACCAAATATTATATTTCTCATTCGGTTTCCATTATAATATGTTTACGTTATACTGTACTCTTAACAGTTTTAATACATCCCTACGTGGCTTTATATTTCGAAAATTTATTGAGAAACATTTGTCATTGAGTGATATATCTCAATGAAAAACTGATATTATTAAATTGACTATTTACACAAATTTGTCAACACTCATTCCATCTATTAAAAAAAACGTAAATTTTTCGTAGAAAATGAATCGTAATTTCATGAACACTCTTAATTCATCGGAACCACTCAGAATCAAAACTTTGATGAGTATTTATAAATGATGCTTCGTGTAAATAATAAATAAATGATAGTAATACATTACTGAGACCAAGAGTAAAAACCGTATTTTTATTTTTTTAATTTACTTTATTTGATAGGTAGTTTGAATTTATAGGTTTGCAGTTCAACAAAAACAAAATCATACTAAACATTTTTTTCTAGCCATTTGTTACATAAAATTGATCATTTAACAATTGAATACTGTTGCAAATTAGAAAAAAAATTTTAAAATACTAAATTCTACTCCTAAATTAAGTATAGAAATAAATTAACTACTTTAAAAATATGTTATGTTCAAATGATCTTGTTTTTTTATTCTACACTGCTAGTCATTAACTAATAAGTGCTAATGTACAACTCGTATTTTCATTATTATAACTTTTTTCTAATTTAGATTTCAATTATAAAGCATTTTTTAACAATTTATTATATTTGTTAGCCCACCCGTACTTCATTTTATTATAAGAAAAAATATATATTAAATTTTATAAGCCTTCAAAACTTAAACATCAATTTTGAATATTGTCAGTATATATTAACAAATTTATTATCAAAAATATACGATTAAGTGAGCTGTGCATTCATTAAGGTTTATCGATACGATACAGTATACTATTCAAATACGAAGTGATATATTTCTTCACTATAGAATTATTATGTTTACCAGAAAATTAATTCAAGTTTTTAGCAATTAATATTTGTTTCAAATAGCTTCATACATTCACACTATTCAAACGATACTTTATTTATGAAGTTACTTTAATTCTTCTTCATCTTTCTCGTCTTAATCCCAACTACTTGAGGTTGGCCACCCTTATTCTAAACTTCCACTTGACACGATCTCCCACATCATCTGTCCTCATATCGCATTCAATAGCATCCCTTTTTTGGTCTTTCTCTACCTTTTCTTCCTTCTATAATCTATAACTGTTCTTACAGCTTCCTATTCTTCTCTCCTCATAACATAACCAAACCATCTAAGTCTATTTGCTCTCATCTTATCCAAGATTGACGCTACCCCTATATTCTCTCTTATATGCTCGTTCCTTATCCTATCTTCTCTAGTCACTCCAATCATCCATCTAAGCATTCTCATCTCTGCTACACTCATTCTCTACTTTACTTTCTTATCAACCACCTAACACTCTGAACTATACATCATAGCTGGCCTCACTACAGTCTTGTAGAATTAACTTTTCAGCCTCATTGGAATTCTTTTATCGCATAAGACGTCATACGCTTCTCTCCACTTCAACCACCCGCACTTAATCCTGTGTCTTACATCTTCGTCAATACAACCGCTCCTTTGCACAACTGACCCTAAATACTTAAAACTTTCCACCTCTCCAATCACGTCCTCACCTATTGTCACTGATCTCCTCATTTCACCTACCTCGTGTTCTCCTTTGTCAAACTCGTACTCTATATACTCTATCATACTTCTACTTATTCTTAAACCCTGTTCTTCAAAAGCTGATCTCCACACCTCTAGCCTTTGATTAATTTCCTCCCTATTTTCTCATATTAACACTATATTGTCAGCAAACAATATGCACCATGGAACCTCTTCTTGTATTTCTCTAGTAATTTCTATGGAGTTATTTTAATAAATTAAAAATTACGTATTTTATTAGTAATAAGTTTGTTAACATCGGAAATCTTAATAAATATTATTAAGATATCTTAATTAATATTATTGAAACATTTTCCGACATCTAAAATTAATTTGCCTAATCGAATTTTTTTCAAAATTATTCTTTGAATTAGCAACCAATTGAAAATTTATTGGCTATTGGTATAGCTATATTAATATTGGTCGCTTCATTAGCGTTTAAAAGAATAACCCTTCTTAGTACCATATTGAAATTGCAGTAATTTTTTTTTTACCCATATTTCATATTCAGGTAAAATAACATTAAAACCATTTTTCAGCTATTTATTAAACAAATTAGGATAATCAATATGTAATTAATGGTTATAAGCAATATATCATTATTCTGAAAAGCTTATCTTTTTTGTTTTAAGTTTGTATGAAACCGTAAAAACTTTCGCAATCATTTATTTATAATTAGGATATCGATAAAATGATTAATGAACTTTAAGATTGATTAGTATTTTTTTTCTTAATCCTTAGAAAAAAAAAATCCGAAAAAAATAGTCGAGATCTACCATAGTGGGAAACCGACATAACAAACTCTACTATAGTCTGATATTTGTGGTTGTATAAAGAAAAAATTGAAACATTTTAACCAAAATTAACCGAATACTCTCTGAAGACAAGTCGTTTAGACAATCGTTTTTTAATGTTATAGCACACATCAAAATCTTTAATTTAACAAAAATTGTCAAACGTTGCAAAACATATTCAAAATTGAGTTGGAAAATAAAATTTGTATGCGTGGGTGGTTTTACTTAAATCCTCCTATACTTTGATTCAGTAGCATATAAAGAGGGAGACAAATGAAACCCTTCCCCATTGACAGCAATATTCATCTTTAAATTAAAGTGGTGAAAAAAAAGAAAAAAGTAACAGTTTTTTAGATAAATACAAATATATAAAATTTGTTCAGATTAAAAATTTAAATTGTAAAATTTTAACTAACTTGCTTTTGCATTGAAGAGTTTACTTAACATTTATTGATACGTTGAGGGTTCACACCCTCCCCTCTCACCACACTAACACACAGAAAATTAGTACCAGCTAAAGTTAATACTTGCAAAATTTTATAGCCAAATTAATATTAAAGGAATAAAAAGAATTATATACTGTACGTGTAATTCGCGTAATTTTATAATAATCAATAAACTAAATATATTTTTCTATGCAAATTTAAACACTGATGATGATTTTGATACGTATTTTTTAATTTTACTAACGTGTTTTAAGGGGTAAAATTTATATCGCGATTCATGAAAGTATTACTTCTTTATTGTAATAAAAGATTGGAACTACATAGACTTAGGTCTTTTAGCGCCTTGTACAAGAATTATTTTGTCTCCAGTACAGCCACACTCATTGATTATAACTAAATCCGCTGGTCCTATTTTTACCCTAAATAAAATCCGAAAAAAATCGGTTGCCTTCCCCTATTGTAAATTTATATGCTTGTCACAAAGTTATCAACATTTATTTCCTGATGAATAGAGAAGACATAAACAAGTATTTTCTTCGAAACTTAATTTATTACTACTAAAATTCAACACACGATGTCATTGTGATCAACGTCAACAACATCGCTAAATAAAAATACGCCGTTCAATTCATAAATGAACATCATCAACATCATTGGAAGTGCGAATTTATTTATTTTTCCTATTTAAAGGAATAAATATATTACAATGTGTATTAAAATCAATACGATAAAAAGTTATTATTTAATTACAAAACAAAGAAAGGAATAAACTTACTCCTAATTATCTACTCACTTTCGAGTTTACTTAAGAAATGTATTAAAAAGAAAAAGATTATAGAACCCAAAATATTTCTATATAAAATGTTCAACTCGTATAACATTAAGAACAAAGTGTTCAAAAAATTAGAGAGATGAATATTCAATTCAGTTTAGGTTTAGTACAAGAAAATTCTATACAGAAAAAATAATTTTTGAGATAAATGCATTTTTATGTTTTACTATTGCGTAACCTTTGATAGGGACAATTTAGTGAGCTCTGATTGGTTTCATCTAACAATGTTATCTCTCTACTTTTGATTTTCTATGTTACAATATTTTTTCTTTCTGTAACAATTTCAAACTTTCAGGAGCTCATAAAAATTTATCCCTGAATTTTAATGTTATAAAATCTAAATAATTACACTACATTATATTATAATGTTATTTAATTTTAAATAAAAACAATTTTTATCATACATTGGACATTAATAATATCATCCTAGTAAAATAAAAACGTATACGTTAATAATTGAAAAATGATTAAATTTGCATGATAAATGTGCGTCTCACAAAAAAATAATTTATAATAATATTAACAGCCCATATCTGTAATAAATTCTATCAACATAGTTAAAATCGTCATAGGTAATAGTCAACCAATATCTACAGTTGTAAAAGTAATATTTTAGAGTAAATATTTCTATTTTGGGATAGCTTAAAGTATTATATGTCCCTCTATGCGACATCAAATTCGTTTTAGTATAGTGGACTACTTACTGCGTTTAAGTTTACTTTTATCTTTGCTTTTTCCATTTTTCTTTTTTGTTAGTTATAATATTATATAATATTTGACATTTAATAAAATATAAATAACTCACAGGTAAAAATGAAACAATGAAAAGACCATGTCTAACAGTATTGTTAGAAATGTTACTAACTTCAAATACCTGTAATTCGGTAACGTAGGCAAATGGTTAACTGTGGTTTGCACACGTACATAAGTGCTGAAGGACGAAGAATCAAACCGTTTTATTTATTTTAAGGGCCTTTCTTTCGATAGGTCCTTTTTGAATTGAACTTTTCATTCAATCGATTTCAAAATAATCAGTACCTTTTATGATTTCATCTTGGTTATATAATTTTTGGTTAAGCGTTTTTTTTATCTTCTTTTTTATATATATATATATATATTGATTTTAAATATAAATTCAGACATTAAAATGAGAAAAAAAATTACCTGATTTGTCTTGCTGACCACTTGCTGCCGAGAAAAGTAAACATTTAGTGATGACCACTATCAGCACGTACGACAGATCCATTTTTAAAGTGCGTTGTGATTATTTCCCCTAAATGTTGTTAAGACATTTAAAAAGCTACGAGTGGAGTTACGATGAGGAGGGGAATCTGTGACATTTTCATAATAGTTACGATAGATTTCCTTTTGTGGCGACACAAAGAAATCCTGTGCAATCAACGAACGCCAACGGCGCCAGCGGAAAACTAACACGCTGATTTTCCTACCGCCAACGAAAAACGGATTTCCCGGCACGTAAGTACACACCGTTTTTTGGTCGAAGGGACGCAAGCGTAATCACATGTACAAGTGAAAATACATAAACGCAAGCGCGTTCCAACATCGCTGACGACGGTTGACGCTAATTTTGTTAAGAAGTTTCGACAAACCGTCATTTCAGAAACATTCGATTTACTATCTATTCATGAAGATACAATAAAGTCAATCATTGCTTTATTTTTTTTCTGTAGACGATTACCACGACGTTTATATATAAAATCTACCATTTCGCCACTCACTAATTTAATTGAAAAATCTAAAGCTTTGAAACGTCTCAAGATTTTTAAACATATTTTCATTAAATACTTGAAATGGTTTGCTTGCTTTTTTAGCTCTTATGTTGATTACTAAAATAAGTTTGTAATATTTAAAGTATTTTATGATGTAAAAATAAATTATTTTTAAAGAGTTCGACTGACTCTAAAATATGTATAAAAAAATTTACTGTGTAACAATCCTTTTGTTTTATAAACAAAACTTACTAGACCGATTTTACTCAATGATACGTCAAAAGATCACAAATCGTATGTAGTTGAAGAAATTACCCCATAAATAGTAAACATTTCCCAAAAACTTACGATTTTTAAAATCAATAAATTTCGACATTTTTTTCATTTTTTTTTTCTGAAAATTGCCATAACTTTTTGAAAAATGAATTTAAAAAAAAATTTTTTATATTGAAATCTTAAATATTTCCCTTTAATTTGATATAAATTGTTGAAAATCTGACCCTTTACCTGACCACAGGGGGGGATTCAAAATAGCAACTTCTGCACAAAAATTTAACTTTTTCAACTTAAGTTTTGAAAATGTTCCGGAAATACTCCGAGCTTCAAACATATGTTAAAATAAAGCTAATATTAAGTACTATAAGTTCAAAAAAAAAAAAATTCGTCCCGACGACTTATCTTCTATGTGCAAAAGGTTGCCGTAGTTAAAAAAACATGCTATTTTTGTGTTAAAATTCTTGGTATTGTATTTTAATTCTAATTGACATAGAACATAATGTTAAACTTATTTCAATTTTTTTAATTTTAACATTTGAATCAGCTTAAATTGCCAGTTTTATCAAAAATCGAATGCGATGATCGTTTTCCGATTGTTTGCCCGTGGTAATGATTTTTCCGTAATTATTTTTGAGTTAGAATTTTGCTCTTCAATAATCCACCAATTTCTTAAAATTTAACATTTTTTACATTTAACAAATCTACAGATTTGCATCAAATCGTTTCTTATGATAATGATTTTAATCACTGTCAGATATCATCTATACTAGTCCCAACTATGCCAAGCTCACACTGTTTGTTTTTGTTCATACCATTGGCCAATGCATAATCCAATGTGAATAATGGTCTAGAGGTAAATTACCCTCGTCGTATTTATCTGACAATAATGGTCCAGTTGTCACTATTAAAAGAATTGCTGTATATTTTTTAATATCGTAGTACACTTCAAGAGCTTTAATTTATTCAGATTAAAATAAAGAAGACGTTACCGAACATTTTCAAAAATTTAGTTGAATAAAAATGTATTATATTACGTGAATGATCTACTTCAAATAATTCTTGAACTTACGTTTTCACCTGAATATTATCCCTAGTTACAGTGTTTAAAATTCAAAAGGGTAAGTGTATTATTGAAAGAGCAATAGTAAAATGAAATATCGTCAGTATGTTTTTCTTTTTTTTATCATAAAGTATTCTTAAAAAACTTTAATTATTTATAGTTTTGAAGAACACAGATGTCCTAAAAAATTTTTGAAAATTGAAAACTAAGATTTTTTTGCGAAAATTGCGTTTTTTTGCTTTGGCGTTTAATTTTACTCAGTAGAAAGGTCGTTAGAACCATTTTTTTTATCATAAAGTACGTTTCAAGAGCTTTAATTTAGTTTACATCTAAAGAATGCAGACATTTTGGAAGTTTGAAAAATAGAAATGAAAAAAAATTATATGTTTCAGTAGTCTCTTTCAAATTTTTCCTGCCAGTTTTTCTTTGGATTTTCACAAAAAGCATACTAAAATAAAGTTTATTGTTTCTATTACATTGTATTAAAAATTTATTAGAATCAGAATTTTCAAAGTGATAATTATTTTAAAATACAGAATATTTGTTTTTGGTAATGCTATTTTTATGTTATCATAATTTTGAGATTTTTTTTTTTTTATTAAAAAAATTGAGTTTTTTCTTTAATTTTCGAAGATTATATCTTCAAATAGATTGAATTCGATTTATTTTGACGTATAGATCATAAAAATCAGTCCAGTGAGAGCTGAGAATTTATATGACAGACACAAAAAAAAACGCTCATCACGGTAAAACAAATACCTTGATTAATAAATTGATGTGAAGATGAGATCTTCACATCAAAGCAAAAAAAAAGTAATCACTCGATTTACCCAATATTGATGTGAATTAATGTGAATTTAAGTACAATACTCAATATAAAAAAAACTATCATATAAGTCGTGCCACTTTACATAATTAATTTTAGGCATAGTAATCAAATCAATCTTTGATTGTTAAAAAACATAACAATGAATTTTCACAATAAATCACAGTTCTTTGTAATTAGTATTTAAAAGTTTTATCATAACAAAAATAATAAACTTAAAGAAACAATTGAATTTTTAATAATGAAATAGTACATTTAAAAATTTTAAAAATGCTGTTATTTAAAACATAACTTGTTCAATAGTTCATATTTCTTAACAAAAATTGTAATGTTTTGTGGAAGTAAAACTTATAGCTTAACAAATTATCGACAACTTTTTTGTTAACTAGCTAATAAATTCTATACAATTAATTCTATCACATTTATAAAATTGATTTTTCAGCATTTTAGAAAATTGATTTCTTTCTTCTACAATGCCTTTTAATAACTAACATATAAAATAACACTATTAAAACACTGCATGAAAGTATATATGAAAGCATACAAGTGTTTATATCTACTTTCCATTCATCTTGTTCATGTACATTGAAATCATTATGTACCACATGTACTGGTCGACTATCCCAAAGATTACTTGGTGGTTCATTGGGAAAATTGTTGATTGATGTACGCAGCATATTAATGTCCGAATATATATTCTTAAGATAAAATAACACTTCCTTTTCATTCCATTCTAAGCTATTGTCAAAATGACATTTTTTACAATGTTCTCGAGTAGGGAACTGTACTTTAGGAAACAAGGGGTCTTCAGTCACGTCACCAGAAAGTCTTTTATTTACTTGATTGTGAGCTTTCCAAAGCCACAACACTGCATCATCAAATGTTGAGACATTGCCATGCATTGTAGTAGTCATTTGCATAAAATGTTCAGAGCATTCAGTACATCCAAAGAAATGTTTAACATAACCAGAAATACCATCTAGTATATCAACTCCAGAGAATTCATTTAAGTTCATATTTGCTGCTTGTACAGTTAGTGTATGAAACAGAGTCCATAATCCACATGGATATTTTCTATATATATGTTGACTTCCCCTGCACCCAATCCATTCACGTTGTGTCGTATATGGATTTAATTTTGACTCATAACTTAATATATTTTCACTAAGATCATCTCCTTTTATTTCTTTTTTATAAATAATTTTTTCCCATAACATTTTAATAAATTTTTTACCTTTTGACTTTGAGTTAGAAGGAAAAAATTTACTAAGTATTTCAAGATAATTTTTTAATGCTGACAATGTTTCACCAGATATAATACTTCGAGAAACTATTTCATGAGTTAAAGAATAACTTAATGTAGCTTCTAAATCTGATAAATACACAACATCAATATTATGATCTAATATTTTTTCTCTAGTAGGTAATAGACCATTACTTTTAGTAGAGACATCCAAATATTTTGGAAGAAATTTAAGTACATTATTTAATTTTTGATTTATGTGTTGGACCATTTCATTTTTCTTTGAACTACTAGTTAAAAAAATTAAATTATCGTTAACAAGTTGATACAGACTAGGATATTTTTTTGGTTTCATTTGATCAATTAAAATATCATTAGTACTTAATACTGATATAATTTTAATTTCTTTCATTGCACAATAATCAATGATTAATTCATTAGCAAGTTCATTTTCTGGAACATCTACAACTACAAATGTAAACAGAAACTGTTTATCTGACAAAAGTGTTCCTTTTTCAAATGGTTGAAGGTCACACAAATAAGTTATATTTCCTGATTTTTGACTTTCAGCAAGACTTTTGGTTAGTGCTTTTTTCATTTCATTTGTCTTAATAGATCTTAAAAAATCAATTCCAATATCCCCATACTTAGGATGTGGAGGAAAATATCGCACAGTAGGATAAGCCATTACTTCATAGTCACGACATATTTGACTATTCTTGGAATCTGAACAATCAATTGCACCAATTTGTACATAACTACTCCAATCTAAATCAAATAAATAATATTAATTAATTTTTTATAGCCTTAATATAAACATTTAAAAAATTAATATCAAATATAAGATATCACCTATTTATTCAGAAATTTAGAATTAATATTCATACACATAAATTAACGAATGGACACAAAAATTTATCCATTCTTTATTATTATAGTTATATTCAACTAATTATTTCTCCTTAACAACAATTAGTGTTTAATATATAAAAAAATTACCAGAAACTTCAAGTCCAAATTCTTTCCAGGTACTCGCAAATCGTATGCAATGTCCACAATATGCATTGTAAAATTCTATCACATATGATATGTTACCATTTATCAATGTATTATTAAAATTATTGCTGTCCAATATAACTAAATCATCAGTTTCATCATAAAGTCCTATTACTGCACCTTGTACTATTTGAAATGATAGGATTGATACAATAAAAACAATCCAGTTTTGAAGAAACATTTTTGTAAACAAAATCATATAGGCAAATGCCAAAACTGAAAATTTACATTAAATCATTATTTACTAAACAAAAGATTTAAGAAACACTCACAGAAATTAAAATATATTAAACCAACACAAATTAAGTGATTATACTTCAACCAATGTACAACTAACAAGATTTAAAATAAATTATTCTTAATCTAAAATTTTGAAACTTAAAAGTCCATCATACTTATAAAAGTTTAGTAAATAATTAAATGAATACAATTTATTAAGTAGTAAAAGTATTTATTATTGTTTTCTTTAAAAGTAAATTCACTGATCAACAACGGCCAAATGTATCTAGCAATAGCAATATTTCTGCGAATCAAATACAGCTCTACAGAGACCTCTATAATATTAATATACCACTTAATTTTACACAGTATGACGGTATAATAGTCCGATATATTTAGTAAAGTTTAACAAATTATACTATATTCTTATATATTTTTAAAACACTAATAGGATTTCCATGTGTGATAAGAAAAATGAAACATTGATAAGAACAGATCATGACTGTACTTCATGTAATACTTTCATATCCTGTTACTTCAGTTTACCTGAGTATCTAAAGTACACTAGTAAGAATAAATTTCTGACTAAGTCCAAATTCTAATTGTGTGTGAGATTAGATAATTATTGACTAGCTAAGTTAAGCTTTAATTATTCGCATAAACCTAGTTAATAGAAGTATTGTATTTCGTAAATAACAACTGTACTCTAAAAAATAACTAGAATTCTCAGAATTGGTTATAAGATTTATACATAAATAAGTTTATACAGTATGTCACCTATAATTTTTTATTCAGTACCTATTTTACAGTATTCTTTTTAAATCATTTTTACACTTTAGGGCTACAATAATAGTATAAATTATAATATTTTTTTTATTTATTTAAAGAAATAAAAAAATATTTAACTTAAGAAATTAGATTAAACAATTTTCAAGATTTTTAGAACATTTTAAAGTTTGTGAACATTTGAATTTTTAAGTTTATTTCACGATCTCATTAGTATTACTTTATTACAACTCAAAATAAATATTGGATATTGAAAAATTCTTAAATAAAAACATACCAAATTCATCCAATTAATCTAAAGTGTTTTATCAAAGTGAGTTACATAAGTTGCAATCAATATATGAAAATCACACTCAGATTTCAATAAAACGCGACATAATAATAGACAAGTACATCGAAAATACGTTGAACTGTTAACGAATCATAACATTTTCAAATAAAATATTATTGATAAATCAATTAATGAGAAATTAGGCGGACAATACAAATTATTGAAAATTCAAATGTATTATTATGATAATTCAGACAAAATTTATTTTCGAATTGAAATTAAATTTTTAGTAGTAAATAATTGAAACTATTTTTTTTTTTACTTGTGATAAAGTAAAACCAAAGAGGTTTTATTACTAAAATGATAATATTACTAGAAGTGTTTTTCATATTTAACAAGTACTCGTTCATTCAAATTATGATAATTTTCATAGAAAAAATTGTACCATTAACTAATATTTAGTATGAACAGATTTCGTTCTCTTCTATCCTTTTCTTAATAATAATACAGACGTTTAATATTGAGAAAAGAAACTTTAAAATGTTCTAAAAATTTAACTACAAACCATTACTAAGAAATTTTCCTACCTAGTTTTTACTTAAAATCTGCTCTACGATATGGGGCTATGTTAAAACTTCTTTAAACTGATTTCTTAAATTTTTATTATTTTAAATAAATTTAAAATATTGTAATTTATACTATTATTTTAATTCTGAGGTATAAAAATAAAAAAAAAATCTGTTTGTATACAAGGTATGCCACCATGATCTGACATTTTTGAAAACTTTAGATCCAGCAAATATTTTGCGTCACTTTTTTACAATATTTGTCTTTAATAAGAAAAAAATTAAAACTTTTTTTTATTTAAAATTAGCCACTTGTTAGTTTTTTTCTTAGATAAATTTTTGATGGGTCAAAAATAATTTTAAAACAGTATATATAAAATTACAAACTTTTTAATACATGCAGAACCAGTGGAATGCACAAAAGCTTATACTAGTTGGTTGTGTTGAGTTTACCACCCCCGCTACATACCCACTCTATACTGAATGCTCAGTAAATTTTTACTTACTTACGAAACTGTAAAATTATTTAAAAATAATAATAATAATATAAAATTTAAAACAATTTTTCTTATTAGAAACAATTTATAATGAAAAAAGAAAAGTAAAGCAAAATATTCGCTTCGATCGAAAGTAATTAATGATGTTAGAATGAGACATCATTATATATTTAAACTTGAGTATACCTATAGGTTTTACTAATACTCTTCACTTATATACATAGGTTATCATTATTTTTAAATTTTTTTTTATATTTTATATTCAAAATGTCGTTAATTTTTCTTAGCTTGTAACTAGTTATTTATTTTTAAATCTTTTTCTAAAGTTCTACGTTTATTGAATGGACCAAAAATTAATCATACATAGACAAAAATAAAATATGCATAATACTTATCACATACGTACTTGGAAATAGAAGTAATAGCAATTATTGATTACTTAAATTATTTTATTATATTTTTTAAACTAGTGGCATTTTTATAGTCGAAAATATGTCCAAAAAATATTTTTAAAATTATTAATTTACTTAAATGATAATATATTTGTGTAATCTAAAAGTATAACGTGTTTTGTATTTGTTATTTAAAATATTATATTTGTTTGGTGTATGTATATTAACAAAAATATGTATATCGTTAAACAAAAAGAATTAGTTTTTAAGAAAAAATTAAAAATCATTTATTTGTTCATGACTATTGTTTTATTAATTATAGTACGTACATGTTAATAGTTATAAGGATTTTAGGGAAACATTTTTTTTTTTTATTAAATTGTTTTCTAAGATAAAAATGTAGTAATTTATTATGGGTCTTAACTTTTAACCTTTATAAATTTAAATGCATTCTATAATATTCCATATATTCTAAAATTAACTACTCAATCCAATTTAAATTATTTTATGGGTTGCATTTAAATTTATTAAGGTTAGACCCATTATAAAATATTACATTTTTACCTTAATATAGAACACAAGTAATATAAAAAAAAAATTTAGCCTAAAATCCTTATAGTTGTTAATTTTTTTTATACATATAATCTATTATATATACATGCATAATATGCATGCAACTATATACTATATCAAACAATGATCATGTACAAATAAATTACTTTTTGTTTTTTTTATTACTATTTTTGGTAATCAGACATAATTCTAAATGCGGTTGTACATTGTTTGTACAGTTGGGAAAGTTTTTTGCGTAATTGAAAGAAAAATTTTGGGCATCTGAAAATTACTAAAATGATAAATAGAAGCAAGTTACATGAATACATCTTAAAAATATTAATATTTTAATTGAGTTTTAGAAGTTCGATGCTAAGCTGATTGTTTGGGTTTTTCCATGTTTTTTTTTTTTGTACTTGTTCATAAAAATTCTTATCTCTCGACCGATTTTGTTGATCTATGCGTCAAATGAACTCAATTTTAAAAATTTAGAAAGACATCTAAAAATTACGCCACCATAAAATATGGCTTTTTCATTTTTTTTTTTTTTTTGAATACTGATAATGATACAATTGTAATATAATAGAAAGTATTCTTCTGATCTATGGTGGTCATCGGTGTAGGGTTTTAAGGGTACTTAGCTTCACTAGAATTGAATCATTACTCCAAATGTTATATTAACTGTAATTTATTTTGATTGTCAATATTTTAAATATGGTTATCTATTCGATTTTAATTCGAAAAAAATGTAAAATATTCAGCCAAAAGATGATAATATAAATCGTACTGAAAAATTGTGCAATACTATTGTTTTCTTATTGGGTTAATAATAGATTTCTTGTTCGATACAGGTTCTTAAATTACCTTTTGTTAAGACTATACTTTACAATGAATGAGTAGATAACATAATAATTAAGATATATATTTTAGACATGTGGTTTTTGTTGTTCAATTAAGACGTTTAGTTCAAAGTTCACCGGTTTTTCAGTAAATATTAAAAATATTGAAAATAGACATAGATGTATTTAAAAAATTAATTAAGGTATTTTATTATGCATTAATAAATTGATTAATGTTATTAATGAAATATTGATGTATGACTAATAGGGGTGTGGGGGCCAAACTCTTGCTGGTCACTTTGTAAGAATTATTCTAGTCACTCCGAAAATTCAACCAAATGTCCGTATATGCGCTCCTAGTATTTGCTTTTTATAAAAGAACGAAATACAGGAAGGATTTTACCGTCAATGTAAAAAAAAATTGCTTTATGTTCATGTAAGATTGTGATTGATTTTGTAACAGAAGAGTATAGACTAAGCAATTACAGAAATGTTCAATATTTATATATTGTGTGATAAATAAAAAAATTTATCAAGTGTTTAATATTTGAGTGAAATTTTAAAACGTAGCAATTGTAAAATTAGAAATATACAAAATCTTGTTAAATTTAATAGATATACATCGAAATGTTTATATGGTAGTGGTGTTAATCACTGTCATATATCATATATAATTGTCCTAACTATGCAGCGATCCCAGTGTTGGACTTTTTTCCTTGGTATTATCATAATAACGTGTTCAAATTCTGAATAGAAGAAAAAAATTGTGTAATTATTTATTGGTCAATAAATCAGTTGTATAGCTAGAATTTTTTTTCGATTGTGCGTGGGAGAAATATATTATTAAAAAAAAATTTTTTTTTGCTCAATATACATTATAAAATACAATAATTCGGTCATGACATGAATTTCTAAGAGGGGGCGGTTGCAGTTTCATTAGTCCTATTGAGGTAAATAATTATCAGCATTTTTTTTTTTCTAAATTATTAATTTTATAAAACACCCCAAAATATGGTCGTTAAAGCCCAATTTTATCCTCAAGTGACCGTGGTTTCATACTGTTTAAAATACAAAAAAAATTAGTTATAATTTAATGTATCCCCAAATTACATTTTGATAAATAATTTCTACTGTGGTTGTAACCGTTTTATGATAATTCAATATATACTAATAAGAAAATACAAATTTTTAAACAATGACATGTAGTAAATTAATATTTTGTTCATTTATATATTATCTATAAATAGGGGAAGATGGGGTAAGATGACGAATTCAGTATTTTTCAAAATCAATCGCATGTAGTGCAACACATGCCGAATATCATAAATGGTATACTTTGTTACTCACCAGTACCACATATACGATAAATATAATCTTATCTGAACTAGTACTAACACATGTGCGCGCACGTTAATATTAATTGTGGTTAAATATTCATATTTTGTGTGTTTTGGCGTAATTTTTGAACATCAAAACTTTCGGTAGTAATATGCTTAGGAAAAATGTTCAAATTTCTCTTTGAAATATTCTAAAAGTATTACTTAATACCTAATAAGGACCCGTCCATGTTGTACTTCGGCAAATAGAAGATGGACACTATACTGATTTGTCTATATTTGAATATTGGAAAATAAATTCAATATTTTATTGTGACACGGGTGCCGGCGTTTCTGAATTTTCGCAATACCGCAACAACTTTGTCAGCCATCACTCTACTTTTGCGAATAACATTAGTTCGACTGATTATGACGGTGTACGATATTTCGATGGTACAAAGTCCAATAATGACAGTAATACTGTGTAGTCTTTCATAAGACGAATTAACGACGTCGGGGTGTACGCCGCCAATTTCGGTACACGATAATCCGATACCGCACCAGCTTACCGTCGCCATTAACGTTATTCACTTTCTAAGGTCAAGTGCCAAAAAAAAATTAATACGAATACATTTTTTTTCATAAGATGTATTTTGTTTAAAAATATATAAAATAGGGGTGCCAAATACAAGATTGTCCTAAGACGCCAACGACAGTTAGCACAGCACTGCATGCCGGACACCGTGTCGTCGACGTTAGCGATTTTATGCGAAGAGAACAATTTATTGCGTTCGTCTTTTCGGTTTTTAAATAATCTGTTGTTGTTCATTAATAATAAACGATTCGTATGGTCTCTACTATCTAAACCAGTACCGCCGACTACATTTAGGAGATGTAGTCGTTAAACAATTGTTTATCGTTATTTTAATTAAACAGTCGAATTCTAAATTTTACAATTTTTAAACAGTTTATTGCAATATGAAAATGCAGAAACTAATTGTGATAGTGCCGTTCTTGACAAATGCTGAATTTTGAAATATTTGTTTAAAATTGAAAGTGTTTTTATAATTTTTGAAGGTGATAACCAAAAACGGAAAGAGTTATTTAAATTATAAGGTATCTTATCTGTTAAAAAATGTGTGTCCTTTCCTATCATAAATTTCTAAATACGCCCTTGGTTACTATAACCGAAATAGATGTTTTGATTGTATTGGTATAATTGTTGGATCTGATTAAATTATATATATTTTTCCTTAAAACATCAATTAATTAATATTTTGCGTACATTTAAAGTTGGACTCGTAAAACTATATCGAAAATTATTATAAACATCTGTGCTAAAAACAGCTGTAAACAATAATTTATAAACTGCCGTCTGACATTTCAGATTTAGTTCCTTCCCATATTTATTTAAAGTAAATTATTCTATCTGTTAGCTTTTTAACGACATGCTTCAATCCCATTTTTTCTTCAACTTATATTCTTATCATACATAAATAAATTGGGACTATGTTCAAAATTGATATGTTGCTCGCTAAAATTTATGCTGATTTAACTGTGAAAACAAAATTTCAATTTGATTAAAATAAAAAAAACTCCAACTCACTATTTCTATCATGTTCAAAATAAATACACCAGATATAAAATAAAACATTATAATTTAAAGTAATGACTGGAGGTGAAGAGAGGGGTCGCTATTTTTATTTTAATTTAATTTAATTTAATTTTTATTTTTATTTTAACTCCATTGTTTGTTGAGTCCATGCCTTTAGTGTAAAGCTCATACAAAATTTATTGTATGTAATTCTGTTTTCTATTAATAATTAAATTTTTAGATCAGATTTACAGGGATCATGATCATGATAATTTCAAATAAATATTTTAATAAATAATGAAAATAAATTTATTTTTTTACCAGAACCCTTCAATTTTGGGACACTAATTTAAATATAATTTAACAATGATATAATTACCAATACATTGTTTAAAAAATCACAATAGTTGTTCATGTAAAAAAATACATTACTTATGGTAGTATAATAATAATAATTATACACGGGTAGTTCTAATTGAATGTTAAAAGTATAAATATTCAGAATAGTTTATTGATAGTATTTAAGTTATTAAAATACTGAATTACACTACATATTATTAAAAGAATAATTAGTCCTTAATGTATTATGTAGATATATTTTCAACTATTTCAATTCATGGACACAGTTAACATTTAATACTATTCAATAAATTTAAAAATGATTCTTATATGTTATTGAATTATTTACTTCAATAATCTTTGTGATCATTTACAAATAGTTCATTGAAAAGTATATCTTATATATTTTAAAGCTCAAATTTTCTTAGTTATTTCATTAATTTAAACATATTTAATCTATTATGTTAAAAAACATCATTAAATATATATTCAGATAAAACAGTATAATATTTTTTCTATAAATATAGTTTAGAAAATTAATTATAAATTTATACGATACACTATTTAATTAAATTGATATTAAGAATAATTATACAAGATCAAACAAATTTTCAAAGTTTCTATAAAGAAACTAAAGTAGGCACTTGCATTATTAATTAAATTCTTCAATGTTGATTAAACAAAATTTATTTGATTATATAAATACAATATTTCTTTAAAATTAAGGTAACTTTGTAAATGTAATAGACAAGTTATATAAGTGCACCAAAAGTTAAGACACAGTGGTAATATGAAGTATATTTTTATTTTTAATAAAATAATTATTTTTAGAATTTTATTACTAATTCTTTAAATAATTAATATATGTTATGATGTAATATAATTTTTATACTTGTAAATATTTAATCATAATAGTCATTTAATTAAATAAAAATCAATATTGTTTTTAATGTATATAATTAAGTTTTTACCTAGTTTTTGTAATTTTAAAAATATTGTTAAGATATTGGTTAATATTTTATCAATATTGACTTAAGAAATTAACTAGGATTCAAAATTAGGAAAAAATAGTTTTACAATTATTGTAATTTAACAACTAAAATTCAACAGTCTTACTAATTAATTTTGCCCTTTAAAATATAATTATCTAATAATTGGAATGTTTAGAATTAACAACATTTTGGCAACAAAATGAGCAACAATTAAAGTTTGAGCAAAGTGTTAGACTCAATTTAGCAATTTATAAACATATCTGTGGTTAAAATTCAGAAAAAAGATTAAAAAAACCCTATTACACATAAAGAAAAAAAAAATAAATGACTTTTTACTTATTATAAAATAATTGTCTACTTAGTTTCTATTTAAAAATGATGGTACAATGAATTAAAATAAATCATAGATATTTGATTAACTACTATGATTAACAGTTAACTATAAATAACAGCAATAAAATATCTTCATTAAGAACATAAATAAACTTAAAATTTATAATTAATATATCTAATTAAATTACAACTATATGTTAAAAAACTATTATTTTTTAAAATATAAAAATTCAACAATGTTACGTGATTGGGAGTAATTTGTTCTAATATAATAGCACAACCATCCTACATCCAGTATAATTCTTTTATTTTTGCTTATTCAACATAGATATATTTTGTCTTATTATCCAGGTAATCGTGATTCAGTGTAAAAATCTGGTTCATCTTCATCATAAGTCTTATCAGGTAGTTCATTACTGTCCAACTAAAACATTTCAGTAAGTTATAAAGAAAAAAAACATAAATCATAAAACATATTATAATGAGTAACACTTACTGCCCGCAATTCTTTAAAAGTAAACAATCTATCACATAATTGAGATCGAACAGGTATCATCATAATTAAAAAAAATGGAAATAATAAAGAAAGTGATGAAGACTTAACTATCCACAGAGTACATAAGCACATTAGCTGTATAGCAGTAAATAAATGCATTTTATATGTTTGAACCTAAAATAAAATTTAGGATTAAAAAATGACGATATATATTTTTATATACACAGTGTGTCAGATATAGCTTCAGGATTTACATTGCATCCTAATTATATTATAAGAAACTGTTAGCAATATTCTAACTATTTTGAATATATGTATTAATTCGATTTCAAATTACCCAAGTTGTTTCCTTACTTTTAGGTTTTTTTATGCGAGATAGACTTGCTGTTCAATAAAGTGTACTGGTGTTCAAAAAATTTTACAAAAATTAAGTGAACATATAGTTTGTGACGTATTTATAAGTTAGAAAAGTTAGGGAAGGTATGAGATATGAAGCTAACAAGACTATCATACAACAGCTCACACCTTGAAATACAAAAGATATTTGACAGTGTTTTTGGAAACTGATTTTTTTCTAACATGGAAATCACAGAGGGCGGCATAGGTCCGATATTATTTTTGATACAAATTTCGCAGGTTTTAAAATGAGTGACATATTTTTTTCATTTAATAAATAATAAAAATTATTGAGAATTTAAATTCTGAATTTATTTCTACACACATCGCACATTTTTAAGAAAAAAAAAATTACTAAGTTTCAATGATTATTAATAAAGTTGGTGAAGCAGATTAGGTATAAATATTTTTATTTTTAATTGTAAGAAATATTTTATGATAAAAATAATCGTAATCCATACCTCACTCCCATCTTTAATTTAAGATATTATTATTTGAATAAATAATTAAGTATAGTAAGTATCCAGTATAGTGGGATTGAAGAATTTTTTTTGGATTATTATTGATTTGTTATTTGATAGTGACAAAATTACTATTATAAAACACTTTGATGTGTTTTTGAAACAAATAAAAAATAATATTTACCAGAAATTATATAATTAATTAATCATAAATTACATTAAACAAGCTTTTTAATTTGAAATAATTTAGAATTATGTAATTACTTTGTTTTTATTCAAAAAATTACAAAATAAGGTTGGTTGATAACAACTTTTGGACTAGTATAAAGTAGATATAAAAATGAAAATAACTTCTCAAGTATTGGTCTAAAAATTGTTATTGACTAGAATAGAATATTGAAAATATTTTAAATATTATACTTATTTTGAGAGATATTATGTCTCTAATTTTTTGCAACATCATAAAAAATTTTGATATGATTTTTACACCCCTAGAATACTACATTATAATAAATTGATTATAGATTGGATTTTCAAGAAATGTATGTTGTCGACAAGAAAAAAATTCAAAATACTATCAATAAAAATTTTGCAACAATTAGTCCAGTTTTCAAACATTTATTTGAATATAATGAGAAAAATAAAATGCCAGTAGAGTAAAATTAGTAGTTTAAATATCAAATCTAAAATAATTTGAAAATTGTTTTCAACTAGTCAATTTCTGAATTATTTTATTTTCAAAAGTGTAAGCTTCTTATTTGCCATTTAAAAAATAGAGCTGATTCTTTTATAAAGTATTTGAGGTAATAGTTGGGCATAAAAATACTTAGGACAATAGTTATTAATATGAATAAATTTAGCTCAAGCTGTTCTAAAATGTTATTTAAATCTTATGAATAAGTTATGATTTTATTCATAAGATTTAAATATTGAACCTTAATAAATATAATAATAAAAAAATACAATGTAATTATAATAATTTTAATTTATAAATAATATTTAATAAAAATATATTATTTATTATTATTTGTATAATATTAAAAAATGCAAAAAAAATCTTATCAAGATTATTTTAAGACGTATTTAGTGGCTTATATTGAAAGAATCACACTGCGTTGTGAAACTATGTAGAGTGTATACAAATAGGATAAAGAATAACTAGTTAAGTATTAACAAATTTTACTTACATTTCTAACAAAAGTAGCATCTGAATGATATTTCACTGGCATAAATATTAACTTCAAACGCTCGAAAAATTGTATACCATCAATAGACGATATTCCCATATATAAAAAGACACCAAAAAGAACAGCCATTGGAATTAATCTTAGTAAAGGTGCCATAAGTACAGAGCCACCAACCATCATCGATACCAACAATGAACTAACTCTTTGCTCTAGCAAATAAATTAAATTTATAATATTTAGCTGTTTATCTTGTAATAGAATTAAATTTTAGACATTTATTTTTTAATATTTATAGGTTTAAAACAAAAAATTATCAATCAAAATGTATTGCGTACTCAGCATTTTCTAACTAAAAATTTAGTGAAAAAACAAATAATTTAGTAATAGATAACTTATAATTTTTAAGTCCTGTGTAGAACACCATATAGAGTCTGTAATTCAATTTAAAAATGAAAAATAATAATACCTTTAACTTCTATTATATGAGGTTTTTGTCCAGGAGCATGTGTTTGGCTCATTATAGTTAAAGCAGCAACATGAGCTACAGATCTAACAGTTGCTGCACTCATCCAAGGGGCTCCAATTAAACCACAAATCATGTTAATAAAATTTACAAGGACAATGTCCAAATGGAATCCACTACCTTTTTTTAGTTTTCTTTCTTTCTTATTAATTATTAATCTACAAATACAGCAAAACCTTATTATTCAGGATTCTATTATGAACATTAATGATGAGACAGGGCTATATTGGAATGTATTACCAGACAGTACCAAAGCATCTAAGGTTTTAGAACTTTTGGTTGGTTTTGGCACTCTAGTATAACCCTGTTTATCGTCTGGGAGAAGCGCATAATGCACTGCATACACTCTTCCGGTGCGAGGCGTGGACCAGCGAACGGGATGAATTGGAATCCCAACCCAGGAAGGGTGGTTTCTCGTCCAAACGTTCACTAAATCGATAATGAGCCACAAAGAGGATGCAGAATGCCTGAGGCAGAGGCTGCTTCAAGGTCCAGGATGACTTACGGCGCTGGTTTCAATTGGCGCCGTAAGGATTTTGTGTTGTGTTTCTATGTTTTAATGTATTGTGAGTTATTTTTTGCCAACCCTCGCAAAATCCTGACCCCACCTCCATGTGGTGCTACTTGGGCAACGGACCCCACTCAAGGGTCTACCTATGGGGAGGCCTCACCACATTGTGAATTAGCCCGAAATTAATCAAGAGCTGATTTGCAACGTGGTGTGGCCCCCTCCCGTAATCCGGACTCCAGAGTGGGAACCGTTAGGAAAGGTTGGCAAAATAATTTACAAAACACAAAAATAAGAACCAAAGGCACCGGTCTAAACCAGCGCCTCAGGTTCTCCTGTGCTGGGCGCGCGTGGCTGGCTTTGTCTCAGGCATTCCGCTTCCTCTTTCAAGACAGATTCGGCGAATGCCTAAACGAGCTTACACGCCTCCAGGCTCCTCAACATCAGGTCTACCATGGACCCGACTCGGAGCATGGACTCTAGACGGGACTCTAAAGAGTCCTGCTCCTGGGCCCATGTCTTGCACTGGAAGAGGGTATGCAGAGCGCTGTCAGCCTCTCCCGGGCGTTCCGCACAGTGGTCGCACAATGGTGCGGCTGCTTTGCGAATATGGTGTAAGTATTCATTAAAGCAGCCGTGCCTAGGTTATACTGTAGTGGAATAAATTAAAGTTTATTCAATAATATAACACTATAATTTACTAACTCGCTTATATGAGTTTCCATGTAAGCTAAAATATAAACAAGTAGTGCTGGCACAATAGCTATAAATGGTAGCCAAGGATCTATGTGTCCCTCAAGTCCATTTGGAGATATAAGCCATCCACGAACAGATGCATTTGAAGGTTTTAAACCTTCAGGAACACTAAGCTTTTCTGTATATGTTGATGGATTAAAGTAGTCTGTTGCTACCATTGAAACAATAGCAATTGGCACACCAAAATCTCCTAATGCTCTACGGATCTATAAATTTAAAAATAATTTTAGTATGATAATAGTTTTTAACTTTTACTAAATTTTAAAACTATAATTAATATTTCAAAAAAAAAAAACAATTGTTATAATAAACATAATATAATATAAAAATAAAATTCTTTATAAAACAATTTTTAAAATAAACTAACACTTCTTCCAAGAAATTTGCTGTTTCTAAAATGTCTTAGATAATAAGCAATGAAGAAAGTCCCAAGGGCTAATATAGTACACAACAATGCTGTATTAGGTTGATTGATAGGTAACTGCGGATTTATTTTTTGATTTATATTTTCTGTAGCACTGCAATTTATTTTTCAATGTTAGTAGTCATAATTAACAAATATAATTAATAAAAAGTATTATTTAATATGAAAATTCAACCACTAACTTAAAACTTACTTTTTCATTAAACTATTATTGAAAGATGAGTTTTTTGAAAAAATAGGACTATTCATTTGTGTAATTACATCTTCAGTACAATATTTATCTACTGATAACAGAGGGTGTTTAGAAAATACCTGTAGAAAGCATCTAATTTAAAAATATATCGTTATAGAGTTATAATTCATCAATGATTTAACTCCAAAAGAAGATTAACAACATATTAAATATATTTTAAAGATAAGATTTTATTGCTGTAGGATAAGAAATACATATCCAAAAATCCTAATTAAATTTCAAAAATGTTTCAAAATATTGAATTTTTTAAAAAGGTTTTATTAAAAAATAGATTTGTTATTAAATGTATCACTTTTTAAGCAAATTTGCGAATTTGCAAAACTAAATTACAATTTTTAAAGATTTAAATGTATTTACTTACCCTTAAAAAAAAAAATATATATTTTTACTCTGTGGGCCATGATAAAAAAAATCACTCTGTGTACAAAATACCATTAAAGGCATACCCTTAAATGTCAATCACATAATTTAAAAATTGATTATTTTTTTAGGGTAAGTAAATAAATTTAAACCCTTAAAAATTGTATTTTAGTTTTACCTAATACACATATAATTAAAAGTATCAAATTTTATACTTTTAAAAATATTTTTCTGTCTATAAAATGTTGAGAATAGTAAGTAAATAAAACTAAGCGTCAAATTAAGTTAATGATAGGCCCAGGCACTGATTAAAAAAACATTTTTTGTGATCAAAGTAGTACTTAATTATAGATGATAAGCAAAATAAATTTTCAAGATAAATTCATAGGCCCCCAATGTTCAGAGCATATCGCAAATTTACTTAAAAAGTGATACATTTAAAAATGTTCTATTTTTTAAAAAATTCAACATTTTTAAAAATCTTTTGTAATATTACTGTGTTATATTAAAATATATTGTATGTTTGATGTACTATTTATGAGTATTTGGTTTATCAACAATACTTTGTGACATTGAATATAACTATTTTGTGTTTACGAAACTTTGAACTATGTTGTTTAACCTCTTTCGTTGTGAAAACATCAATATATTATTTTTGTTTGAATAACTAACATTTAAACATTTAGATAGACTTTCCCAAATATATATCAAAGATATAAGTGATGAAAATATTTCTTCTGTGAATCGTGTAAAGACTTTTACCAATACACTTCCTTCAACACAGCTTACTAAAAGTGAAATTACTGCCAACCAAATTCCAACATATAATCTCATTGCCAAAAAATCAATATTGTTATCTTGACAAAACTAGAAAAAATATTAATAACATAGTATTTGACTACAATTTTATTTAAATTATTTAGCTTACATTGAACAAGGATTCATCAAATAATAATAAAGGTCCAGTTGTGCCAATTATCAACAATGGTTGACCAGAAAGTAGGGAAAATATAACACCAGCTAATGAAGTAGCTACCAAAGTTTCTGATATTCCAATCATATTTTTTGTTTTATCAGCTAAATTTAAAAATTAATGTAAACATAAATATAGACATAAATTTTTAGTATAATCATTAATGTCCACATTGTTTATGCATGTATAATGATAACTTAATTAAGGGTTAATACACATATTGTAGCTCAAAAATTCTAAAAATCAAGAATTAAAAAACAAAATTAATTTAAACCAAAATCTAATACAACGGAAAATTTTCTAGATTTAGACAGTGATATTTTTTGTTTTAATGACATTAAAACTGACCATTTAAAATATTAATTTATAGGTAAACTATATTTTAATACTCACCCAAAAGTCCACCAAAGGTAATGGCAGCAGATAAAGCAGCAAAATATATAAAAATTGCTCCAGCTATACATTGTAAATTTATCCCATCAGTAAAATCTGACATATAAAATGGGAATCTACGTTTTATATCTTTTACTAGACCACCCCATGGTTTTTTTGTACGTTTTAAAGGGTCATCTTTCTCTTTTTTAGAATGTTCATCAACTTTTGATACTAAAAGTGTGTTCGCTGAATGATGATTAAAGTAAGAATTAAAAAAAGTACAATAAATCATGATAATAACAATGATTACTTTTTTGAAATGCAGCATGTATTTTTCGTTTTTTAATTTGTTCACTTTTTTCTTTGAGTTCTCTAAGAGACAAGAGCTCTTCACGTTCCCAATCACATGGTGGTAATACTATACTACTATCTAGAAATTCGTTTAATAGACTTATCAATTCTTTACGTTCAGTTGCTTTGTAAGCTTTACAGTGGAATTCCTAGAGTAAATAAAATTATTATATTAGGAATTTACTGACACAATTAATAGGTTTATAATATTATTTTCTTAAAAATTTGTAACAGTAAATTTTCCCAAATATTTATAATAATTCTTTAATTAAGTTGTGCTTTTATAGCAGGGGTAGACAATTAGTTTACCTACCCCTACTTATAAAAAAAAATTTTTTTAAATAAAAAATTTGAATGTTGGATCAGATAGTTAAAGACAAAAATTTCAAGGACCAGAAAAAAAATTAGTCAATAAATTTATTAAAATTAAAAATAGATATCATAAAAAATAAAAACAATTTTGGTGTTAAATATTTTCGGTGGGACAATTTTTTACCCTCTGGGAGTCAGATTTGAATCACAAGCTACCTATTGACAATTCATGTTTTATACATTTCTAGAATATACGAAGTGAGTCACTGAAATATGACAAATTTAATGGCTGTTTTAAAAATTTTTAAAAAACATTTTAGAGAGTAATGTAGAGTAAAAGTCTAACAGTTTTTCAAAAAAGGAAGTACGTAAAATATTTTTTAGATCAAATGTGTTGGATTTTTCATATTTTTATGATTCAATTTGTATATCAAATGTTATACTAAATAATCACTCACAGAGTTTGACATCAATGTTGACATAGACCTTCCAACTTCATGATAGTCTATATCTTTTGGATCAGAAGGTCCCAGTAATATAAACATAAATCGAACAGGAATAGTTACTTCAGTTAAGGATGGTATAATAATTCCTTCAGCTAAACGAACAAAAGCTGCAGTCCTCTTTTTTAAAAAATCTACAGACCCAACTAATACAGTTGTAGCTTCAGCACCAAACGGTATTCGTTTTAGGATACTTTCCTTTTGTACCCTTTTAATCATATCTTCTACTGATGAAGTATAAGTTTCTTCTTTCATATCAATTGCAGTATGATTTTTCAATAAGTCCATTCTTTGATTAACATTGATATTATTGTTATTAGTGAAATTATTTTTTGGACTTGAATGCACATCATGATGAGATAAAGTATTTTTAATTTTTAATTTGACATCATCATTTAAATTCTAAAATAATAAACTACAATTAAGTATTGTTATGTTATACAAAATTGCTGAGAAAACACTACTAAATTAGGAAAAAAATGTACTCTAAAGCCTAATTATTTTACAAACATGAGATATAAGAATACTTAGAAAAATTGAGCATAGAATACAATTAAGTTTAGATAAAATTAAAGCAGGAGGTGTAAGTTATTAAATAATATTTTTGATAAAAATAATTGTTAAAAAAAAGCAACTTCAATGTAACTAACTAATTCTTGTCAATTAAAGGGTTTCTTCTATACACTCTACAATAAAGAACATTTACAAAATTCTTATTTGTTAAGTAAAAAAAATTGAGATGCTTATTTAATCATAAGTGAATTAATTTACATTGTTTGTAAGTGATGCTGACCGCATAGCTAGAATTTCTGCTTCAAATGACTGTCATAAAAAAAAAATAGACAATTCTTTTAAAATAATCAATTTTATAAATTCATAATTGTAAAATATAAGTAAATTTATACAAGAAGTTTTAATATAAGTTAATAGAAAAACTTGTTCTCTCAGTTCAATAATTAGCCCTTAAAGATTTAAAAAAATTTTTTGTTGTTATTTAAAAATATTTTTAAGGGTAGGAGAAAAATGTTCATTTTAACTACGGTTTTTGTTGTAGAAAATCCAAAGTTTTGTGCATCATTTAATTAGTTATTCTTATTTATAATGTTAACATTGGCAATTACCAAACTATCAAATTAATTCAGTAAAAGCAAATTAAACAGACTTTAAAAAATGTAATTTGATGGTATGAAATGTTTGAGTAACCAAAATACATGAATATTTTTATATATATTTGAACAGTAGAGATACACTGATTCCGTATATCCTAAAATTTTAAAAATTAATCAAAATAATAACAATTAGAACCAAACATTTTCATGTCTCTAGCTTTTAACCTTTATGATGTTTAAGTGCATGTTTTGTAGCCTATATACAATTATATTAAACTATTACCGTAAGACTAGAGTAGCTAGCTGTATTTCTCCTTATAAACCGGCTAAACTTTTCTCCATCTTGTTGAACATGCCTGTGTCTAAGTAACAAAAGACGCATGACAGCTGCTTTGTCTTCTGTGTTTATCAACTCTTCAACAGCCATTTGTTCAACAACTCTATATATTATTCCAGGTAAATTATTTTCTTCCAGATCCAGTAGTATAACTCCTGTTAGAGTACACCAATAAAAAATAAAAAATAAAGTTTTAAAAAACAAACGTTTTTAATTGTAATATTTTTTAATGTAACAAAATAATTGTATAGTTTATACCTGATTCTAATGATCTTCTAACATTGAGCAAAGAATGGAAGCTTAACGAAGCTACATGAGGACGGCCCCATCTATCTGTACCTTCTTCCACATCTTCTTCATATTTAATCCATCGAGCAGTTTCTTTCCATTCTCTATCTTCTTCATTGCCTTTAAGTTCATCTAATTGTACAAATACCTGTAAAAAAAATATAGTACTTTTAAGTTAGGTTTAAAGGTTGCAACATAAAATGTATCATTTGGTATTCTAAATTAAATATGCAATATTTTATGATAACCTTCTCATGACACATATGCCACAAAAATTGTAATTTAAAATTAATTTTAAACATATGCAATACCTCATGTGGACTATGATCAATATATTTCTTTAATATTTTTACAGGTAGTCCTGCAATTAGATTTCTGTCTAAATCACCATTATATGAAGCTATAAGAGAATTCTTATTTTTGCCACTAAATCTTCGTTTTTCTTTTCCGCAATCATACCTATGACCTATATTTTATAAAGAAGATAAATTATATGACATAGTATGCATTTATTTTAAATATTATTAGTAGAAATCGATTCATGAAATACTTTATTTTTTTATTGTATATTATTCTTTTATTAAAAAAATATGTATTTAACATTTTAATAATAAAGTATTGTAATACTTGTTAAATCATCTTGAACGAATTCATCTAAATTTTCTTCCATTTGCAAATCTTTAGGAATAAAAACTTCTCGTTCACTGTATTTAAGTCTGTTATGGTTATGATGGTGATGTCTGTTAAACATTTAAAAAAATTACTAAATATTAAATTTAAAAAAGACAAATTTTTAACTTTTTAAAATTTTAATTTTTAATAAAACTTTACAATAATAGATTGAATAATATGATAAACTAAAATTTTCAGCTTAAAAATTTTTATTTCTAAGAAAACTTCAGTTAAACGATGACAGTTATGTTACTAAAATTTATTATATTTCTCATGTAAAATAACCAAACAATTAAAAATAAATAAATGTTATTTATATAAATAAAAAAATTTGTACATTGTTTAAACAAATATATCTATTAAAGGCATATAAATAAGTTGTTATCTTTACCTAATGGTCATTTTACATTAGGTAAAATATACAGGTTGTTCAGAAGTAAGGAAACAGATCAATTGTTATAAATAATGAGAACAATAGAAATCCGTTTCCTTGCTTACTGAACACTATATAGAATAATTAGAAGTCAAGTAACCAGGAGGTGTACATATAACAACCATACAAATAAAATTTGATTTAGGAAAGTTATTGAAATTTCTAAGAGGTTTACACCCTTTAAGTACTCTCAATGTCTGCCTATAAATGTCAGACATTTTCATCCATTCTAGCTTATCTTATTTCTATCAGGAAAATATAGAAACTTTAATATCTTAATAACTGTTTAATGGACTTTTTTTAAATTAGTACTTTAAACTATAAAGTGGTATTATTTTAAAATTTAATTATGGAAGTAAAAAAACCTTTAATTATAAAAATATTTCTCATATCAATATCTTACCGATGTTTGTGCTTCTTCTTTTTTACACTATTATGATGGTTATTCACTTGGGTTTGATCAAGTTCTCGATGTTCAATAATAGCTTCATCTTCGTTTTTCTCATCTAATATCAAAAGAAAATCAATATAATAATAGTATACTGCAAAATAATTCCTAATCAAGTTGAATGAATTTCAATTTGAAGTTAAATAATAAAATATTATTTTCAATTAATTTTAAAAGATTTCTTTGAAAATTTCACATTTTTTGTCTATAGTAATATGAGTTCAACCAAATCAATTAATTTTTCAAGATTTTTAAACATAAATGATTTTTCTTTTAAAATTATAAGTGTATATAATTTTTAAAATACATATTATCTATGTATTAACCAATAAAATTTTTTTTAAAAACCCTATGAGCCTCATTAAATTAATTTAATATTAATTTATGATTAACGTGTATGAAAGTAACTATATTTTTCTTATAACATTTAAGTTGGGCAATTTATAAAATATGATAATAAATAATTTGTTTTTACACTGAAGACTAAAAGAAAACAATAACCATCTCTGTTCTTCACATTAGTCTGTTACGATTGACAAATAAATTTTATTCTAATGAATATACTTATTAAAAGACTATTTGATTATAAATAAAAAAAAATGCATGGCAATATAATTTAACACTTATTCTATCATCAAATTATGAATTAGTCTTACAATTAAGTGGATTCGATTTAATAATAATTAATTGTATGTCAGTAGTTTTTAAATAAGAAATGTTAATTAATTAATTGATGTAATTATACAATCAAAAACAATTTATAATTATATTCTACTTGCAAAGAAGTATTAAGCTTTTGGAGACGGTAGCTAAATTATGCAAATCCTCTTTACTAAACGCGAAGGGACGACGTTTAAAAAAAAAACGTTGTTATAAAAAAACACTATTTAGTTTTTAGATTATTATATTTATCCCTAGATAAGCCACTAAATGTATGTATTAATAATTTATTAAAACACTTTAAATAGGACTTGAACAGTTTAAAAATATCTTAAAATCTTACATGTATTTCTATACATTGAAATTTTTCTAAAGAAATAAAACGTGTTCAAAATTTTTAAATATACTTTAAAATAAATAAAATAGATAAAAAAATAAGTTATTTTAGCTTTCAAAAGTGTTTTGTGAATTTTTCATTGAAAAAAAATAATAAAAGAACAAGTATATTTAAACAATAAAAATGTTATTTGATGAGGATCTAAGTCTAAAGAATAATTTTATTCGTTGATACTTTGCAGGAACTTTTTGTATATATTCCCAACACTGTAAATTACAATACAGATAATAAAATACAGTTTCAGGACTAAATGTAAATAAAAATAACTATCCTTTATTCTGTCTTTAAATTTTGTAAAAACCATGTTTTGTATTACGTCAGGTACTTTAAATTCCGAAAGGACGACCTAGTTTAAGAAATATTATTTAAAAGTTTGTTATCATGATAAAATGTTTATTCAATGTATATTTTAAATAATACTTATAATAATCGTCCTTTATTGTTTTAAAATGTAAAAAGGAAAAAATAACTCAATTTCAAAAACCCGTTTAACAGTGACAATAATTCATAAATGTAAGGCGAAGAAAAAGTTTATACTTCTGAGCTTATAAGATTGTTAAAAAATTCACAAATTTTATTTATTAATATAACTTTTTTATAAAATTAATCACAATTACAAACTTAACTAACGAAAGACTATAGAAGAACTTTAAAAATATCGGTAGCCACTCAAGTAATAAATTATAGTAAATAAAATTATTAGTTATAAATATTTAAAGAAATTATAAGAACCAGTATAGTTCATAATATACGAATATATAATAAATATTTATGGAGATCACATAAAAATGTAACATAAAATCAATGAAGTTGAATAAATTGTAAAATTTCTTTTGTGTTTGTACAGAAGTAATGGCGAGTATTTCAGCTAATCCTTGTATTTTGTGAACATCTAATAATCTTGTAGTTTTTATAAAACAATTTATCTATTTATAAGTTGTATAGATATCGTTATCCCTCGTAAATCAGTTTTAATTAGAATATTGAAGTTTTTGATATCAATTTTGAAATAACATCGATAATTTATTAATACACAGGATATACTCAAGCTTGCATTTTACAACTCCATTCATTTAAAAATGAATCATGTAAGAACCAGACTAGTGTAATTTTAAATATACAAAGTGTACAAAAAGCATGGAAACAGTTTAATTGTTTAATCAAACAATGAGAACAATAGAAACCCGTTCCCTTATTTACTGAACACCTATTTTTGATATTATTTTTAAGTATTAATTCTGTAGTGGGACGGTATGGCCGAGTAGGTACGCGGCAGTGCCTGATGCGCTCGGTCACTTGTTTGCAGAACGAATCATCAGTTAAGTGATTGGAGTCTTTCTCTCTGGCGATGGACTTACCATCCACCCTGGAATATGCATAGTTAAGAAACTTCCTCTTAAAAGTTTAAAAATATTGAATACGTTTTTTTCCAAAAATTAAGACTGAGACTAGACTCTAAATGCTTATAATTTAGTTATTCTTCGGTTTAATTAAATAAAAATGTTTAATTTTTTTTTTAATATTACTGCAGATTTAATTTAAATTTTATATTATGTTATTCGGGTAAATTTTAACTATTTTTTTTAAAGATAATAAATCATGTGCTTCACCATCGAAATATAATAATTGTTTACAATACAATTGGCTATGATAATATGTGCATCAATTAAAATGTTGAAAATTTATCTATTTCATCATTGGAACGGCATGAAATGAATAGTGTTTTTATCAATTTTAGTTTTATATTAATATAAATATATAATAAAAATTGATCACTTGTGGCTAATTATTTAAAATTAAAATTATATTAAAAATATTAATTTAAAACTAAAAACAAAAAATTTTGAAAGTATTCAACTCAATAAGCCACAAAAAAATTACTAAAATATCGCGGATACGTATTTCGGGAACAATGTTACCATTATCAACGCTAAACACATACTGACTGTCAGTATGTGTTTAGCGTTTAAAAGATGCGTAATTAATTTTTCATTGTATTTACCACAGATGAATGTTTCGAAAATTTCTGCGTTAAAACCTATTGATTTTCAGGCGACATAATATCAAGTTAGCTAAACAAATCTGTCGTTAAGAGCAGTTTTTAGGAATAATTGTTAGTAGCAGTGGCGTATATAAGTGGGGCGATAGGGGTCTTTGGACCAGCACTATAAATATTTTATAAGGTCGATATTCAAAAATTATAGCTTAAAAGCTTTATACCTTTTTTTTTTTGTCATCAAATTATTTTTAGTAAAAAAGTTTTTTCTAGCGTACCTAACAAAGTATAAAAATTAATTCACCCACCCCCTAAAATTATTTCTAAGTACGCTTCTGATTAGTACTAAATAAATATGGCTCTACCATTTATTACCAATTAAATTTAAGGATTTTTCAGATATTTTAAATCATTTTCAAATTACTCACCTATATTGAACTGCACACGCTTGTCTGCTGAGTCTTGTCTAAAATAATGCTCAAAATGAGGTGGTTCGTACATTGGAGTTTCACATTCACTACTTAAAAGACCATCTGATTCAATTTCTACAGAATGATTACCATTTCCAGCCATCAATGAGTGTGTTTCACCACTGTTACTATTTAAAATCAAACAAGTTAATTATTAAAAATATGATTGTAATACGAGATCAAAAGAATGAGCTCATATTTATTTATTTGAACTTCCAAAATTATAATAAATAAAATAATAACAGATTTTAAGCATTATTCTGGTGTTGTTAATTTCAAAGAATTAAAAATGATTGTTAACTATATTATTTCATTTTATTTGATTTATATATATGAATTAACCTGTATATAATCCACAACAACTATTGAAGTCAAACACCCCCTCCCATTATACAACCACCGAATAAAATTACATGAAAATATTGATTATTAACAAAATGATTAGAAAATACAATCTAGTACACTAATTTTTTTTGCATATGAAATTTTTTCAAAGTTATATTTTTGGTACTCGAATACTGTTAAGTCTTCAAAATATTTGCATTATCTTCTATATATATACAGAATGTTCAACCATGTTCTGACATCTTTAATAACTTTTGAACCAGCAAATATTTGGCTTTACTTTTTTTAAATAATTTGTACAGGTTCGGACTATGTTAAAAATATATTTTTTATTATTTGTCTCTAATAAAAAAGAAAATTAAGATAATTTTTAATTATTACTTATATTTTTTCGAAATTTCAAAGTAGCCATTATTTAGCTTTTTTCTTAAAAAAATGTTGATGGATCGATGATAATCTTAGAATAAGTACTTATTGAGTTTCAAGCGTTTTAATACATAGAGTAGGTATGTAGCACAAGTGGAGAGTATATACACCAGTGCAAACTGTACCCACTCACGCTATATACCCACTCAATATATTAAAATATTTATAATTCGATAAGTACTTATACTAAAGTTGTTATCGCCTCATTAAAATTGTTATAAGAAAAATGCTAAAAAATGTCTATTTTGAAGTATGACAAAAATATAATAATGTATTTTTTTCTTAAAAGAGACAAACATTAATAAATATTTTTTTAACGTAGTCTAAGCTGTAAAAATTATTTAAAAAAAAAGTAACTATGTAGATGTTCTATTGCTAAGCAAAACACTTCAAAATCGACTATTTTCATCGAAAGTTGTATGATTTTTGGGTAATAAAACCTAATATTTTCTAAAAATCGAGATTTTGGAAAGTTTTTATTTTTTAAACTTAATATTCATTATATTAGAATTAATTTAACAAACGTTTGACAGACACAGATTTTTTGGAACAAAATTTAAAACAAAAAATTGGTATGATTTTTAAAAAAAGTATATTGAAAATTGGGAAAATTGTTTTATTTATTACCATTGAAAATCTTATTTTAATTCACGCATTATTTAAATAGTTAAATGATTTATTACAAGTACAAAAAAATACATGATTATAGCTTTTAGAGGACAATGATTCATAGACGGTCAGTCATCGGAAAGTCTTTCTAATTAAAAACAGGTATATAATAACTGTATGTAAACAATAACAGTGTATTTCTTTACGTATTGAGCACTTCAAAAAATAAAATTCAACGTATTTTGTAGTAATAAGTGATAACGTTTCTGAGACAACCCTACGGGACATTGATGTTTGCTCCACAAGAAAAATATTTTAATCTACACTTGACAAACACATGTTATCATGAAAAAAGTGAAATTTTTTTCAATTTAAAAACAGAGATAATTACATTTATTGATAAAATATTAGCATGCCCCCCTCTCTAAATACGTCACTGTAATCTAGGTCTATTTTAATTTTTTAATTTACGGTCTAGGCTTCATATTTTAAAATTTATTTTGGTCTAAGGATTCAGATCAGTCTTAGATTTAATTAATTAAAGCTGGAATGGTTCATATTTTTTAAATAATAAAAAAAAGTTAGAGAAATACGGAGAAAATCTAGAGATAATTATTTTTAATTATAATTAAAAGTAAATATGTATAATAAATATCATACATTAGATATAGAAAATTGTATATTCTATATGTACTACACACTAACTAAAAATTGGCATATATATGTTGGCGAAAGTATTTGCAAACAATAAAACGCTTTCATTTATAATTTTAGTAAAGCAATAGACATGAATAAAACGATTATGTACATTACTTATTGAGCATACGTTTTTGAAAACAAAAAGATATAGTTTCATGTGCAATCTAAACAAATTTATTATATAAGGTAATCAGGACTGGATTAAGGAGGGACAAGAGGGGATAAGTTCTAGGTCCATATCGAATTTTACTAGACTAGTCATGATTAGTGACAGAATTTTTCTGGTTTTTTTTTTGTTGTTCATCACTTTTCTTATGGTAGTGATAGTTTCCATAAGGGTCCCATCTCAAGGTACCGTCATAGGGTCTATATAAGTATTAATCCGGTTCTGAAGGTGATATTTAATTTATTATTAAATACAATTAGGAATAAAATGCATAAAATACCAAACACCGCTATATTTTTTTAACGATGTCTTAAAACGAAAATTTTTTCTATAATACTATACAATTCTATCACAAAGTTGCACAAATTTGGGACCTTTCAAGGTGGCTCAAATAAAATGTATAAATGTACATAATTCTTAGCCATACTAAAGATTGTTTCTCTATGTTATAAGTTTTACTAGATTGATAATTACATTTTATTTAGCCATAATCATTCCAAAGGTATTGTATTTTATCCACTGAAATGAAAAAATTCACTTTCATTTCGTTATTAGAAACTGTTTTTTATTTAAAATGTTAGAAAAGAAATCGTTATCATTTTAGCTTCTTTTATTTAATAACGGTCATGATATAACACACTAATTAAAAAAAATACAATACGACATTTTATCTCACAAATATAATAAAATGTTCAGCCAAAATAAAAATTTATTTTTATAGTATTCATAATTGCTAATTTTTTAGGAAAATGTAGTTATAAAATATACGAAACGCGTTTAAAAATACAAAAATCTATCTATCCGTTAAATAAAATATTAATATCAAAATAAGAGTTGCACGTTTCATGTTAATGAAATTTGGAACACTTTATAAGTAAATTTTTACCTAGAAGTACGACGACTTGTGGTAGGTGGGCTCATCGCACTATCAGAATCAGTAATATACTTTTCATCCTCGAATTTATTTAAATTCTAAAATAATACGTAGGTTTATTTTTAAATTATTTCAAAATCGATATTATATATATTTCAAATATAATTTGAAAAAAATAAAATTAATACCTCCGTGTCCGAATCTTTTATCTGTAACGAAGTAGTAGATTTCTTCCTCTTAGACTTCGCAATCGATTTGAGAGGTATGTGCACATGTGGTCGACTGTTATTGCGATGAACTACAAACAAAATTATATTGACTAATATACCAAAGGTTTTTTAAAAATCGAGACGAATACCAAAATCAATACATATACTATGGTATATGATAAGTATGCATAGTGATCCCCGATCGTATAAATGGGACGGTCATTATATTATTATAATTTAATTACAGATTTATATTGTAATAAGCATTTAAAGAAATTACTGTAATGGTAAAGACCTAATCTAAAATTTATGACCTCAAAATAAATTAAAAAATATGATTTTTTAACAAATTTCATGAAATTTTTTTTACTTAAGGATACATGGTATTCTGTATACTATATAATTTTGTTTGAAAAAAAAAAAGATAATTAAAAATCAACCATGAGAATTCACCTTGTCACAAATGTTGCGAAATGTCATTGCTCTTACATTCAGGCAATTCATAACAGCTATGTAGATAATAATAGAAGTGCGTGACATCTAATATTATTTTGTTTTAAAGTTTGACGTTATTACTTCAAATATAGTTATGTTTAAGCATGTATTAAATATATAACAAGTTAATCAGAAGAAATTTCATGACGCTGCACATTGAACTTATCCATAAGCAATAAAAACTTTACCAAAATCAATTGATTTTTTAGTTATATTTTGTAAACTTTTAAATTGAAAAATAATGTAAATCTAACAATGCTACCACCCACCAATAAAATCGTCTTCGCTAAGACGTCTATCGTCGGGCTTTGGAGATCGTCCACCATCAAATTTTGATAAATCAAATCGACTTGCATCACCTTCACTCGAAACCCCTGCAAAAACACGTTCCATTTCTTCATCCAAATTTCTTTCTTCATGACATTTTGATTCATCATTTAGAGATTTTATATGCTCGTCCTAAAATAAACAATTATTTGTTTTAAAACAACTTCAAAATTATAAGAAAATGATTTTAACAAATAAGTCGACAATTATTAGTAGTTGAGGTTTTTTAATTATTAATTTGAATATTTCTATGAATTATATTATAATTATCTACATAAAATAAAATATATGGAGANATTTCTATGAATTATATTATAATTATCTACATAAAATAAAATATATGGAGAATAAAATAAAATCTAATATGTATATATATATATAGAATTTGAATTTTAAAAATTAGATAAAAAACGAATTAATTGTCCAAGATTATTTATAAAAATTTTAATTGCCAAATAAATAATATATACTAACAATGTATATTTTTTTTTGGTAGTTGGAAATACATTAAACGTTATACGCTATACCGGCTTACCGGTTATACCCAACTGTTTGATTACCAATCGAGTGTTCTACTACAGAGCTAGCTAATTTGCAAATTTGTCAAGGTAATAATAGTACCTCATTTATTTTTAAAAGTCTTAACCTAATTATTTTATATCATTAAGGTATAAGTAGGACTACTTAAACAAATACAATACATTTTAACAATGATGCAATTTTAAATATATTTTTAAATAGAACTATTTCAACGTTACATAATCTTACACTTTTCATACAAATTTTAATAGCTTCTTCTTCGACTTTGTTTGCTATATCACAACGTATCAGATGGAAGAATAAATTAATGAAACAAAATTTGGTTATCAAGTATAAAAGAATGATTAGAAAAAGTCTACTTCTAAAAAGAGAGATTCAAATATCAATAGACATAACGTAAAATTCAATACATTAACGTTCAATGTAGGTACTTGTAATTAATAGTTTTGTTTACAGTTATGCCTCATAGCATTATAGTAGTATAACTAATTGCTATTTTATGAAGAAGGTAGATAAATATATTATTTTAGTATAATCTATACATGTATGTAGATTGCTCACGTACCACAATTAAGTGTTTAATGTATATTATTGTAACTATTGAGCAAAACAGCATTTTTTTTTACCTTTTTAACTAACTATATATTACAATTAACCAAAAAATGCGGATAAGAACTCTATAAATTAATTCATGAATTATATTCTATGAAATATTCTTTATCAATTACTTTATTAACTACTCAAACACATTTCATGCAATTTACAGAAGTAAATAAAAAACTGATGTTTGTAAAGGAATAGCAATAGCTGAAAATAAATTAACCAAAAACACAACACGTTTAATTTTTATCATTTTAACTTTACATTATCAGTTACAAGTATCTGACCATGTAAAGCACTATTATGTTTTGAAAATAATAAGTATTTTGTTTTTAAAGCTATATTGAAATAGTTGACTCACTAATAATTGTTATGTTTTATGACAAGTATTAAAATATTCAAATAAAACCTATGGATTTATTTTTTTCTGGAGAAATCGAGAAGTATTATAATTGACGACCAAAATAATTTTCATATTTAGATTTAGGTTTTATCATCTAATTTTTCAGGATACTTTAAGCAAATTGAGAAGTTTTAAATATTAAGCTTTGTTTCGTGTAATAAAATAATCAATAGTGATGACAACATAGAATTTTTGGTAAATAATAAAAACAAAAATAAAATATTGTTCAAATTTTTAATTAAATAACAATATGCAGTAGCATATTATATTATTTAATAACTAATATGAAAAACTCTAGTTACGTTTTGATTAAAATTATTTTTTATTACAGCAATAATAATGGTAGAAAATGAGAAGTACAAACCTTTTTGAAAAACAAAATATATTAGAATATAATATATATTTTAATGTTGATATATTATATCAGCAGTGTCATTAATGATATACTTTTGCATTAACGTTTATAAATAAATAATTGAAACGTCTAGGTCAAGGACATGAACGGTCTGTGATTCTAAAACATTGAAATCAATTTAAAACGCTTAGCTATCGAACACTATTGAGTTCAATAAACGAAACCTTCATTCTCTCCTTTCACGGCCAAGGTTACTGGACTATTTTCAAAGACCGGTTCAGCGAAACAAATTGGCGAATGTTTCTTCTGTTGTTATTTCATGAAAAGATATCTTAAGGCACAACAGCTCATTTTTTCTAAGTGTTCTCAGCGCAATTTGTTGTTAAGGTGCACGGTTGGGTTGGCATATAATATATAAACTCTACAATTAACTTAAGAAATGGTATATATTATTTTGAAAATTACTCAGAATAGATACCCCAAGAAATAATACTTCAATCTAACCTTTAAGCGTTTATTAAATCTCTATAGAACAACTAATTTATTGAACTTTCCTAATAATTTTATCAATTTTTTTTGGTAATTTGTTATTTAAATCAACTTACAACATAATAACAACAAAAATTTTAATTTTTTATTTTAGTTTATAATTGAACATTATAATTATTATTATTAATACTCAGTATTGACTCAATTTTATCGCAACACAATTTAAAAAAAAAACACATTCTAATGGTGGTGTTGATAAATTAAGAAATTTAGAAATTAAAAAAAATAAATGAATTATCCTGATATTTAGATAATTATTAGTGTTTATAATTTTAATAATTTTATGTAAAAATTTATGAGTGCATTCATAGAATTAAAAATTTATTACTTTTTTTAAATACAATTAAGTATTTAATATACAATTTTTCAGATAATTATATTTTGTTACTACGTATTAAATATCAACAGTAATATTATTATAATTCAATTTAGGGAGTTTACACAAATAAAATTCAAGCTACTAAGTTTACACAAAAAATATATATACCTAATGTTTAATGTAATTAAGTTGCATACAAATTCTTAAAAAGTAAACAGATTTTAACTAATTCGATGCTCACTATATGTTTGTGCTATATGATACTAATCATTAGGGTTTTATAAATTAACAAACAATTCAGAAATAATAATACATTAATTTTTTGTATGAAAAATTAGCCGTTTAAAAAATTGTAATTTATTGTTTAAACAATTAAATTTTAAAAATATATTATTATAATGTATATGGTCAACTTTTAAGATCAATAAATAATCAAAATTATAACACACTAAATAGACAAGTTCTCGGAAATTTAAAAAGAATCTAATAGGCATTAAATAGATTAGTACATTATAAATAACTAAAATAATTTTAAGCCTTATTAGCATGTGACCAATTTGATTTAAAATAATAATAAAAATGTCTATAGGGTTATAATTAAATATATAGACAGAATTCTTTAAGTGTGAAACAATTCTTTGAAGTATGCGCGATAACTAACGTAACATTCTTTGCAAAGGATGCAACAAACGTTTCAAGGTCATTAAAATGCTGAGGCCGCTCGATAATAGTTATAGCCGTTCTATAACCCAGTGTCACCAACGTGGCAACTCAGGTTAATAAAATAAGACGGATACAGGTTTTTCTTAAATTAGGGTATTTAACGAAAACAAATTATTTAGCTTCTATTATAATTATTAGTGAATTAAATAAAATGAAATATCAAAAATACCAATTACAAATTTAGTTTCCGAAAATTATACAGAATTGTTAAAATTTATCATCCAAACAGATAATAATATCAAAATTTGGCAATATTCGTTAAAAAAAGGAAAATCTAGACACGTATAACTAATGTATTTAAAAATACTTATTAGAACTTGTACGTTAATAATGTAATAAGAATTGTTAACGAGTTAATATTTACAGAATACTTTTTGAGTTTATTATTTATTACTTATTTAGTTGATTCTAACTCAAGTGCTTATAATTAAAATACAAAAAAAATGATTTGAACAATTATAAATACCCGAAAACGTATAATGAATTTATTATTTAATTAATCATTTTGATTAATTTTATTTAATTAAATTCAAGTATCTAAATAATGACATACATGGAAAATAAAACTAGGTTCAAATTTTGAATTTATTGATCAATGACGTCAATGGCGTCCGTCTTGATATGTCCAATGAATAAAAAGAAAAAGTATTGTTTGAATTAAAAGTGCAAACATCGAAGCTAGAAATGCTTGATATAGATCAAACTTTGTTTATGGAATTATATTTTTAACGTAGTGAAAAGAAAGAGTTCCTTTCAATAAAACCAGCGTAATTATAATATTTTAAAATTTATTAATCACATTCTACATAAAGTATTTAGCATTACTGTAGTTAATTATTGTCTTGATATAAAAACTTAGTAATAGTTCATGCATTCTAGCTTAAATTTAATTAATAATAATCCTACTATTTATTTTTATTCAAATATGAAAGGAATATTTTAACAAATATAATTTCAATGTTAATATTAGAAAAGACTTTCATAAAACTTTTTTCTATATTTTTAATGATAATTTTTTCTACCTTGAAATTATAAATTTAAGTAAATAATGAAAATAATATTTATATAGTTATACTCTCTTTACTGATATTTTGATTGAAAATTATACACAATAGTAAGAAAAAACTATATTTTTAATTTAAAGATAATATAATTTCAAATTTTATTTGTCAATAAGTTGATTCTTTAACGTACAAAATCAACAAAAATAACTTCAGACAATTATATGTTTTGTTATAAGTTCTTTATGAATTAATTTGAGATTTTTGTATGACGCATTATTAGCTAAATTAAGTTATTAGACTTATACATAAACGTGGCCTTTCTATCTATTAATATTACGTGAAAATATAAGAAGCGCTTTTTAAATTTCTGTATAATCAACTATGAGGGAGAAAATATTGACAAACCAGCTTAATATTAGATTTATGATAGTAAAATGATGGATTTATTATTTACAATGCTATTTACTGATAGCAAAATATTATATAAAATTAATAATTTGATATCCTTGAGTAAAAAGTAAATTTACTAGACAATCTACGATTAGTAATTTAGCTATTTAATTACAATAATAACGAATAAAAATTTTAATCCTATAAAATATTTAAAAAGCAAAAACTATGTAATTATAATTTTATTTGTAACATAACATGTTTAATATGTATAAGTACTATAAATGTATATATACAGAGTGATTCCTGTANCATGTTTAATATGTATAAGTACTATAAATGTATATATACAGAGTGATTCCTGTACTGCGTCTTAAAATATATTTTTATATTCTTGCTTAACAAAAGAAGAATTTTATATAAAAATAAATCGTACAAATATATTCAGATGTAAATAGAAACTGACCTTATACAAACTGTGGTCTTATAAAATCAAAGATCTTTCGCTGTATAAATACAAATAGATAAGTACTTTAAATACATCAAAAGATCTTTTAATGTTGTGATTGCTAAGTGTACTTAGCACCCACAAAAATTTTAAGCTATTATCTCTTTCGTTAAATTTTAAGTTTCGAATCTTATTCTATTATTTAATATTTGTATTAGAAGCAAAAAAGTTGATAGCTGATTAATAAATGATTTTAATTAAAACCCCTATAGTAATATAAAAGGAATTAATTGTTTCTTTACATTGTGTTAAAAATGATAAAGCATTTTTATTTTAACTAAAAGTCTACACGCGACACTATATGTATACAGATAATCAATTACCTGCTCCACTTCGTCGAACATAATGTATTAAAATCTAACAAGGTAAATTTTATCATGAAGATTCCAAGAGATTTAACAAGTATAACAACTAAAGGTTTTTCAACGTGTGATATAATGAAAAATAAATTAATAGTTTTAGAAGCTAAAAATGTAGATGGTAAAATAGAAATTTCAAGAGGTATAGATGAGATTGGCATTTTTTTAACTTCTGAAAAATTCCTGGGATGTCAATTAAGTACAGTATTTTTTTTTTATTCAAGGAATTGTTAAAGTTAAGTATAATAAACATATATCTCTTTAAAAACGATAATATAAATACACAAAATAAGAGTTTATAAATAGTAAAATTAAAAAGTATACAACATCCAGAATTAAAAAATAAAAATTTATTTATTTATTAATTATTAATAATATATCACAATATCTAGAAAGATTACAAGGTCTTGTTATGAAAAACTTTTATGGAAATCCCATAGAACCATATAAAATAAAAAAACAATAAATAACAGACAAATATTAGTCTACAAGAAATTGAATTTTTAACACAAAAAAAAATTGTTTGATTTATAAGCGTATTTTTGAAAATTATAAGTAGTAAATGAAACAATCGTAATTGTGTTAAAACACAATTAATTTTGAGTTCCAAGTTTTGATTTACTGTTTGGACAAATTAATATTCAGTTCTGATTAAATACAATAAACTACAAAATGTAAAAATTATCCCCCTAAAACGTCAATGATAATTTTACACGAGATAATCATTGTTATATTTTTAATCGAAAGTGTCATCATCATTAACTATATATTTTTACATAATTGCTTAGTTTAAGTTTTTCTTTTTTACTTCTATATTTTCTCCGATGAAGTTGGAAATATTATTTAAACGGCAATACAAAAATATTAAAATTAGTTGTTGTGAACAAGGTTAAAGGTAAATCATAAATATAAATAGGTTTATATTTTTTTGGCAAAAATGTCAACCATTTTGATGCAAATCTAATATTAGTATATGTTATACACAGATGTATTTTGTGATTTTGGCAAGCTAAAATGACGGAATTGACAAAATAACAATGTAAATTTACTTGAAAAAATCAGGTAGCAACAATGCAAATATTTTTTATTCAATAAATTAGAGACACAATATTAAAAGGAAAAGACTTTTAAAATGTTTAATTAAAATAACTAACGAAAGTTTTATATATGAACTAATTGTTGATCAAGGGGTTGACCTCGAAGAGGATATAAAAAACGAATTTTTATATAAATTGAAAAACAATATGGTATTCAAAAAGAGTTTTTCATCAAGATACTAATATTTCTAGCAGTATGTTACTAAATAATAATTAATTTAAAATATTAATTTATGATGCAGTTTTTGGAGTTCAGTTATAATTATTTTACTTATAGCTTACATTTATAAGTATCATGCAAAATTTAATTGACACTAATCAACAATAAGAAAGTTGTATAATTCAAAGGAACGCCGCTGTGATGTTTATGAGTAATTAAGAGAACGTTATTCTAGTCTAATTTACATTTTAACTTTGTTCTTAAGTATTAAACTTAATTTTAATAACGAATAGCTTGGTAAGAAGATAACAGGAAATCGATAACCTATTTAGTGCTTCTCATAAACAAAATGTAAAGATTTAAAAATAATTATTCCAAATAATAATATGTATAATAAGAATTAATCATCACTTAATAAGTCATAATATGTCTTGAAATTTCTTATTAATTTATCGCGAAATGTATTGTATTGTATTTATATATATAAGCCTTACCTGTAAATTAATTAGTCCAAATGAAGTATTTGGTTGTGAAATATCTTTATCTTCGTTTGAACTCATAACGATTGATTATCTGTATACTTATTGGGGTTATTTCAAATTAAAAATTATTTTAGATATTATTTGTGAAGTAAAAGTAATTAGTATAAAGATTTTTATTAAGGAATCTTTTTTCTAGGCGATCTTCCTTTTCTAGCAGGTTGACCGTAAGAATTCATTAATAGTCGTACCGGTTTCCCTTCTGGTGATAGATATACTATTTCTGTTGTTTTGGAAAAAATATGAACCTACCTAAGAAAAAAAAATTAAAGTAATTAATATATTATTTTTATAAGATATAAAGTTTAAATAATAATACTATATATATATAATTATTATTCTTATAATTTATAAATATTCTCAGGCCGAAGGAATTTTAGTATATCCAGATTTTTGTAATTTTATATTGACTTTAAGATCACATACTAAAACGACAAACATTTTTTAAGTTTTTAATCAGTATCATATAACTCAAGTACCCCCAAATTATGTCTGGATGCATTTTCTACTTATATCCAAAAAATATTGTTTAATATTCCGACTTATGGCGATTTATAATGTTTCATAAATTAAGCGTATAGTATTAACAATAGACATTTTTAGAAAGAGCAAAAATTTTATTATGGTCAATTTTTTTTTCAACTGCAATAATGCAATAAGACAAATTTGAAATTCAAGTAATAGTGCCGTAGTTAGATCGTTATTATTGAATTAAAAGGGTCATAATTTGATTTGGTTCATAGTAAAAGCAAAAATGAGTCAAAGTTTATAATATCAGTAACAAAATGTAAGATTAATTTAACATTTATATGCTTTCATAACAATTTCCAAAAATATTTTGAAGAACAATTGGACTAGAATTAACTAAAACTAGAATCACTTTTTTTAAGATTTAAAAAATCTTAATTTAGTGTTATTTATGTTAAATTATTTTGATACAAGTTAAACGACCTTTTAATTAATAATTAATTATTTTAATTAATAAATTTATTATTCATTTTTATAGTAATAGCTTTAAAGTTATTATTTTGTACATTTTGTATATTTATATATCAAGCCTATCTTAAAAATTCAATAAAAAACTTTACATTGTGATACTTAATACCAGGATTCTTACTGTTTTTAGTATAAATAAAAATAAATTTGATTTGTAAAGTTAAACCCTTTTTCCCGTAGCAAGCACGTTTATGTCTCCTATGTTTACACAGATGGTAAAATAATATCAAATAGTAAGTAGTGGAATACTAACTATTAACACGCTGTTTTCAAGGTTTGATAGTTTAAAAGTAAACTGAATCGATTAGATAGCTTTAAATATAAAAAAAATTATTAAATTTAAAACATTATTAAACAAAAAACATGATATTTTTTATTACGCCTTTGGACAACTTTATTAGTTAATCATTATCAATTATACAATCAGTTAAATATGATAAAATAAGTGTATAAGATAAAAGTAAATTAAAATAATAAGCTAAAATTAACAAAAGGTGCCATCGATGACACTTTCATTTATGGTTCACTGATTAATTGATTTTTTTTATTATTATTATTACATGTAGAAACAAAAATAATTTCTATTAGATAACTCTTTTAATGAATTACATTTCGAGTTGTATAAAATTGTCATGTAATTGTTAAAAAATATATTTAAAGCAAAGTAAATTAATAATTGTTAAGTTTTCAATTATTATTGTGTAAAAATTAAGTGTGCCTATGATACATAGGCACGATGGAAGGGCAAAGCTAACAATTTAGTTGCTTAGCACCCCGCTATTAAAAAAACCTTACAAGCATGAAAAAAAATAAAGGTTTTTTTTTTAAGAGAAATCCGCAAAAAACATTATAAAATTGAACCCCGAAATTCCAGCGACGACACTTTTGAATTATTAAAACGGAATTGTTAAAAAACATGTTTAAAACTAAGTAAATAATTTAAAAGTTTAAAATATCTCGTGAGGCCAATGTTAATTTTAAAATTTTTGAAAACGCAACAACCATGTATTAAAGCAGAAGTCGGCAATTAGTTTTTGAAATGACCGGATGGTTTTCAAGGCCAGGAAAAAAAGTTTGATGTAGCCAATAAATTTATTGTAATATAAAATTTGTTTTCTATATACATTATATTATTAAAATAAGAAACAAGAAAGTAAAATATTATTGGTGGGTCATTAATTTCCATATGTGGTCCGTATTAGACCGCCTATTTCTGCATCATAGAAATAATTAAATGTGAGATAACATAATATTTATGATAGAATTCATTACTAGTATAATTTTATATATTACCATAATAATAAAAAAAATCAAAGATATTAAAAAAATACTATAAAACAATGAATTCATTAATTCATAATATTACACTATTGTTAAATTATTTGATGACTACATATAAACAATTAAATGCGATTGAAAGTATTCTTACTTAATTTTTCAATAATTTAATTTAAAAAATATTGTAAAAATGGTAACATATAACCTAATTATTAAAAATGTGATTTTTTTTTCAATGTCAAACAACTGTATCAAATCTAACGCCATTAAGCGATTATTCGTCAGTGTTACAGTAAAATTAATATTCACTCAATTTTATTGAATTTTACCGTTTTAATAAATTTTATATTTAATGATTAAAATTTTGACATTTCTTACATGATCAAAAAAAATAATTTAATTATTTGTACTATAATAAATTTACACAAAAATCGTTATTTTATTAAGGATAATTATTACGCCATATTAAAAACGTAAAATACTAAATATTTAACAATAAATTAAAAATAAGATAAATAAAACAAAAAATATAAATCATTATTTTGTATTAATTACTTCAAAATAGGTGAAAATTAAATCTACTTGTTGTTGTAACTCAAATAAAAATTATCATTGACTACAAACACATGTAAAAAAATTTAATGGATAGTATGACTTACATTAATGCTTAATTTTACCAAATTCAAAAAAAAAAAAAACATGTCCCTTTTTTAGTATAAAAAATTTTGATAATTCTAGTAGATATATTCAGTGATTTAATTTGTGTACTGGGAAAGATATACTTAAGAAAAATCTTCACAATTTAATTTTTTTTGTTTTTGATGATCTATCCCTCTCGTTCTCCTTAATTATACTTTGAAAATTACACAAAAATATTATACTCAAAAAGTCGCAAAAATGTCATGGATATATACTTTGGAAATTTTTAATAATTTTTGTAGCTTTTTGAGTTAAATATTTTTTTAGTTTTAAATTATTTGCCCTTATCTATTATCGTAGGATAGAATATATTTAGTATTATAACCAGATTTATGTAAACCGAGTTTAACTGTCATTGACATCGTGACATGAAAATAAACAGTAATAAACGTAATGAACATTATAATTAACTATTCGTATTTATATGTTTACATGAAACTAAAATTTTTATGTAATATCATTTAAAATACTTTTTGAAATCCATGATCTAAAGACAAAAATTACTGTAGTATCGATATATACCAATATAATATTCTTAAGTAGTCATAAATTAATTAAAGAAAACTTAGTGTATTTATATCAGCAACTCAGGAATTATTTTAGTTAAAACGTTTCTTATGTCAATGGTATTTAACTAAAGATGTAAATAAATATACCGTGTAAGTAATGTATTTATAATTAATGTAAATGAAAATATAATTAAAATTATGAGTTTAACTAGTTTTACTAATGCATAATTGGTATTGATTTACATTTAAAATCTGTCTGCTAAAACAGTTCAATTTTAGCAATTGTGTGATAAGTAATGTTATCGATTATGTCATATAATGATATAACACAAATTTATGATTAACTGACTTTTCGTTATATATTTAGTTTTTTATACACAGTATTTAAAACCCATTAGTTTTATCAGTTAAAAGTAGCTTAAAATAAGACAAAAAAATTTAATTCTGGCTAAATAGAAGCCACTATTTAAAACTAAATAATCACTTATGTAACTAGATTTTCTTAAAATTGTTTACATACCCTAAAAATATTTTATTCGAATGTTCTTTGAAGGCAGGTCAAGTTTAAAACTGACAAATTTGTGTAAGTACAGTTTCTTTTTGCTTATTTTTCGCGCGACAGTGGTAAGTTATTGAAACAAATAAAAGTAAAAATTCTTGTACATGTAACTCAATAAACCTCTAAATAGTTACTATCTTAACGAAAACAATATAATTCTCACAAAAGAAATTTTACACGTTATTGGGTTTATACAGAATGATTATTAGTGTCAACTGAGAGAAAAAAAATTAAATATTGTTGTCATATAAGATAAAGTACATGATATATTGCTACTTTAATATGATCAGAATGAAGAGAAAAAAATGAAAACAAAAAAGTTAAATAAAAACCGATTCAACTGAATGCGATCGACCCACGACTGCATACCGCGGACAAGCTGCGAATATAATGAGTAAATGTGGTGCGGACCTGGGCAACGGATCTGCAGGGTGAAACCTGCGGATACGATGACTAACCATGTTAGGAGTAGGGTAGTGGTGGCGATGGTCCGGGTCGGCAGCGTGACAAGAGTAATAAGAACAGAAGCCGCATGTTCGTCTGTCGTCGGGTATTGTCGCAGTCATGCGTAACACTTTCGTTAACCTGACTCCCATAAATTCACTCAGTCGAATGCTATCTACCAGCAGAACTCAATCAACATTAGTTACACATATTACACAAGATAGCGTTACTTATAAAATAAAATTAAACATTTAAAAGTAAATAGACAGGGATGTATTTAAAAATTTTTGATAAAAGGGCACAAACAACTTTTTATGTGGATACATTTTTTTTTTTAATCAACTATTTTTGTTAATATTGTTACATAAAAAGGAACAAAAAATACCACATACATTCTTAAAAGATATATTGAACAATTTTTTCAACAAAACAAAATTTGGAAAGCTTTTTTGAAAAAAAAAATCATTTTAATTTGGATGTAAAACTAAGAAGGTATTGGTGTTTGCTCATAAAAATTATCAACTTTTACTGGAGCGATATTTATGACCTATAAGTCAAGAAAGCCCTCAATTTTAGAAACTTAGAAAAATATTTCAAAATTTAGGAACCGTCAAAAAAATGACGATTTAATTTGTTTAAAAATTACATTTTTTAAAAATAGTGTAATTATTAAATTAATGTTCAGTTAGTGTTAATTAATTATTACTAATTTAGTATTAATACTAATATCAATTAATTAAAATAATATTGCAATTAATATTTTGTGTTAATGTAAAATTATAAACTAGTAGAATTTTTGTAATAAATTATTTAAGTTTATTACTAAAATAAAATATAACAATTTAATAGCACTATAATCGATTACTAGTCTAACTGAGCATCGTGCTTATTAAAATATAACAATTTAAACTTTTTATTTGGCAAATAGTATTATTTTAGACCTTGATTATATGTTTGCAGTAATGTTTGTAGGTAGCTGAGACCTTGGGGTAGATGTTGATCATAGACTGCAAGACTAACATAAAATACTGATAAAATATTTTTAGGTTAAGGGCATTTTTATTTTTAAGATAAATTTTTATACAGCTTTTATGTTGTTTTGTGTGATTAATTAATTTTATAATTTGTCTAAAAAATTCTATAAATTCGTAACAAATTATTGAACCAAGCTTTATATTTTTCTCTTATAATGAAAAACCAGGTGATGATGATGGGTTATTTCTCCGAAATATAGATTGCAATTTATATTATCTGTAAATATATTTTCAGAAAAAAAATTCAGCTAAATAAATGTAACAAATTTAACTAATTTTAAAACAACATTTATTTAGATAAATTTTTAAAAATATTTATATTAGTGGGATACTTGATATAAAAGAAATAAAAATAAAAAAATTTAATATAATTTTAATGTTTTTCATTATTAATTTTATAGTATATTTTTAGTTACTGTAACATTTTTAATTGTAATATCTGAATATACATATCATTTTAATTAATAAAAAAAATTATAGTACAAAAAACAGCCATTAGTTTTATAGTATAGTTTTTTGGTTAAAAGATTGTTATTGTTTGATGTTTGCACATCTAAAATTTTCATTTTCAATAACATATTTATTAGTTGGGAGAAAATACGTTTAAACCCTTTAAGGTTGTTCTTGAATACAATTTTTTTGTCGAATACATACACTTACAATCCGTAAGAAATTCAAAACTATGTTTGTAGTTTAAAAGTTAGTTAAGTTTTAATTTAAAAGAAATCAATATTTTAAATAAAAGTGTAATGGAGGCTCTAGGTAAATTAGAAATGCGGGATTTAAAATCTAATCAACAAGCTATTGATGACATTATTTTTTGTGATACCAATCATATTAATACTGAATTAAATTATTATTTTTTGATAATCGTCATATAAAATAAAAAATGTAAAATATATCAGACAATTGACCAATGTTTTATTATTTTCACAATATTTCAATTATTTTAATTATATTAATGAAATGCAATGTCAGGTTGAGATTTCTGGCAAAAAGCCGAATGGTCTGAAGTCGAGTAATATAAGCATAACTGGGACGTTAAACATTCAGTCGTGTATCTGCTCCGTTGTGTTAAGGGTCCTTTCTTTAACAGTTTTATATCGAATTTGTAGTTACAATGTCCGTAATAAAGAAAGATACACCAATGATGCCAGCATTGGGCGACCCAGTAGCTTTTGCAAAGGATTTTTTGGCTGGAGGTATTTCAGCTGCTGTATCCAAGACTGCTGTCGCCCCTATTGAACGTGTAAAACTGTTATTGCAAGTACAACATATTTCCAAACAAATTGCGCCGGAAGATCGTTATAAAGGTAAATAAATCCGAAAATTAAATAGCCCGAAGAAGTTAATGAAAAATTTACTAAAAATTGGGATTAAAATAAAAATTTACTCATTAGGTATGGTTGATTGTTTCATTCGTATTCCTAAGGAACAGGGAATGACTGCATACTGGAGAGGAAACATGGCCAACGTGATCAGATACTTCCCGACTCAAGCATTGAACTTTGCATTCAAAGATAAATACAAGCAAGTATTTTTGGGTGGAGTTGACAAAAATACCCAATTTTGGCGTTATTTTGCTGGTAATTTAGCATCTGGTGGAGCTGCTGGAGCTACTTCTTTATGTTTTGTCTACCCATTAGACTTTGCTAGGACTAGGTAAGTCCTTTATTTTATTAAAAAAATATCATCGTACAATATATGTTTTTATAAGTTTAAAATTTTTAAAAATAATAAAACGCATTTCACTCAATAGATTAGCTGCTGATGTTGGTAAAGCTGGAGCAGCCCGAGAATTCAATGGTTTAGGAGATTGCTTAACTAAAGTATTCAAATCTGACGGCATTGTTGGATTATACAAAGGTTTTGGTGTATCAGTTCAAGGTATTATTATTTATAGAGCTTCATACTTCGGTTGCTTTGACACGGCCAAGGGTATGTTACCCGACCCTAAATCTGCAGGCTTCTTGGTTTCTTGGGCTATTGCTCAGGTAATTCTATTACTATAACATAATCAAGTAAATAAAACAAATTTAATTCATGTCATTCAATCATAACTATACATTTAAGAATGTATAGACAAGCTATGATATTGTTTTAATCAGTAATGAAATTTTGAATTGAGCCTAATCGTGTGTTTAAAAGCGGGAAAACAAGAAATGAATTGTAATTATAGACAATTTCAGCAGTACATAATAAAATTATTAGTTGTAACGAGAAAAAATTGCATTTAACAAAATTAAAAATTTTTAACGAACAAACAGCAAAAGAAAAATTTTTAATAAAAAAAAAATACTTTTTTTACTTTGAAAATTATTGAATCATACTCGGGTTACTTTAATTGCTACAATATTTGGGAAACTTTTAATGATATCTTTTTTTATAAATTTCGTGTAGCACAAAAATATTCTTTAAAGAATTTTTTTGAGTGTAAGGATAACATATTCAAATTGCTTTTTATTTAAATTTTGATTAATTAATTATTAAAAAAAACATTTATGTCTTTCTAAATATGATATACTTCAGTAAAAGTGTTAAACATTGCTATCATGATTAGCATTTAAATTCTGAACTATTTTATTATGTAATTTTCACACAATTATTTTTTTTATGAATTAATTATATTGTATTATTTAGGCCGTAACAACTGTTGCTGGCATTGTTTCATACCCCTTCGATACAGTCAGGAGACGTATGATGATGCAGAGTGGTCGTGCTAAATCTGAATTAGTTTACAAGAGCACTCTTCATTGTTGGTCTGTAATTGCTAAGACTGAAGGAGCTGGAGCCTTTTTCAAAGGAGCTTTCTCCAATGTTTTAAGAGGAACTGGTGGTGCTTTAGTATTGGTATTGTACGACGAAATCAAGGACCTTATTGTCTAAGATAAATTAATTCCATTCATAGTAACCAATTAATAAGTTAGCAAGGATAAATCTAAAGATTCTCTAAGTTATATAAATGTGTATCATGTCATTTGAATATTTTGTATTATAAAACATCATTATTGTTATTACCTATGTAAATAAAAAATATAGTTGTTACTTATTTTTGCGTTAAAATTTAATTAGTATTATTTTAAATTTTCTTTATATTTTTTTATCTACAGATAGGTACTTTAAGTAATTCTATTTATATAACATTTTTTGCCTGGCGGATGATCAGCTATATGACTTTCAACAATCTTGTACAATATTGTCAATGCCAACTTAAATTTAGCGCCCCATATTAGTCGATACCAAAATAGATATTCAGTGCCACAAATGAAATTAGAAATTAACAATATTACAATTTGTTACGTGACACGACAAAATAATACTTAGAGATAAACTTTTAAAACTTCTATTATAATATAAATTATAATTATTTTAATTATTTAATGCATTTATAATTATATCTGTGAATTTTTTATAGTTAATCTGTAATGCTAATGTGCCCTTAAGAATCAATATTTTTAGACATATTTTTACAATAATACACTTAATAAAAAATTACAAAAATAGTATGATTTATAAATTACATTAAAAAAGCTATTTTATAGCTCGAGTTTACTTTAAAATTAATCATCACTAGGCTCGTACTCCAAATCTTATCTTAAAAATTGAAGAGTGACACATACAAGCATTTTTTTTTATTAAAAAAAATATGTGTATATATACGTATATTTTCAATATATAATTATTCATGTCATCGCGAGAATATAACTCCAACTTGTTATAGTAAATTTTTACTTATATAAAAAAATTATAGTTTAAACAAACATTTAATACAAAATAGACTATAATGTTCTTTTGTACATACAATCAGGGCCATATTAAAGATAAGGGGTTTTTGGCATACCTAATGTTTTTAGGATCATCCTCAAAATAATAATGATCATTATAAGTTTTCAACAAATATAGTATAAAATATTTGTTTCTTCATATAACCGTTAAATGTACGATTATAAATTTGTATTTAAATTATATTATTAATTATTTTTAACCTTTAAGTAGTATTTAATAAAAATTTTAATTTCTGTATTTATTCTCATTCAGTAGGGTAATTTTGTATAGGTGGTTCAGTATAGTTTTGTATAGGGAGATTCACCCTTTTAGTATCTCCGTTACAATTTTTTTAATTTAAAATCCTAAGGAGGTCCGTAACACCAAAACTCCATGTGAATATACTACTGTTGTTCTTAGTAATATAAATATTTCTAACTTTTTTGATTCACAATATGTTAACATTATTTTTAGGTGTCGATCTTTAATATTGAAATTTGCCTCTAAGAACTACTGGGGGGTGCAACTATATCTCCCCACTACCAAAGCCATCCACGAATACAATTCTGTATTTACCTGAGTATTTCATTATCTAAAAATTTTCAAAATTTAATATTTTAATTTCACGACAGTGATGATGTGGATATAACTTGTTACGCAGTTGGCTACTCTCGTGATAACAGGCCACATATTTGTGATAATATTATTAATGGAAATGGATAAAAAGTATATATTAAATCATTGACACATAAATTAATCTTCATCTACATTTCTATAAATTTTATATTTTTCTTTAAATTGTCCATTTTTATAAATCAAAGTTAGTAAATTAAATAAACAAATTTATATTCGGAACATCATATTTTTTTTTAGAGAAAATATTTTTTTAAATTTTGCTTCTTACCTAAAAAAAGAATTAGATATTGTGTTATTAATTTTAGTTAGTGTGTGTGTTAATAAGTAAGTATATAATTTAAACAAATTAAATGATTTATTTTATCATACACTTTAGATGGAGACTTATCCAGTTAATGTTTCTTCTTATATCAGTATTTGATTGTATAAGATCTAAACAAAAATTTAAAAAATACTTTCATTTATAATTAATGGCATTTAAAATATCAGTATGTTTGGTTTTTTTTGTTAACTTAAATTTAGAACGATATGAGTGAAAAAAAATTTAAATCTAAATTAAGAAGTTCAGAAACTACTAAACGTCGTTCAGAAGAATCAATGTTATCACCAGATTTTTCTCAAATTGCATCGGTAATTATAATATATCACATTTATAATTATAATTAATATTTAGGCTTAGAAAATGTTTTCTATATTTTATTTTAGATTAAATTTTTTTTTTATAAAATCAAATTTTTATCAAAATTAAAAATGGTATCAATAAGGGTGGTCACAAGATGTGTTAATACATCAAATATTGTGCATAAGTATTATGTTGTATTATAGTTTAGAAGCAAACAAAAAAACCATTTGGCAATATTAAATTTTATGTACCTTACTCAAATTTTTGTGTTGATCATGAATTGACATTATGTATTTTTAATTAAATATAAATAATTAAAGGCTCCCATTCAAAATTGTTAAAGCATAGTGTAATTTATAAATGTTTTGAATTTGTTTCATAATTTTGTGATGTTATAGCAAACTATTGTACATGAACAAAACCGACCTATTTGTATGGGAAGAGGCATGGCTATAAAAAGAATGACCCAGCAATCTTTAGAATCCAAAATGCAATTATTAAGTAAAGATATGGTATGTATATCTACTAATAATAATATTTATTTTTTTAGAAAAAAAGTTTAGGAGTTATATTTTATATTAATAAATATTGGTGTTAGTAATACACATAATAAAAATACAGCTTTATGATAACTATGGTGCTTCATGAAAACTTCTAATCTTTTTTCTATCTACATATTACTCTTCTCCAATGAGACAAATTTTATTGTGTATTCTTTGATTGGCATATCAATTAAAGAAAAGCATTTGTCTCTTTGCTTTTCTTTCAACATGGCTCTTCACATACACTAGTCAACAGGCCAAATATCAATATTAAATCCAATATTAATTTAAATATCTATAATATTATGTAATTTATTTTAATAAGATTATTTTTAATTTTAGGATTTTTCAAATTCAACCATAGAAAAACATTTCAATCAATTAAGATGGGAAAATGCTAAAAGTAAGTAAATTATCTTAAATATACTTCATTAAAGAATGATATTTAAAAATAAATCACAATATTTGTGTAGAATAAATTGTGGAATATATGTAACAAACAGTAGTATACATACAGGGGGGTTTTCATAGTCTAACCCTTCCAGAGCCAAACATTTTTTTTAAATTGTGTTTTAATATTCCATTATTGATTGTTATACTCATAATTTAAGTATTCAAATATTATTATTTAATATTAATAATTGTTATTTTATAATAAATATTAATTACTAAGTCTTTTGTTTACTAAAAATTCTTCACACCAACTCTAAATGTAAAAGTACAAATTAACATTTATTTCATGGACTTGGCTATTTTAAGGATAAATAAAATTTATAGATATTGTCTATTTATAACATTTAATTTGTACCCAGAAATGAATTGTATCATTTATGAATGACGAAAGAAAAGGTAATGATAATGTATATACACATTTTACTCAATAATATATATATTATTATGATTAATTTTTGTTGTAAATGTTTATGAATATTTATTATTATTATTACATATATTTTTATTATTTTCTTGTTTAATAACAATTTTATACCAATTAACAAGTTGTTTAAAATATTTTTTTTGATAAGTAATTTAAATAATTTTTAAACCTCCCTAACATATAAAATTTGAATGTACGTCACTGGTAACAGATAAATCTAATAACTTTAACATAACATATCTTTTTTTTTTATGACATAATTGGATTACATTCTAAAATTAGTATCAGTAATTTTTTTCTGTTACAAAAAAATATTTCTTAAAACTGTATTTTATGATACATAATATTTACCATAATTTTTTTTTCAGAAATTGAGGAAGATAATGAAAAAAAGTGGGGTTTTTTTTATAACAGTAGTCATAGTAGCAAAAAGTAAAAAATAAATATGGTATGACAACTAGTTTAATTGTGAATGTAAATGTTTTAAAAATAATGATTTTTCAATTTATTGACCTGTATTAAATTTTTAAGAATATCATTTTTATTATACAAATTATCATAATTATTACTATGAATTATAGACCAATGGTGATATTAATAAGTATTTTAAATCTTTATTTGAATCAATGTGTATATTATCATTTGTAATTTTAAATATATCTGTGATTTTTTTTTGCATGTTGATAAATTAAAATAATTAATTTGTAAATTCCATAATTGTTTTTTCTGGATAATCTAAAACTTTTTTATTATATTTATATTTAAAAACCTATAAAAACCATGACATTGTATTGTAACCATTTTACTGTGATTCATTTTATACATATATCATGTTTTTTCTATTTCAAGTTTATAGTGATATGTTATCAAATTTATAATTTGAATTATTTAGAAATAATTTGTATTTGACATGTGGTATTAGTAGCACAATGGAGATAAGTTTTGAAAAATTGGTTGGTTGATTTTAATATTATAGTATGATAAACAAAAAAACAATTTACAGATGATTAAAATATGGAATTATTTATTAAATAATAAATTATAATAGAGTTTATTATAAAAGGAAAATATGACTGACAATTGTGAGTTGTATCTCAGCAGAAGTACCTGATGGGGGGCACTATTACAGGTTCAAACATGGCAATATATAGTTTACCTTAAGTATTATAACAAGTGACTCATTTTACTGATTAGTAATTGAAGTCCCCTACCTTTTAGCAACAGAATAACCACCCGTATCAGATAATAAAACATTAAGAAACTTTTTTTTGAGGGAAATCGTAATGGCCATAAGAAATTTTAAATTTAAAAATTCTATATACACATTGTTTATGTACATTGATTTATAATAAAAGTTTTATAGATGTAATTTCTAAACTCTTCTCTCATTGCACTACTTAGTAAAATAAATTTTAAGAATATTTGTATTTCATATAAAATGTTGTATATTTGTAAGTAATTTGTTAAATTTTATATTTAAGTTTTATAAAATAAAATAAAAAATTATTGCATGTTGTAAAACATATATTTTTTTATTAAAAAAAAAAGATATAAATTACATTTTGACTTTTTAAATGCTAATAAATTATTTAAAATTAAATTAAATTGTAATAAATGTTATTTTAAATGTTTTTATAAATTTTGATCACCTGAATTATTAACTAAACAATAATAATATTTGGAACAAATTATTTATTAATTCTTACCAGAATTTAAAGGGATAAATAAATAAATAAACTTTTTGTTATAGAGAAAAAGGAGCTAAGTTAATTGTTCACTTTTTTTGTTATAGAATCTAATAAAAGGACTTTTATTACATATTATGATCCATGTTTTCTAAGGTATAACGCACTAATAAAAATTATTATCAAACAAATTACAATTTATCTAATACTTGCGGAAGCTTAGATTAAGATATTTTGAGACCTGGTGTTAAAATTTTAATTAGGCCTATGTAAAAGAAAAAGTTAGAATACTCGAAGTATTAAAACGGCTTCAATACTTTGGGTAATATAGTAAGCTATACATAAGTCCAACTAGGGAGCTAATGGGTGCTAGCTAATAAAAAAAGTTGAAATGTTTATATTATGCTATGTTACGAACCTTAATCTTCAGGTCAAACTGACCCAAACCGAGCTCATCAATTTGTTAATCGAACCAAATTAACTGAATATTTTGTCTCGGGCCAATTATTATTTTTTTAAGAATTTCAGGTGAAATACTTACAAAAAATTAAATATGTTGAAAAATGATACAATTATATTATTCTCTATCAATCTCAGCGTGATATTTGATTGTACTAATTGGGTTAACAGAGGAAAAGTCCGATTCAATTTTTTTTAATTTATTTAACTTGGCATTTAAAGTTTAAATTTTAAACCGAACGTTCCAAGTTTAGTTCAAAAATTAAAAAGTTCTAATATCATAACAAAATTATCACTATTATTAATTATACAATTATATTATATATATTACTATTATAATTTTATTCTAGTTTTACTTTTGGGACCCTATCCTTCTAAGCCTCCATAAATCTATGCTTGAAAGGAATTATTTAGTATTTGGAAGGACAAAAGCCACTCAACAAATTCTTATGGGCAAATTTTAATATTAAAGAGTAAAACCAAAAAAAAAAATAGTCGTTAAAAAAATGTTATGCCAATATTGGTACTTATAATATTTTATGTTCTTTATTTTATTTAATGATTATCATCATATTTTCAATGAAATATTATTGTGATAGCTTATCAATATACTAAAGAGCAATTCTAAAAAAAATTGGTGGCGCCAAAATTTATGTAGCCACTCCATACCAAAATCTTAAATTCAAAGCTCAAAAGGCTCTGATACTTGATATGTGTATATTTTAAATAATTTTGAAAATGGATGACAAAATATTATTTAATTTTTGTGGTTTGTTTTATTTGAATATTAAAATAACGAAAAAGTTGCTCTAAAATATTATTGAATCTAATACGAGAATAACTGTTACTTTCATAAGATTAAAGGAAGTAAAGAATATCTTAATGCTTTCTGCATAAAGAGTTACTATCATAGATATAAAATAATTATAATATTTATATCAAGTTGATTCGCATTACAATTATTATGCAACCGTTTCTTTAATTTGTTGCTGATTAAAAACTTTCTTAACTTAATTTACGTAATAAGATATTCATATTTTAACAATTTTTAGCTTTGGTACAATGTCGAGAAAAAATAATTTAACTAGGATGTGTAACATTTGAAAACATTTTCTTCATTTTTCGTAAGTACAGTAATATCCAAAACATTATAATTTTAAAATTCGCAATTTTCGTTTTTTTTTTTGCTGAAAATTGCTATAAACTTTAAAAATTGTTAAATTAAATCAAACATTTTTTTTAAGATCACCTTAAATGTGTTAATTTTATAACGCATATATTTTTTAAAATCCTACATTTTACTTACACACAACAGACCCTGTGGAATGATAATTTTCCATTTTTAAAAAGATAGTTACCCTAAAAAAAAAAATTTAATTAATAAGAGTTCAGTATTGTTAGTTGTAAATATTTAGAAAGGATCAACCTAATAAGTATATTGGGAGTATTTTCAAAAAAATGCTATTCAAGCTACCAATATCTTATGACACATTATAATTTTAATTTCAAAACTGAAATTTTAATTAACTAATGAAGATCAGGATAATCAAACTTTTTTGACAACATTCACTTGGAAGAGTTTTAAGCTATTAACACAATTTTATTCTTCAAAATAAATTCACACTTTGTAAATATTTGAAATAAATTTAATATTTTAATACTGGAATCGGAATACAATATGTAGTAATTCTTTATATTATAGGGTTTGGTGAAAAATCGAAGAAAACAATACATTTTTGGGCATGAGATGCAACGCTCTTGTTCTTATTGTTGCTGTAAATTGACGTTAAAAAATGGTTTGTCGCTATTTCAGTACCGTACTAGGATATGCAGTTTTTGTCTTTCTCTCTCCTTTTAGTTATCTACTCGCAATAGTTTTCATATATTTTATTAAATTTATCGTGAGAACATCGCGTGTTGGCCTTTCACTTTCGTCGCATATAGAGCTCGTGGATAAAACAACGTAACTGGTTTAGGGATTATGCAATTGATAATACACAGACGGGGTCGAAGAGATCGAGTATTCTTATTAGCGTCCACAGCAGTGATACGGTTGTTTAGTTCAAAGTGTGGTACTAGATACATACTCCGGTAAACGATGCAAGACAAATCGATGGCCGGTAAAATCATGTACGGCTGTTTAGTGTTCGCCACCGCACTCAATTTAGGTAAGCGTTTGTGAAGATTTTATTATAAATAGTGTTTTAAAATTAATAATGCGCGTAATATTTTTTTGATAAATTAAAGTTTTATAAAATGTATATATAAAAAATCCAACCATCTACTTTTGTGGTGTATTTACCGTAAAAAATATTAAAATTTAAACTATGTAATTACTAGGGATGCATGTATGCATCAGGAGTCAGGTACTCATTATTGAAATATTTTTCAATATTATAATTATTAAATTCATAGCATTTATACCACATAATAAGGTTTTATTAAAATTGTAAAGCGTTATGCTTATGTGTACCAAAAGGATCCTTATATGTTGTGTTGACCTGTGAATAGCGAATTCCTATAGTTAATAACTAAATTATGTTTGAAAACATTTATTTATTTCATAAATCGAATAAATAAACAAAGAGTCACTTTCAAGTTGTTATATAGATACTGAATGAATTATGTAGACACGAATTTTTACATTAAAATGTTTAAAAAAATCCGCCGTTCTTTTTATTTTATAAACAATCACTTGTTTAACCCAACTAAAATCATAGAAAGTTTGGGGTTACTTAGTTATCACTTATGACAATTTTTGATTCGACATATATTATGAAGAAATAATATTGTCAAACTTAGGTGCGTACAAGAGAGTACAATGATCCTAATATCAATTGAATTTTATTAACTCTTTATCATAAAAACAAGTTCTCTTTACCTTTTGTTTTTAAACTGCATAAATCTAGTCAGGGAAAATTTTATTATAATTAGAGTGACTAATAGAGTCATTCTTTTCTGACCTCCGTAATCAGTCTGGCTTAGAAGTAGACTACAGAAAAACATGATGTATGAATAAACATTCTATGATGTACAATAAATTGTATACTTGAATAAGTACCTTATAAAACATGGTGCATAAAAAAGATAATATTCGTGTAGATAATTGCAATATCTATTGTTTCTTATTTTTAAATTGTTAGATTGATTTTAATAAAATTATTATAATCACATTTCTATTGATAGTTTTTAGTTTTTGTACCAGGGAAACGATGTATAAAATTAGCGACCTATCAATCTACTTTTTGATTCTTCTAGCTTTGTATCTATTTCAATTCACTCTTTCCCATAATAAATGTTTGGTTTTAATTTATCTTGATTGTAAATTTATTTAAATAAAAAAATAATATTTAAAAATAAACGTGTTATATTAACATGTCTGTTTTCGTATAATTTGGGTAAAAATATTTTTGCTAAATTATTTAGCTGCACTCTGTCACGAAAGTTTAAATGTAAATATTATTATGTGTTAAAAACGTGAAAGAGAAGTTAAATCAGTTAAATAAGCGTTTACAAACCTTGATAATTGAAAAATATAAGTCCAATAGGCCTAAGCCAAAAATAATTTATTACTCAACTATCTTCTAATCATCAATTAAGTATCAAATATCTTTCAATTAAAAAATAATAACCTTTATTATAATTTACGTCATAATTATTTTATAAACTTAAGATTAACTGAAAAATCAGATAAATATAATTTTAAATTGATGTTTACCTTGTTTTAAAAATTGTGAAAGTTTGTTCGTGTATGTATTATATTTTTAGCCATGTATTTAATTTTCAAAGCTATAATTATTATATTATCAAAAATGGAAACAAGGATAGTATAGTATTAAGTGAAAAGTAAATGTCTAAACTTTATCATTACATTGAAAACTTGTTTGTAAAAATATGTATGTTTCATTGAAAAATATTTACAAAAGGGACAATTTTCTACAAAAAAAAGCCAATAAATTTGGCTTTTTTGTGATTTTTGTCTAGAAGATTTTTACTCATTTTTTTTAATTATTACTATATCAACATAAAGTTTTTTCCCTACAATATTCTGTTTCAATGTTTAATGAAATTTATTATTTGTTGTTATTTTTAATTGATAGGTTATATTTATATTAATAAGTGTCTTTTAATATTAAAATATACCATAAATAGTTCATATCTTTTTACTAAAAAGAATTATTTTTAATTACGATATAATTTGGAATGTTATTTTTTTGTTAAGTATATCATCTCATGTTAAGTACATGAGATGATATAGTTATAGTATAGTATGATGTATTTGATATCATATTTCAAAAAACTTGAAATAAAAGCATTTTAAGAGATTATCAAAGTATTAAAAAATGAGTTAAATTTTTAATAAACTATTGTAATTTTAATATGTGAAGTAATGTTTGTGGTCAAATTATTATTTAGTGAGAGTGAACTAAGAACTCTCATTTAAAATGAAAAATTCTGAAAATACTACATCGAGTTATTAATGAAATATACACAATACCACGCATTAATTAACCACAGATAACGTTATGGAATTGTAACAATGGCATACATGAGGATGGTAATTAATAGTTTCGTTCTCAACAGTCGTCTCTCATAACATATTGGACAACCTGAAACCTATATGACATAGTAGTTTCCGTGAAAGCTTTCGTGACGGAAGTGTTCTCAGTTTGTTATCAAAAATTACGTCATAATGAGCCATATAATAAATTATGCAATTGTTTTATTATTGTTGATACTATGATTGTAGATAACTCTAATCAATGTTAATACTAAATTTTCAATTTTTATATAATTTTAAGAGACTTGTTAAAATCATGTATATTGTTAACACGATTGAGTTTCTTTATGTGAACAAGTGTTTATGAAAAAGTATTCAGCTAAAAAAAAAGAAAAATACTTTGTTTTTAAGAGAGATAGAAACATCCACTCATGACTAGCAACAGATATTTTATTTAAGTTACGTGGAAGTGCGTGACTTTAAACTAGCAATGATCGCAAAAGTAATGATTCTATTTGTTTTGTACTTCACTTTAAAATGTGTTGTACGATATTGACGGAATACTAGCAGTTGTCTATTGAGATTGGTCAGGTCAGGTTATAAAAGGATTTGACAAAAAAAAAAAAAATTAGAGTTTGTTTGATTTGAACTCAGAAAATAACTTCCTCAGTTTTGAAAAGGTTTTTCTAACAACAAAAAGTTTTTTATTGTCTGTAGTTTTTGCAAATACCTACAATCATGATTGTTCGGTCATAAAATTCTAATAAAACTTGATCTAAATGACTCTTTAAAATGTTGATATATAATTTTGGGAAGTTTATAGTTCTTTTATTCAAAATTTTACTTTGAACTTTAGAAAATTTACTGAAATTTAAATTTAATATGTCAAATCAATGGCAAAAATTGTTTTATTCTTCAATTAAGAAATAAAACAAAAATCGATCAATTTAACATTAATTATCAAGACTAATTGGTAATATATTATTATTTTGACTGTGTAAGTGAAAATGTGTAATTGTAATGTTTGAGGTGGATAAATAAATGTTTACAGTTAAGAAATGTATAGTTTACAAACTATGAATAATTGTTTAACTGCATTGTAAATAAAAAAATCAATTGTTTCTGTATATAAGTTTTTATTTCGTTTTTCATGCATCAAAATAAAATAAATTAAATTATAAGATGTTATCGTTGTTATATATTTTTAGTTTACTCATTTTACGTTTAATATCATTTAGTCATTATTTTACAAAGATGTATGTTGAATACGGTATTGTATAAAATACTTATAAGTATAGGGTGGTCAAATTTTTTGGTGGATTAAATGTTGTATTATTACATTAATGGATTTCATTGAACGGACGATACAATTTGTATCTTTTAAAAATATATTAACTGAATGTAGCTAAAATTAGTACAAATATAATCATTTAACACAAAAAGTTTTTAGGTGTCATCATAAAGTTAATAGTGATACTTTTTTACCAAAATAGTTGTTTTTTATTGAATTTCCTATAACAGGGGTGTAAAATTTATTGAAAGGTTTCCTATTTATATAAACTATAATAATAGCATTTAAAAAATTGTAAATGTTATTTTCCGTCATTTTTGAATATAAATTTTTTAATGTATTTTAGGGGTATTTGCTTTAAAAGATAAACCAGAGCAACGTTCTGCGGGAATTACACCAGTTCAATCAAAGAGACAGACTGCGACTCAAAATGATGACTTTGACCTTCAACAAGCAAATGTAATATGATTAAATGAATTTTAATATTGATTTAGGTTTAAGCAGTGTCGTTATTTTTTCGAAAGGTTTCTTATTATTTTAGGTTTAAATACTCGGTATTATTTTTTCAATTGTTACTTTGAAAAATAATTGTTGTATACTTAACGTTAAAGATATTTATTGTAATATTTATGTTTTTAGATTTCTCAAGAGTACTTAGATTTCTTACAACAACAATCAAATGGCGAAAGTAATCCAATACATCAAACACAATTCAGGCAAAAAAATCAACAACCTATTTTCGGCTCTAGGTATTATTATTCAATAATTTATTTTACATAGATATAGTTACTAACAAAAAGTGCATGCCTCTACTTTAATCTAGTTATAGTTAATCTATTTTTTTATAATCTTGTAGAGTACTGAATAGTGCTTTCCCACCAACCACTACAACTACGACTACTTTATCGCCATTTGGTGCTGAACAAGTTCGACTTCAACAAGAATATGCAAGTCAAACGTTATTAGAACAACAGTCTTTATTTCTCAGACCTCGAGTTCCTCCAAATCAGCCTTTATCTACCCAGCCACAATTTCAACCACAACCATTAATACCTAATCAACCATTCCAATTCCAGTTATCACCATCTCAACAGCAAATTCAAACCCGGTTTCCTGTTCAACCACAACCTCAACAATCACAATTCCAAGCACAAGCATTAGAGCAACAACAAAATACTTTTTTGCAATCAACTGACTCAAATCAAAATTTTGATTCCCAACAGAATCCCCAATTATTACCACAAAATGATAACTCATTTTCTTTTGCTCAAATTCAATTTGGCCAAACAGAACCATCACCAGTTGAAACTATTCAGCCCGCTACAAGTTTTAAAGGTCAGAGATCTGTTTCCAAACCCAAATCAAATAATTTACCAGAACCTATTACTCAACAATCGATTGAATATACTACAGTGAATCCAGTTCTTTTGAACGCTCGCTTATTACAAAACGCAGTGTACGTTCATCACAATGGACAAATATATAAGCCTACTGAAGAAACCGATCAAGTCGTTTATATTCCTAGAAAAAAATTTCCATCGATCACCACGACTTTTGCTCCTTGGACAGTTGTTGGTCGTAATGAACAAAAAGATGATGCAGTTTTTATTTCAAACCCCACATATGAACGACAGAAATCAATTGTTTCGACTCAAAGACCCATTTCAAATCAACAAAAGTCTAGACAAGAAAGTAAGAAATCGAATAAAGCACAAATTAAACCTATTGGAACAAGGACTGAGCCCCCACCAAATGAAACTGCACCTGGTGAGTTGTTACCAGACAATTTCTTTTCTTCACTTTTAACTCAGTTTCAACAAGAACCAGCACTTGTATTCCCTAAAGCTCGGGGCAATCAAAGGTCAAAAGCTGTAAATACTAATACACATAATAGCGAGACTTCTAGGTATATACCAGACAAAAGCCAATTACAATTACTGCAATTTACTGACGAACTAAAATCACTAAGTAATTCTGAATTAAAAGTATTAGACGATGCTGGTATTCAACTTCCTATCAACGGACAATCTAGACAAGCATTTCGTAGTCGTCCAGTGCCTCAGCAAGTTGAATTAGATCAACAGCAAAGACAATACTTAGCTTCTCAAGGCATACGTAATTTGTATAGAGTGGATTATGATGAGTCGGGTAACCCATTGCCTTTAACTTATGTTTTAGCTTTAGATAATCGTACGAAACAAGATAATCAGCAAGAATAATTTTAATCGTAATGTCTTTTTATAAAAAAATCTTACGCCACTATGTAGATTGATACTTAGATTGCTATTATTGTTGTAATGATAATATGTAAATAACTGATTTGTAATAGTTGTGCAATATATTTGTTTATTTATTTTTTTAATAGGTATTTGAAATAGATTTAATGTTTGAAATACACAAAATTTAGTTCTTTTTTCGTTAAAAATATTATAAAAATAACATTATTGTTTTTAACATACATACTTATTTTGGAATAATCAACATTTCAAGGGATTTAAGTTCTTAAATTGATGTATTTAATAATTTTATCGATCTCTAAAAAAATATATTTAAAGTTAAATAATAGTAAATTATCAATAGAATAATTAAATTTTCTAAAAAAAAATCCTGTAAATAGGTATCCACGATTATTAGTTATTTTTTCAAGGCTTTTCGAGCTAAATATTTTTAATGTTTTTTAGTTTTAAATTAATAATATTTTTAATATATTTTTAATTTAAAATAATATTAACTACAAGTGATCAATTTTTATTATATAATTATGGTGTTCTGCCATTTTGATCATAATAAAGAGTTAAACAAATTGAAGCAGATTAAGACGAAAATATGCCTAATTGGAGCTGATATTTTTTTTTTCAAAAAATGTAATAAGTTTCATATGACTCCAAAGTTTGTTAGATTACCAAGTAAGTCAAACAATAATAATAATTTTTTCAATGGGTAAATTTCGCTTAGGAAAAGTTTCTTAAGTTAGATGTAATGAGTAATTATCGTAATAGAAGTAGATTGGAAATGGGGGCTTATCAATTACATTTAAAACTTTCTAATTTTCTAAGTCAATCACAGTTAGTAATCTCCAAACAGAAGATGTACTAGGTGATTGAACATAAATTTGAAACGAAAAAAGAAAATTTAAAGAAAAAATTTCAAAATTTATATTCAGAACACAAAAATAAGGGCCAAAGATAAACACACTCATGTTCAGGTTTCCGAACAATTTAATCCCCAGCTGACTACACAAAATGGCAGCTTTTAATAGTATGATTTACAGATAAGTTAATATTTGATGAATAAAATAGATTTTGATAAAGAATTGGGGGTTATAAGAGAACTAGCTAAATTTAATGGGTATAACGAAAATTTAATTTCAAAATTAGTCCGACAACAAAGGTTGAATAAAGAAAGAAGGCCAGGTAGAAAACTCACTAGCGTAGGTGAACAAAAAGTAATTAGATTACCCATTTTATAATATCCGGGCATCTCAAATGGACTAGCTAGAATTTTTAAGAATTTTGGTATTACTTTATTAACGTAAAAGTAATAATTTAAGAGATTTATTAGGTAACCCTATAGATAAAGTAGAAGAAAGGGGGAAATCGGGCATTTATAAAATATAATGTGAAAGTTGTAATAAACGTTACGTAGGACAAACAAAAAGAAATATAGCAGTTAGGTTTAAAGAACATTTAAGAAACATTAAAAATCAAGAAGTTGATAAATCTCCGGTGGCTGAACATTTATTGACACATAATCACTCCATTAAAACCATATAACTAATTAAAAACGTAAATAATTACAAAGAACTTAACATAAAGGAGGCAATAGAAATGTTTAAAAATAAGAACAATTTAATTAATTGGGCTCTTGGTCAACCGAAAAATTCATTATTAATCTTGCGTAAACTAGCAAAATTTTATAATATTGCTTAGTGATAAGGTCACTAGGTGTTATGGTTACTATGGGAATGTGTTTAATATTGATAATAATAACACTATTCCCGAAATACACATCTGCGATTTTTTTGTAACATTTTTGTGGTTTTTAGAGTTAAATATTTTTAGTTTTAAATTAATAAATAATTAATTTTAAATAAATGAATAATAATGTTCCAATTATTGAATAATAAAAAATGAAAAACCATTGTACTTAACCAAATAATAAGCATTTTGATTTCTTCATTATTAGTATATTTATTTTTTATAAGAATCATAATTTATTTTATGTTACTGGACTTTTCGAAAAATGTCAAAACGACAAAAATACACAACAAGAGAACAAAAAAAAAGTCAAAAATTTCATTAGTCTTATATTAATTGAAATTTTTTAAAGGTAAAAACAAACCTATGTTTTAGTAGATGGATAGATTGCACTTATTTTACAAATATTAACAATAATCCCGAAGTATCAATTTTATGACTTATCATCTTTTTGATACACATTACACAATAAATTATTTATTGAAATAAATACAAAAAAAAAGAACGGAAAATCATATGTTAAAGGAAAAATATATACTTTTAATTGTAAAGGATAAATTTGTTTATAGGTTTTTGGATAGCTAATTGATAAAATTATTAATGAAACTTACAGAAATAAAAATACGATTAATTATGACATAATTTTTAAAAGTGTTATATTAATGTTTTAAGTCAATATTCACACATAAAACTGTTTTGATATAAAATTTATTAATAATAAAATTATAATTTGATTAAAAAAAATTTTATTTTATATTAAGTTTTAGTAAAATGTATATGAAATTTAATACACTTATGCACAATACATTATATTGCTATTGTTATTATTCTGTATTTGTTGATTATATTAATATCATAATTAATCCAACAATGATACTCTAATTAATATATCCTAAAAAGATGCTTATCTAATTCTTATAATTTATCGTTTATTAAGAGTTTTGGCACATTTCGTTTTGTCTTAAAAATTAAATAATTAAATATTACCATTTTCATTCGGAACGATAATAAAGAATAAGTTTTAAAAAAAAGATTTTCATTATTTATATAATCTTGATTAGTAATTATTTTATTACTAAATATATAAATAATAATTAGTGTAACATTATAATTAAAACTATATACTTTTATTTTAAATATAATCGGATTTTTCTTTTACTTTTTTTTTTTTATTTAATTAGTGTCGTTATTACTGTGAGTCTTAATTATTTTTATTTTAGCAAACTTATAATTTTGTTAAAACGTTATTTTATAGAATTAAATATAAATATAAGTATTGTTGAATAAAAATAAAATATTAAATTAAAATATTTGTCCAAAAAAACTCTAATCATAGACCATTTGAAAATGTTTTTAAAACTTATAAAATGTGAAAATCATTAAATATAAATTATTTAAGTAATAACTAAAATATCATTACAAAAATAATAAATTGGAGAACTTTTGACAGGTTATTCTTAAAATTGTTCATTGATAACCTTTTTTTTTTTGTAAATAATTATTAATAATTTGAAATAATACATAATTTGTGTGGGTCACTAAAAATAAGTGTGGAAATTCGCTAACTCAATAAAAAAATGGAGACACTCCCCTAAAAGTATGTCTAAATAATTTTGATGTAATTAAAAATGTAAAAATATTTTAACTTTATTATGAGGCAGAGAAGGTATTGATTTTACCATGTTTTTTTATGTCTATCTATGAAAATTCTCAGTTAGCACTGGACCGATCTTGTTCGTTTATGAATCAAAAGAACCTGATTTTAATCTAATTGAAGCTACCAGAAAAACTGAACAAAACCACCTCATTTAAAATAAATTAAAAAATAATTGTCAAATAACAATATTGAAAAAAATAGCATTTCCAAAAAATATTTTTGCATTTTAAAAATTCTATACCTAATTTTTAAAACTAATCTTAATGAAATTTATTTAGAGTATATTAGAAAGCATAATTTTTCTTTCGTTATAGTTTTTATAAAAATCTTGAGTTCAAGAAGAGTTTGAAAGTGTTCACTAATTTGTGTAAAAATCTATTTTTCAATACTACTTTATTTTCAATTAAGCAAATAATTTAACAATCATTTAATATTTAATATTTTAGTATTTTAATTTAAGGAAATCGTATGGGAGGGTTTTTTATGATAGTTATGTTATTTCGTCACATATCATCTATACTTGTCCCAATTATACCGGGTTACCATTGAGCTGTGTTTTATATTCGTATGTCATTTAATTTTTTTTTTTTTGAAAATTTGGGTTTCATTGATGAAGAATTTAAACTTGTTTGGTATGTAAACAAATTAAAATTGTACCGTATTATTAGCCGGCTTATTAAAAGTAATTTTTCTTCTTATATGTTGTTTAGACCACCCGGATATAAAGTGACGTTTTTATTAAAACTTCCGTTGCGTGCAGTACTATAATATATCATTATTACACCTTAATACAATTAGTCTAATATGGATAAATAATCGAAAAATAAAAATCAATAAAAACTGTATTAATGTTACAGGGAATCGTGCGTAAATGTTGAAATATTTGGACGATGCATTTCGAATAAGTAATTAATCACGTAAAATGATTTTTTGTTTCCATTAAAAGTTCATTTGAAAATTAATAATTTCACTTTAAAAACCGGACAAACGTTAAAAATCGTCACCCAAATAATATTTGGATCACGAAGTACTCGAGGTTTGCATAACTAAGACGATTTTTTCCTAAAAAGAATAATAACAATCAATAAAAAGTGTCTGTATAAAAAGTGGTTTGCACAGCACACTCAGTTTCAGTTATTGAACGGGGATTCAAAGAACAATACTTGCAATCAAACACTGACTTTGTATATTCTTGTTTGTACGTGATGTTTGTGGCAAAAAATGGTGAGAAAGTATTATTGAATATTGTATATACCGTCCCTAATGAATTAATTTAGTTTAAGTTCTTTTTTTATCGTGATAACTCTAAACTTATAATTATATAAAATATCACATGATTATGGGTCAACAAATAGCGTTAAAAGCTTTTTAATTTAAAGTGTAAATCATTTAGATATTAAATTAAGTTTTGATATTATTCACGAAAGCTATAAAAATTTAATGTAAAATTATTATACTACCAATTTATACGAAATAAAGTATTAAAATCTGTTCGAAATAAGAGTTTTTGAAATATACGATTAATTATGATAAAGATAATATATTAAATATATTATATTATAAATTTTATAATATAATATTATACCCACTATATATATTAAAATATTATAACTCAATGAGTAATTGTTCTGAAATTGTTATCAATCCATAACAATTTTTTGTAAGAAAAAGATTGAAAAATGGTTTCTTTGAAATTTTAAAAAAATAAAAATTGATTTATTTTTCCTGTTAACGATAAATAATAAAAAAATTTTTTTTCATAAATTAATTGATTTCATTAAAATAGATGTTAAAATAATTATATACAGTTTATTTTGATTTTTGTATTAATTATTTGTATAAGTTTATTATTAGGCTATATGTAAGTAATTTTTAAACATCCAAGTACCTTTTTAACATTTTCTGTTTATCAAATAAATAAGTGGTCTCAGATTTGTTTAAGCACATAGCTAATGGGACCAATTTAGTATAATTATTGATAATTGCTTTGATTTTGTTTTGACAGAACATAATATGGGTTTCTATATCTTCTAGCTGCTTTAACTTGTCATTTAAGTGAGTTTTTAATGGATTTGAAACGTCATTGTCACACTTGTTATGGGACTTATTCAATTTGGTTGTTATTTTAAAATTGTCATTTGGCTTATTAAAGGACTTGATGTTTTTTAAACTTGTAATTTCTTTACTATATTTTTTTTTTAATGTCGTTTCGTATTTTTTTTTCTTTCTTTCAATATTCATTATCGTGGCATTAATTTGAACGTCTAAAAGCTGACGACAATGTGAAATTTGATTTTCATACGATTCACTTATGTCTTGAAGCTCCCGTCGTTTTTCACTAAAATTCTTTTTTTTCTTTAAAGATTCCCTTTCTTCCATAAATGTATTAAAATTACTCAATAATCTTTTCTTTGTATCAATTTCTTTTTGTTTTAATTCCTTCTGACATTTATCCTTAGCATTTTTTTCAATAACTGGAATACTGTTCTATTTGAAAAAGTAATTTACTATATTATTTTATATGTCTTCACTCATATATTTATATATACATTTTACCAGAGAACAATATTGTTAATAACACTCGATGCATGATAAGAATAAATTACTATATGTATATCTATGTAACTAACAAACAATAATGCTTGCTTTAATTTAATTAAATGAGCGTTGTTATGAAAATCTATGCATGAAGCTGATAGTATCTGGCGCATACATGAAATATAAAAATACTATATGTATAAGTCTAGTAATAAAAACTTATTAGTAAAATTTTAACTTTAAAAGATTTAAAATTATATAATGTTATAGTAATATATGTGTGTAAATTTTGATCTTGGATTAGCAATGAAAATGTTTAAATAAAATTAAAAGTTATATTTTCAATAATCTTTTAAAAATTTTAAATGAAAATTAATTTTGTAGATAAAATATTATATACATAATACTTACTAAAAAAGTTTCGCCTATGTCATTAAAAAATTGTATGATATTTTGTTCGTTTTTCATATCCATATCTAATCTCAACTGTTCAATATCGTTTTCTAATTTATAAGACAATCTTTCATTCAGGGCTGATAATTTTTTATTAAAGTCATTCCTCATTAGATTATCTTGTGCAATAAATACTTTTGTCTCCAAATTATTACCGATATCTAATTATGTAATAAAAGAATTATATTTGTATGTATAATAAAATAATTCTAATAATAATAGAAAAATAATAAAAAATATCCATTTGAAAAATTGTTTTGATACACTACCAATAATAATACTAACATCATCATCATTATTTTCTTTATCATTTCCTTATGGTTAATTTTTACTGAGTGTTTGTTTAACTATGACTTATTCAATAATTTAAAAATATAAAACATAATGTAATTTTTTCTTTACAGAAGTTAATAATATCCTACGTTTTATGATTTATACATCCTTATTTATGCCTTAATATTTGATCAGAATTAATTTTTAAATCGAAACATATATGTTCAACTAAATTACAAACTAGAAAATAATATATCTAAGATAATATCAGGTCAATAACAATTTTTGAATTTTATTTTAAAATATATTAACATTACAGGACGGGAGGAGTAGTGTAATTCATTATTGCCTAGACATAAAAATAAACAGATCCGTGTTTTACTTCCAATAATTATATTAAACAGTTAATAATTTCCAAAATACTGGTCCAACAGATGTTATCGACCAGGTATTATATTAGGTATATCATTTTTTATTTTGTAATCTGGTTAAACTTATATTTTCCATTTTAAAAACTTAAGTTAATAAAATAAAAAGAGATATAGAAGAAGATATGACCATATTGTTTCCTGAAAACTATAAAATAATGTATACTACAAATTTCTAAAAAGAAAAAATTATATTGTATTTTAGATATTATGTAGGACATAGTTAAACAAACACTCAGTATATATTAATAATGACCTAAAATAAACTGATGTGTTTTTGATTGAACTTGCTGTATTCGTTCCGGCGGTGAAATACTTTTGTATGGTTCATATTCAATAGACTTAAGTAAAATATCTTCATTAAAAAACACAGATGGTATATCCTGTTTTTTGAAACTCATTTAAAGTTTTTCACTATTTGAATCACCCTTAAGCTTCAAATGCAATTTTTTATTAGCTACATAATTTATTTAAAAAATAAAATTAAGTTATATAATCACATAAAATATAATGATAACTTTCGTCAAATTAAAAATATTTAACAGTTATATTTTGAGAATAGCTTCTATTAATGTTAAGGTATTTATAAGTTCATAGGACTTACCAACATTTTTGTAAGGAAATTTAAACACTTCCAATAATTCTTAAAATTGTGTTTTCAAATTATGTAAGAATTAATAAGTATGTATACTTGTACTAATATAAAAAAAATAGTATAAGTATTACATTAAAATTACTATTATTATAGTAATATTGTAAACATCTTATTCATAATAATCATAGTTATGATTATTATTACACTATTTGTTCAATATAATTTTAATTGGTAGATGTTGATATTGGTAAAAAATAATTATAATTTGTATATCTATAAAACATACAAAGATAAAATTTTCTATATTATATGTAATACATATAATATACGTACTATGTATATTATATATAATATATTTATAAATAAATAGTATATTTTTCAAGTACATGTTAATTATGTTGCATTGTCTAGTTTTTTAGGTGCTTGTTAGATGAGTTCTTATATATGACTCCATTATTGTGCGTTCATGGGAATAGAAATTTGTGTACAACTTGCGTTATGCTCTTATAATATTTAATTTAGTAATATTACCTGAGTTGCTTTGCTATCTTAACATTATCGTCTGACTTAACGCTCATTAAAAAAAAAAATTGCAAATTGAAATAATTTCTAAAACTATAGTGTTTATTTAAATAAATGTTGCTTAGCAATTTATGATTAGNAAAACTATAGTGTTTATTTAAATAAATGTTGCTTAGCAATTTATGTTAGCTATACGTAAAACAAAGTAACTTTGTTTTATTGTTAAATATCGATAAATTACTATAAAAATTAAATTAATTTAAATTAATCAGATGTTAAAATGAATTGTAAGTTAGTAAAAGTGAGCCAGAAGTATAAGTATATTATATTTTAATTAATTGTTATTTGTTTTTCAGTGTTAGCTTCAACAATTTTATTTGCATTGGTTTCAGCGTGGTCTTCACCACTACCGCAGTTTTACCAAACACCGTCTTTGCAATATCGACCATTTTATAGGGAATTAACACCTTTTTTTTTTGAAGACAATTTTCGCCAGCCGATTCAATTTTACCAAACGCCAACCTTTGCAATACCGCCATCACCATCTTCTTCTCACCTTCCTCCATCACCACCTTCACCATCTTCGCTTCCTTTTCCTCCACAATTACAATCAATACAACAACCATCATCCTCTTTTATGTTAAATCAACCTCCACAGTCGCATTCTACACCTACCCAAGTGACAAATGTGCATCATCACATATACTACTATTATTATTTGCCGGCGCAAGTTGAATCAAGACTACTAGATAAACCACGAACTTCAGAACGGGGTCAGATAGAAGGAAGAGGAGTAGGTGTAGATAGTAGCACCAAGAAATTATGCAACGAAGACGATGGAGTCCAAGTTATTGCGTCTCCACCAATTTACTTACCACCCGATCCAGCGCCACCTACCCAACTTCCAGTTTCGCCTTCTCCTCCAACACAAGCACCTTGTGATGACACTATAATCGTAGAGAGTGAAGGCTACTTTCCATTTGGTAGGTCAAGTATGGCAACGAATAAAAATTCATCAGTAATTAATATAAGCGCATCTCAAAAAAATGCACAATATGGAAATATAGCTGATAAAAGGAAAATTTTTGTTCCGGTTAACTTTCTATTACCACCGGATAATAAATGACATTTATAATGTCGAAATCTTCATGATTTTTAGAATTAATGAAGATTATAATGTAACTAATGTTTCAATTAAATTATGTCATTAAATACATTTTTAAAAATTGTTTTATTTTTTTGTCTTGTTTATCCTTAAAAATTATACTACAAGAAAATTTTAGTTTACTTTTCCTCTTCATAATTATTTTGTTTATGACAAAATATGTAATTTCTAAAATTGTTTTCGACTTAATTAATACAAAAAAAAAAAAATTATAATCAGAATTTTACTAAAAAAGAGACATATTAAATGAAAAATCCAAAAAATATATTATATTTTTTGGATACTAGTTAACATATTATGTTAATTAGACATTTTATGAACAAAATACAAATTAAGTTAACATAAAATCTAAAATATCAAAAAATAAAAAAGTTTAACTTAAATTTAAAATTTTTAAATTAACTTTTATTTATTAACTCGCTTAGCTCAGCATGATATATCAATGAATCTATTTACTGGAAAACTGTTGTTAATTAAATTAAATTATTTATAAAACTTTATATTCATAACATTTGTAATGTATTTTTATCAAATATATAATAAAGAACAATTATAAGAAAGAAATAAAAATCACCATTCTTGAAGTAAAAATATTAAGAATAATTAAAAGTAAGACAAAGTATACAGAGTACGAGTTTGACAAGCAGAACACGAGGTAGGTGAAATGAGGAGATCAGTGACAATAAGAGAGGACGTGATTGAGAAGAGGTGGAAAGTTTTAAGTATTTAGGGTCAGTTGTGAAAAAGAGCGGTGGTATTGACGAGGATGTAAGACACAGGATTAAGTGCGGGTGGTTGAAATGGAGAGAAGCGTCTGGTGTGTTATGCGATAAAAGAATTCCAATAAGGCTGAAAGGTAAGTTCTATAAACTATAGTTAGGTTAGCTATGATTCAATGTGTTGGGCGGTTGACAAGAAAATAGAGCAGAAATGAATATGCATAGAAGAATGAGTGGAGTGATTGGAGAAAATTGAATAAAATTGGATATATGAAAATCATATAAGAGGGAGTGTATGTGTAGTATCAATCATGGATAAGATGAGAGAAGATAGACTTAGATGGTTTGGTCATGTTATGAGAAGGAAAGAATCGGAAGCCGTAAGAACAGTTGTAGAAATGAATGTTGAAGGAAGAAGAGGTAGAGGAAGACCAAAAAGAGATTGAGAGATGTTATCGAATACGATATGTGGATAGCTGATGTGTTCGTAGATGATGTGAGAGATCGTATAAAGTAGAAATTTAGGATAAGGGTGGCCAACCTCAAGTAGTTGGAATAAAGGCGAGTAAAAATAAAAAGACTTCTCGAACTTTTACACTATATATTTTGAATAGAAAATTAATACATGCACTTATTCTTTTCTGTACCTAGCCGTCTAAATCAAATTATTTTTTAATCAATTTTTTTTCATGTTTGATGAAAAATAAAAATAACATAAACAGTAGTAACAATAATAACGCCAAAAACAAAAACAGCGATAATAATAAAAACAAAACAATTACAACGACAAAAATATAAACAATAACACAAATTACAATAACGATAAAAGTTAATAAACAAGTTTAGTCAACAGTATAACTCGAACCTCAGACCAGTAACTATCGTTCCGGAGACCAAATCTACGATGAATTATATATGCACTTATATGTATAAGATATTACTAATAATATTCTAAAGCACAATTTTATATTAATTAATTTAATTTTAATTTTAATTATTATTCAATATAACATATAAAATGATTTAAATTTTGTTTGTATTAAAAAATTTCAATGAACATAACAATTTATGAAATTTGATAATTAATTTTATAATAATAAATGAATAAATATTCAATTAATTTTAATTAAAGATTAATTAGCTGAACTCAAATTTGTAAAGAACTAACAAATCGTCTTGCTATTTTCTTCTGTAAGTCAAAAATAATACATTGTATAATAATTAAATTCACTCTAGATTACATTTTAAGTAATCCAGGCTAACTAATTAGTCTGAATTAAATTTTTACACAATTTTTAAAGTTATTTGTTTTAATTTAATTTAATATTTTATTTTATTCAATTATTTTAATTCAAATATTGTATTTAGTTATATTAACACAATATTTTAATAATTATATATATATATATATTTTTTTTTTTACATTATACTCTTATTGCAGTAAATACAATCGTTATTTAGCATATACTAGGCACTTAAATATATCAGAGATCAAAAATATTAATGCTATGGATTGGGGGTATGAGGGTGGAGACCTCAAAAGCTTTGTGAGCCTTACACAGTTTTAACACTTCCTGTACTTTTACTCTAGTTTTTTCACTACCTATCAGAGTGTCTAATTCAGATAATCTGAGACGTTGTTCTTTAAAAAAATAATTTATAGGATTTGATATTTTACTTAACCTAATCTAGTGTTTGTTAATATACTCTTTTTTTAAAATTTTTATAGAATATTTGTATTAATACAAATATTATTGTGGTAATATTGTGGTATATCGTTAACTATTATACGTTTCCCATTTTATACTTCCGATTATTACTTACACTTTCAAGGCCAGTTATGTGCCTGGCGTCTCTACTTTGTTATATTAGAATGCTTATGAATAATAATATTAAAGTTATAATTAAAATTATTCGTGACTGTGACGGCTGAACTCTCACCTACTCTTTGGTTGCAAAATAGAATTACGACATACATACAAAGTATTGGTCATTGAATCTTCTGTTTTCGCGAGAAAGGAAGACGTTTTTTTCCTTTAAAAGATCATTGTGAAATCGGGTTAGTATTAATACACCATAATATTATTATAACTGGGTAATTTTGATCAATTTAAATAAATAAATTTGGCGATTAATTGGTACTCCGATTTACATTGCTAGTTTTATAAAGCAGACTGAATTTACCAGGATTACAAATAATTTTCATAGAAACATGACGTGAATTGATTAATAACTTAAAATCTGTTGTAGAGTAATTAAAAACAAAAAATTGTTAGAAAATTAGGTTTTGAATTTTTTCGAATGATTATTTATTTAAAAACTTGACCTCATTTAAAAAGTGGTTTTTATTCAATAAATCTTACTATTAATTTTCTCTAGCTTTGTTGCATGGAAAAGTGTAAAGAAATTTAATTTTTACAAGAGAATTTTATATGCCCATATTAGAAGACAAAATTATTTTCGTTAAAGTTTGAGTAGTAATGCATAAGTATAATTTCCAAAATGTAGTTTATGTTGAAATATTTTTTCAATTATCATTCTGGTGAATATTTTGTATTGGTGTGAATTATTTTATCCTAATGGCATAAAATGAACAAAAATTGAGTGATCACAAAAGTTAATGAATTATTTATTTAAGAATTTTAGATTATCTTTCTCTAATTATAAATTATTTTTCCAAACTACTTAATATTTACAATAATGTTCAAGACCACTGTTAGGTTAATAAAAATCTAAAATCTTTTCAACTAAACAGACATAATACAATCGGAATTAATTTGGTTAGTTACACAATGATATCTGATCATTTAAAAATTACTACTATTAAATAGATATAGAAAAAATTTTAACTATTCATATCTTCACAAACTGTATGAATAAAATATTCATATAATGTAAGTCATACGTATGTGTATTTCCAATTTGTAAACAATTTTTGGTTTTTATATTATAATGTAATTGTTAGCTTGGATGGTTGTAGTGTCAATAGTCCTATGCTCTATTTCACTTGTCTGGAATTAGATCACATGATGTATTATTTTTTTTTGTCTTTTCGCTTAACTTCACCCTTCACTATTTATGGAGGCTGTATATATGTATATGAGGATCAAACCCTATTACAACTTTTGTTGTAACACAAATATTTCACAGATTATTCATGGTATTTTTGAGGAAATAATTTATTATATCTATTACAAATTATTAAAATAAGTATTTAAGTGTAATTTTAATGTTTTTCACAAGTTGATATATCAAGCAAAAAAACAAACATGAACATATATTGATTAATCTAATAGTCTTAGTTACTCTTCGGTGATCTAATGTAAGAAAGATGGGACGTGGGAGTAATATATATATATATATATTTTTTTTCTTAAAACATTAGTATAAACAGTCAGGTGGAAAGTAGGACGAAGGATTTAGTATTGCAATGTGACAGCTTCTGGCAAAACGATTTAAGCCTTCGACAGTGAAAGTGATTTTTTGTTCAAATACCCAAGTGAGTTCTTCTCGGCTTTGTGTCGCGTTTTTTACCTTATACATTAGTAGTTGGCAATTGTGTGGTATCGTTAAGTACCTCTAAATAACATTTTTCTTCTTTTTTTTTTTTGTAGTCACAAAATAAATTTACTTAATATCATCAAACGTGTAATAGTAATTATAGTAATAGTAAGTACTAATACAGTTAATTAGTATATTTAAATCATTTATTATTGTTATGTTTAAAAGTTTATAGTTGTCCAAATATTGAGATGCAAATATTGCATATTACATTTGAAGTAACACTCTAATGATTTTAATTTGTAAACAGTCTATTAAGTAAACGTTTATATTTATATTTTATAGTTCTTATTTTAAATGCAATAGTTATGTAATGTAAACTCTTTGATCTCTGAATAGAAAATATTTTTTGTGTTAATAAGTTGAATTTTTTAGAATTTTCTGTTTAACTTTTTTTTATTATTATTTTATTTCTTGGATAACTTAAATTTTTTTATTTAAAATCAGAATTTACATTTGAAAACTCTAAAATTATAAGTATTGCAAAAAATGTTAGCTTTTTCTTTTTAACTTGATTTAGTTTTAACCATACCTTATTATTAAATTACATGAGTGGTAATTTTTTAAAAATAAATTTTTGAGACAATTCAATAATTGCAAATAAAATATTATTTATCATTTGTGAACATTCTATTCGCTAAGTTTGTAGTTAAACATGTTTCTAATAATAGTACTTGGAAAAAATTGTTTTGTTTTTCTAGATTTCTGTACAAAGTGACATTTATTCGTGACAGTAAAAAAAGAAAACATTAAATGATTATAAAATAATACAAGCAAAAACATGTCAATATGGCTGTAATAATTATTAGCACTACTGTAAAATTTTTGTCTCATAATACAAGATTGCTTTGCTATTTAAGGTCAAACTGGTTGTCTAATAAGCAGGAAACTTATGAAGAACCGGTGCATGTCTACAGAATAATTACTTTCTTTTTTTTTATGGTTCAGTTTATTTGCGTTTAATTATCCATCATCATGTAGATCATATGTAGAATGTTATATCATCATCCTATATAGAAGTTGTAATCATGAGCAAAAACCCCGACAGTTATACAGTGCCCTACATTATTAATGTAAATCTATGCACTGTAATTTCTTAGCTTACTACGAAAATAAAGTTGTTTTTAGTGCTAAATACTAATAATATGTGTGGAAAACGTTAGAATTTTTAAATATCAATTATTAATTTAGTAGCATTTGATAAAAAATAGTTAATGAAGAAAAAATTATCTAATGGTATAGTTTTTTTTAATTTACACGTAACAATATATCACTAAACTTGTTAAACAAGAAATATGATAGTATTTAATAAATCAGTTTTCTTTTTTGTATGATTTTGATATTTATTCATTTCTAGTAAGATTTTAAATTTCTCTTGCTTCCATATGTTATAAGAAAACGTTTAATTATTTATTCTACGACCAAAAAAACTAACAATAAGATTAAAACGATTAGTGAAATTTAAGTAAATAATAAAGAAATCAACAATTTAAATTTACAATTTAAATAAATTTAAATAACTAAAACCAAGTTGTTTCAACAGTCATTCTCAACGAATTAAAATGATAAAATTAGAGGTATATCTCATGAATGTTGACGTATTTAACCCAACCAATAGGAGGGGATTAGAAGAGGAGGCATAGATCTCTCCCCATTCACATATCATTTTGGAAAATGTTGTACAATTTTCATTATGTATAATTTATATTATAGATGTTTTATACACATGTATGATAAGTTATTAAAGAAATTATATGAAAAAAAATATTGATTATACATATTTGGAAGATAAAATTTTAAATCTTCGTTTTTATTTATATGTAAGAAAATTTGACGGGATACTATTTCAAAATAAATTTAATATTTGAAACAGGGTTAAAAAAAATCATTTATTCATATTTAATAATCCATAATAATATATTGATATAATACAAATATATTTTATATAATTAATTTTAATTATAGAAATACAAATAAAAAAGCTCTGGGGTATGGGGATAGAGCTCCCATGGTGATTTTTATCAAACATATTTTTCGTACCTTCCTCCATAGTAAAATCATTTGACCACCACTTGTGTTAAGCGCCAATATTTTTTTAAATTTTGACATACGAGATATGTTCAGAAAATAACGGAAATTTTCGTTTTTTGAAAAAAATATTTATAAATTCGTCTACATTAATGTAGTCGCTTTCAAAAAAGTCTCCATTAGATATTATACACTTGTGCCAACGTTTCTTCCAATACTCGAAAGACTTTTCTAACTCCATCTTAGGGATAGCTTTCAGTTCATTCGGCGATGCGCTTTTAATATCATCTATGCTTGTAAAACAACGGGCCTTTATGGTTCTCTTTATTTTTGGAAATAGAAAAACGTCACATGGAGTCACGTATGGCGAATTTAAAGGCTGGGGCATCGGTACAGTGTTGTTTTTGAGCAAAAATTCACGAACAAGCAATGAAGTGTGAGCAGATGAGTTATGGTAGTACAAAACCCATGAAATGTTTTGCTACAAATCCGGGCGATTTTTTCGGATTGCTCCACGCAAACGGCATTGAACTTGTAGATAGTATTCCTTATTGACCTCGTGGTAAGAATTCATGATACACTATGCTATTAAAGTCAATGAAAACAGTGAGCTAACCTTCACGTTCTATAACAATTGTTGATCCTTATTCGTTCTTGACGATCCAGAATGCCTCCTATGGGACGATTGAACCTTAATTTCGACGTCGTATCAATAAACCCATGTTCTGTCATCTGTTATAACACGTTTCAATAATTCTGCATCATCGTTGACTTCATTACGTGACTCATTAACAACTTCCATTCGCCGCTGTTTTTGTTCAAAATTCAACAATTTCAGAACAAATTTTGCGTTTCATACCCAAAATATTCGAAAAAATTTCATGATATGAGTCAATCGATATTCCAACATTATCAGCGACTTCTCTGATTGTGATTCGGCGATCGTTCATAATCATTTTTTTCACTTTTTCCACGTTTTCATCGGTTGTTAATGTACTGGGGCGTTCGTCATCTTCAACGTCTTCAATGCTATTTTGGAAACGCTTATACCACTCGTAAACCCTTGTTTTAATCATTGCAGACTTATCATTAACATTTCACATACGTTGTTATACATTATTTTATATTTCCGCAAAATTTGATATAAATCCTTTGATCTACTTTTTTTAACAAACGAAAATCGCTGAGTTCATTTAAACACGTATAACTGTAGCGGCTGCTACTGACAAAATTAAAAATCAATCCAACTGAAAATTTTATCATATTTCAGGGAAAAGTGTACCAACATTTTATATAAAAAAAAAAAATTTGATAATCAGTCTATCCAAACCTGTGAAATTAAAAAATTCCCATTATTTTCTGAACACATCTCATAGACACTAAGAAACTAATATAAAATACTAAAAATCTAAAACTAATACATAATAAAAAAATATATGTTTGTTTTATAGAATATTAGAACAAAAAGTAAAATATTATGTTATAAATAAAAAAAAAAAAATTGAAGGGCTACCTATAAAAATACAAAAGTCATACGATTTTAAGAAAAGACGAATTTTTCCGGCTCTTCTCTTAAGTATAAATATTGCCATATACAGTGAATTGCCATTAAGGTGGCGATATAAGCAAATCTAGTTAAACATAACGTCTTACTAAAAAAAAATATTCAAAGTCGACAAAACTATATTGTTTTGAGTACATAATCTCTAAATCAATAATCAAAAATTACACAGATTACTAATACTATTGCATTTATAATTTTTAATTTACGCGTCATAAAAATATTAATCTTATTTTCTAAGCGAACAATATCCATGTTAAATTATGAGGTAATTTTTGGGTCAACAATACTAATAACAAGCATCATTATTGAATATTTGAGGCTGTTTCTTTAGTGTATACATTTTTATCATTCATACCACACAATTGATTGTTTAATAAACATAAATGTTTTCGTTATATAATATCGAATTAATATTGAAATCACGTGATTATAATTAATCCGTTAACACAAGACGACAATTGGTGACATGAGATTATGATTCACAACACATTTTTGAACTTTATATAACAACAATGGTAACTTAACCGAAGGAATGCAATAAAATATTAATACATTTATTGCAATACATGAGAATTTAATAAAACCAGGGATGTTACTAAATTGTGCCATAGTTAAAGGATACTGTTATAAAAATACAAAATCTAAAATAAAAAAAACCTATCCAAAGCTTACATTTTTAAAATAAAAGATTCGTATGATAAATACTTCTATCCTTAATATATAAATTAGCAGACTTTTTTTTAACTCTAACATGTTTATCTTCTAATTGTAGGATTATATTACTGTATAAGTTGTGTTTAAGAATTCAGAGAAGATATTCGAATAACCCAATTTCATACTAATTGCCTATTAACTTCTAAATGTCATTTATTTTTAATAATATATTTCATTAAAATTACGCGATTTTCTCTCCTTATATTGAAATTGACAAACATTTGTTTAGTTATGCTATATTAGTACTATAATTATTTTTTAACAAACCTTTTGTTTTTCATGTTTGGCGTTTTGGAAGTTTATGAGTTATTTACGCAAAACACTAATCGCACACGCCCTACATTTTTAGATTCAAATGTTCAGTGTGCTTTTTTGCATGCAAAGTAGAGTTTAATTTATTATGGTGAGCAAAATAAAGGGAAAGAGACCTTTTCTCATAGTTTTTTTTATTCTCTTTAGACTTATTTTTTTAAAAATTATACCCCACAACCGATTAAGTCTGTATACTGTTTTGGCTAATACATTAAACTTTGTTTTAATAAAAATGTTTATCATAAAAATAAGTTTTAAAGACGGTCTAATTTCATAATTATCGCATATTCATATAAAATGAATATGTGTATAGTATATTAATTGTATTTACCAAAAAACAATTTTCATTAAATGACTAATGGTTTCTAGCTTTTAATTTGTGCATGCTTGTGTATTCATTAATTAATATACACAATTTTCATTATTTTGTTTTTTATTAAAAAACATTATAATATGAATACAAGTGAATTGATCTCAAGTTATGAAAATATTCTTTAAAATATTTGATGTTAGGTAGCTTATTATTACATTATTTTAACTCGATTCTTTTGGATTTTTTTCGGGAGACGTATTGGGGACAAGCGTTTTAGGTTAATATCAAGCTGTAAAACAGAGTTTTAAGAAATATATTTTAGATAGTATTTTATGAGAAAATATATTTTTTGGTGTGATGAATATTACTTTATTACGATTATTTAATAGTTAAAAAATAAATCGTTAATAATTAAAGTTAAAAGTATATTTTTAATGGTTTTGTATTACTAAACTGCAAATGAATATAAATATTGTATTATTAGGCTATAAATTTCAAATATTTTTAAAAACTATTTCAATAAAAAATACGCGAATTATATTCAAAATCATAATAAACGGTCGTGAAAATTCACCTCAGTGACTTCAATTCCGGTTAAAGCAACGGATGTTGTTTATAATACTGTATGACTCGTAAACATGATTAATAAACACTAAAAGTTTATATCCGGTGTTTATTCTGGTGATTTAACACAAAAATATTCAAACACAAATGATTTATTATAACTTACATATTATTTTTTAATCTCAGGTACCATAACATAAAAATGAAAATTGATTTAGCCTTGGCATTAATAGTAGCACTTTTTGCTATTGCATCAGCTAGGCCTCAAGATTTATCCCTAGTTCTTATGCCACCACTTCAATTCGACCAGCCATTATTGAACAACGCTATAATTCCACCGGTAAGTAATTTATTAATGATCAGTAAACATTGTAGTATTAATGAACAGTCTTTAAGACTTGGAATATCTCTCCTTTCAATATTTTTCGTTTTATTTTTATTAAAAAAATTGATTTAATTAGTCGTATTTAAATCATTTTTTATAATATTATTTCCGACGTAAAAATTATGATATTCTTCTATGGTAGTGAAATTGTAATTATTTGTTGATTTCAATGCTCAATTATATACACTGTGACGATATTCGATAGCCGTGTCAGAGGTCAACAGTGAAAATGTTTTACTACCTTTTCCTTGAGCTATATAATTTTGAAAACTAATTAATTTTTATTACTGTATCGGTTCCTATATATAAAATAATAAAAAACGTGTCAAGACTAAAAATTCATTGAATTTTAACTTCTAATCGTGTAAATGTCCATCATTTACAAGTGACTCGTTTCAAATGGCAATCACTTGAAACAATACACTGCAAAGTCAAGTAAATGTTATAGAATCATTGAAATTTCCATTAGATTTGTTTATATTTAAAAACGAACATACAATTATAAACTTAAACATTTTTATTTTAGAGTTAGTAACTTTTATAAAGTAGTTATATATTAGTAGGAATTATTTTACAAAATAAGATAACAAGACTATTATTTTCGTTTTAGTGAATGATAATTATTTCATTAAATGTTTATTTGCAGCCTAACGTTTTTGGAAAACCAATTAATCCTATTGTAGTAGCGGCATTTCAACGAGACTCTCTATTACCCGCTAACATGCAAAATTCCTTTTACAAAAATCCACGTATTGCTGAATCCCTCGCTAAAAACAGTTGGTTTGGACCCGGTGAACAACATGCTGTAGACAGAGATACAGAGAAAATCCCAAGAGAGCAAATATTCCACATCCTGAAGAACGCTGGCCTCTTGCCAACATCTCGATAGAATATAAACTACTTTGATTTTTTTTAATTATTTCAATATGATGAGTTATTTTTAAGTCTGTGTAATTTAATTAGGCCAGATTTTTCTTTTATATAATAGCTATTCTACTATTATAAAATGTATTTATTAGTTTTAACGGGATTTTAGTCATAAATTATAATTTTTAAATAACAGAAGAGTGATGTATTTTATATTTTTAATACAAATATAATACGTATTTTATAAAAAAATAATATTAGAACTTTTATGATTCATATATCACAATTTAAAAAAAAATTGTTTTAAAATCTAATGTAAACAGTAAAAAATTGGATTTCAAATATTAACTCTCAATATATTTTATAGAAATAAATAAATCTTTTCAACTTTATTAAATTTGAAAAACAAAAATTCAGTATACTTTTTTTTAAGAAATTATTATGAAAAATAAATATTAGAATTTGATTAGAAAAAGCTAGTTTTTAGGCTTCTATAATGTTTGAAATTTTTTTTTTGAATAATCATTTGAGTAACGTTATGAAGGGGATTTGATAGCAAAGCCCTCTAAAAATGAAATTAACCTTTTCAAATATATTGAAATTTAATTTAAAGTGAGGTAATAAACATTATAGTTGAAGATTATTTGAAGTAATGATTATTTATTGAAAATTTATAATAGGAAATAATCATCTTTTACATAGTTAATAGCATGATAACAAAAATATCGAAAATTCTCTAACTAAAACATTTTAGTCAAAAAATGATTGTAGAATTCTTTATGCTTATACATTTTTATGGCTTCTTAAACTTTTTGCATTTTTATAGCTACTTAATTTTTGTGCATTCATATGGTCTTAAATTTTGTTCATTTCTATAGCTTATTATAGATTAAGGGACATTAGGTTTAAATATCTCAGTAAGACTATGTGTATTGGTATCTAGTCCCAAACTGTTTTCTTAATCATTATTTTTTTTTAAGGGAAGTATCGGCAAACAATGCAGAATAAACTTCTAGAGTATTTTTTAGTGATAAATTTTTATCTTGGTGACAATTAGACCGCATCCTTACAAGACACTAGCATAAGTATTCATTTAGCCGCAACAATATTAACATAATACATTTTTACATAGATACAAAAAAAAAATAAGGATAAAGTACTTAAGTTAATAAGGGTAAAGTTCTTTTAATAAAATAAGAGATATATTATAAAGAAATATAAAGAGAGGGACGGTGTGGCTGAGTCGGTAACGCGACAGTGCCGTCCCTCTCTCGGGCGACGTACTAACCACCAGACTCGGAGTATCAATGGTTTAGAAACCTCCTCCTTTGGGAGAGGTCACTATGGCCCTTAACGGGCGGATAAAGAAAAAAAAAAAGAGAGAAATATTACAATATTGAGGATACAAAAACTCAGTCACAAAATCACAATAAGATTGTATTATGTATTAAAAATATTTTTGTAAGGAATTATATCGACAAATATAATACATGGTAGTTTGTAAAAACAGAGTAAAATATCAATATTGGATTACTTAATAAACTGTTACAATGCGAAGGTAGTTACAAAATTTGAATCGTGATTTTTAGAATACAAACAGATTTAGCATGATAAATTATTAAAAGAGATATGTAATACGTATATTATTATTTTATTTAATTACGCAACATGTTATTATTAATAACTTATTATTCAACCAAATAATATAGTCCACCATTTATATACCTTAATTATACCTTTCTATACGCTATAACGTCCCCCTTTTTATTTAAATTACTACATTTCAATGGCTTCTTTATTGTTGTATATTCCTATAGTTTCTTAAATTGTGTACATTTTTATGGCTTATCAATTTTTTCTGAATCTGAGAAGGTATTAGTTTTGTGATGATATAGTTTATTTTATGACTCTCCATAAAAATTTCAGCTCTTTCTGGCACGATTTTGATAATCTATACGCCATAAGAACCCAAATTTAATCTAGTTGAAAATATCACCTACAAAAATTGTAAAACTCCTTAACTTTAGAAGTTTAATAAAATATCTTAAAATTATGCTATTGTAAAATATGTTCCAAACAAAAATGTGTGAATTTTGAAACTACTAAACATAAAAAAAGAAACAGTGATTCTAATGAAATTTTAATTCGGTATACTAGAAACAATAAGCTTTCTTTTAGCATGTTTTATGCAAAATTCAAAGGAAAACCTAAACTACAGTCAAGAAAAATTTCTTGTATACAATTTCTAAATTTTAACAGATTTGTATGGAAGCATTTATGATAATGTTGATAGTTGTACGATAGATTTTAATCACTGAAAAATATCATTTACATATACTGCGTGTTTCATATCCAAGTCTTCTCGGTATTGTTTTGCATTTCTACAGTTTCTCAATTTTCTTTTATTTCTATGGTTTGATCAAATTATCTGAAGCTAAAAATATTTGGTAGTGATCAATTGTTTTTTTTTATGCCCGTTTACAATAATGTAAAATACAATAAAAACAAGTTAAAAAGAATATTTTTGTCTTTTGAAAATATTCTTAAGGCAATTTTACATCACTATGACTACTTTTTGTATTAATTATTATATTTACTTTTTTTGTTATCATATTTATTAACAACTATCTGCCAATAATTTAGTTGCTTAAAATTATTTATTAACTTCGATGCGAAGCTGAGAAGGTATTAATTTTAATATGCCATGTTTTTTTTTAATTTATTTATTTTTTTGGTGTCTGTTAACACTTTTTCTCAGCTCTCACCGAACCGATTTCTTTCAACGATACGTCAAAATATCACAAATAGTATCTAATCGAAGAAATTACCCTCAAAATTTAAAATCGCTAATATTCGACATTTTTTCAATTATTTTTACTTAAAACTGCCATAACTTTCTCAAAAATGAACAAATCAATATAATTTTTTTTTATAGATGCTTGATGTCTTTACCTATCATTTGGTATATTTTTTTTTATAAATTTAACCCTTTACCAGTCCACAGGGAGGGATTCAAAATGACAACTTTTTCACAAAAAATAAACTTTTCCAACTTAAGTTTTGAAAGTGTTCCGGAAATACTGAAATTTTTATATATATCTTAAATTAAAGTTAATGTACTTTATTATGAAAAAAAAAAAAAATTTCGGACTTTATTTTATCTTCACGGTGAAAATGGATACTGTATACTATTTTTGTGTTAAAAGTCTTGATTTTATGTTTTACATTTTTAACTTTAAATGCTATAACTTTTTGAAAAATATATGGATGAATACCATTTTTTTATGAGAAATAATATTTATATACTTCTTTCATTGGACATAATATTTTTATTAAATCGAACCATTTCCCTTAATACAAAGGGGTTCAAAACTTAAAAATGCATATAGAAAGTAGAACTTTCAATCTAATTTTTGGAAGTGTTTTGGAAATACTGACACTTTTATATATACTTCAAATCAAAGCTTATGTAATATACTTTATTATGGAAAAAAAAATTGGGATTTTATTTTGTTTTAATGGCGAAAACGGACATCAAAGTTAATAAAAAAAAAGATTTTTGTAAAATAATTCTTTTTTATATTTTTAATTTTATAAACCTATAACTTTTTGAAAAATGTATTGATCAATACAATTTTTTCTTGATTAATACTATTTATATACCTCTTTTATTCGATATGATTTTTTTTTAAATAAAACTATTTCCCTTTAAATATTTATATATTATAAATATATATTTATTAATATATTACACTTATAAATCATAAAATATGTAATCAGAATATAAATAAGGAAATAGGAGATCATATAGATTTTGGAATAATCCATCAATTTATTAAAATTAAACACTATCTACAGATTTGTATTTCTCTTAAAATAATAACTATGTTAAGAAATTTATTTTTGATATTTTTTAGTTTCATAATTTTCTGATTTATTTTTAATTTATTCCGTATACATTATAAAGTATTGAACTTGTTTTTTTAAATAGCAACATACATAATATGATTGCATACAAAATTGATCAAATTAAGAAAATAACTAATTGATAACAAATTTTTGATTAGTACTTCAAAAGTTACGAACATTTTTATATCTAGGCAGAGAAATGTTTAATGATAAAAATTATCATACCTGCGTCTCACCTCTAATATATATTTTAAAATGATAATAACTTAATAATAGGTCAAAAGTTGTTTTTCATCGGTAATTTTTTTAATTATATATTTTTTTAACTTAGCCAAATATGTATGTTGTCATTATGAAAAATAAAATAAGATATAAGGGATTAATAAAAAAAAAAATTAATTACTGATAAATTGAATAGTATATGAAATTAAAAAATACCAAAAATAATGTACTTAAGATAATTATAACTTTAGGATAAATCCAGTGGCTAGCATTAATAGAATTATAGAATTTATGTACTTGTATGAAGAATATTATTAATTTATCTAAAAGTTTACTACTATGGCCAACTAATACGTAAAAACTGTTAAAATATAATTTTTAATAATCATGCACACATGATTTACGTTTAAATAAAAAAATAATCTAACATGCAGATATTATCGCCCTAAATTATAACAGATGAATTCATAAATAAAATGTGGCTTGTACTTTCGTTAAGATCAACATGTTCCTATGTATTTCATACGCTGAATCCGAATTTGCAGTAATTTTAGCTTATACACTCTCAACATTTTAATAAAATTGTAATAATTTGCTAATATTTTAAAAATTTGTAAAAAAGTAAAAAAATGCTAATATAAAAAAATAAATATCAAACACAAGTTTTTTCTATAAAAAAAAAACAAATATATTTATTAATATGACTCATTATTTAATATACAATTTAAATAGGAAAAATTATTTTTTATAACCCAAAGGTAAAGCTCCATAATTGGATGGATATGATTCGTAGTTGTATGGGTAAGCTCCAGAACTGTATGGTAAAGAACTTAAAGGATAAGCACCGTGCCACTTGTTGGCTGCTTTAGGTAAAGGAATTTCAGGTGCCAAGTGTGTTTCTGGGTACAAAGAATGTGGGTAAAAGGAGTTACGGGAGAGAGAGTGTGGGTGGTATGCAGCTTTTGCGAATGGGGCGAAAGGCTTTACGTTAGGGAAAAAGGCTGGTGACTTGGCAGCTACGGCGGCTGGGGCGAATGGCTCTACGTTAGGGTAAAAGGCTGGTGATTTGGCAGCTAAGGGGGCTGGAGCGAATGGCTCTACGTTAGGGTAAAAGGCTGGTGATTTGGCAGTTAAGGGGGCTGGAGCGAATGGCTCTACGTTAGGGTAAAAGGCTGGTGATTTGGCAGCTAAGGGGGCTGGGGCGAAAGGCTCTACGTTAGGGTAAAAGGCTGGTGATTTGGCAGCTAAGGGGGCTGGGGCGAATGGCTCTACGCTAGGGAAAAAGGCTGGTGATTTGGCAGCTAAGGGGGCTGGAGCGAATGGCTCTACGTTAGGGTAAAAGGCTGGTGATTTGGCAGCTAGGGGGGCTGGAGCTATAGCTGGAGCAACTGGCGCTATATCGTTAATTGGAGCACGGTCTACGTCGGCGTTGAAACCAGTGATAGGGTCGGCATAGTAGTTGACTGTACGCATCATACCGTCGGCGTCCAAGGTACGGTAAAAGCCGCTGACAACATCTCCGTTCTTAACTTGAGTGTGTTCTTTGTTGTCGCCGGTAGCTGGGTCATTGACGCCGTATGAGAATTTGAAGTCGGTGGGCTTTGCTAAATCATCGGCACATGCCATGCAGACGCTGGCAGCCAAAACTAACATCACCTGTAAATAGTTATTTAGAGTTAAGTACTTAAGTTTATGAACAAATATTCATTGTAATTATAATAGTAAATGTTTACTTACGGAAAGGCACTGCATGTTTATTTGGAAAATACTGTTTTGTTGTGTTAACTGAATTAATGTTAAATGTTGAATGATATATTTTGATATATTTTCGCTCTTTAAATACTTAAACCAAAATTTGGTATTTTCTATTTCCCCCCGTAAAAATGTCAAAATAACTTCGTTTAATACGTTTGGTTTTGAAACTTAAGGTTCGATAGGTATTAGATATTAATTAATGAATTTCAAATGTAAACCAAGTAATACTGGTTTTATAAGTGATTAACTATTATTCTATTAAATTATATTTTTATGTCTTAACTTAGAAATAGTTTCGGGATAACTTAAGAAAGAGTTAATTTTTACTTATTATTAGTTTTTGCTTACAAAACTATTGTGTAAAACTCAGGGAACCTCATAATCATTTGATATTTTACATTAACTTAATCGTCAAATGATAAATACAAGTCTTGTATTTTAATGGATGTGATGATATTTTGGTAGCTCAATATTTTTTTGAAATATATTTATTCTCATTTCTTCGTCAGAATTAAAATCAATTTAATTGTTGAAGTTAATAGATTTCTAAAATAAGAAGAGTCCATAAATATTACAACGCCTTTAAAATGTTTTTGTCATTATTTAGAGTCGTAAATCTTAACTCTCCTTAATTACTTTTTTCGTACCTATTTATTATTTTACTTTTTGGTAGTAATGTTTACAATGAAAAATTTTTGCTTTAGACGATAATGGTAAACCAATTTTGTCATATATCAATACCCTTGTGTTATTAATAGATAATAAAATAAAATTAGCTAATGAATGTGTCTTTTTCAATTTATAGAAATTAACGGAAGTCACGTTTATGTTACGAATATTTTAGTTTTTTATGTTCTTTATTCAATTTATTAAAAAAAATATAGTTTATAGTTAAAAAATGTATTGTACACATTTATGAATTGATTGTATACATTTGCTCTTTACTGACTTAAATGTTTCTCTCCATGTGTTAATATAAAATAAATAAAAATAAAAGATTAGTGTGATAAATTTATGGAGTATGAATTTTATTTATTTAATTTTTTTTTTCTAGTGTGTAAAATAGTATAGAAGATAACGATTATGTTTTGTAAAATCTATTTTATATGAATACTTAACCTATAAAATATATTTTATAATCGATATTATAATATATATGGATTGTAAATCAAATTGTAAAATATAAATGTATTTTTAAATAACAAAATGGGTAATTTTACAGTCATAGTATTAAATTTTATATAAAAAAAAAAATAAAAGTTCATATGTTTTGGTGAGATATGGGAGGTTTACTCACAATACATTTTTTTTTTTAAATTCTAATTACATACCTTAGGTTAAACTTCAATAATGAATGTCTGTAATAATTTTTATTGCACAACCTTTTACACTGATAGTAATGGCGTAAGTTAAATTAGCCAAATTGATTTTTAATTACATATTTAAAATTCGCCTCTTAAGCTTAATTTTTAAAATTACTTAGATTTTTTTGTATATTGTCATAGATTAGTATTATTTTTAAGATTTTTGGCAAAACATTTATTTTTGTAACCTCATAGTTAATAATAAACATTTAATAATTTTATGACTTTTACTTTAATAATCCATAAAAATACTTACTATTAAAATATTGTAATATTAGAGAGTCGAATTTTTAATCATAATTTAATGGATTAAAGATTTCTTAAATATTCGATTATACTAATTAATTAAAATCTTTATGTCATACCCCACAAAGACTCAAGATCAATATTAAGGTGGGGGTCTTCGAACTATATGTTGCTTCTGTCATCTGTAAACTCCAAGTCTAATGAATAGGTGGACTATATAAGGATAGGATGATCAACTCACACAATAAAAGAAAATTTTTTTAAAATAAAAGTTTATTATATAAGAATGTTTTTTTAAAATTAAATTCTGCTCAAATAATAAAAGTATACTGAATTACGTAGAAAAATCATATCTCAAAAAAGAAATATTTTTAATAATCATAGACCAAAGTATAATTTACTATTAGATTTTTCTTATCTATTATTTTTTTGATATTAATAATAATTAGTACAAACAAGTATTCACGTATAAAAAATCAATTGAAAACAAAAAAAAAACAATTTCCAAATTATTATTGAATTTGATTTTTAATATATTAAAAATAATATGTGCAAACCTTTGATTCAAAATGCCATTTTTAACCAAATTTTTGGTTCTTTAAAGTTGATTTTTAAGAAAATTTATAATTTAAAAATTTTGAAATTTTACTTTTTTTATAGTTTAATTTGTAAGTTTGAAATTTATATCATTAAATAGAAAATATTTTGGGTATTCAAAAAATCGTAATCTCTAAGATTTCATATTAAATCATTAAGAAAATTTCGTTAATATCATTTTTTTTTGTATTTTTATTGAAATAAATCATTTTAATAAAAATCANAGAAAATTTCGTTAATATCATTTTTTTTTTGTATTTTTATTGAAATAAATCATTTTAATCAAAATCATATTAATTATTTCTATGAACTCTCGGTGTTATAATAGATGCAATAATTGAAATATTAAGAACTTAATTAATTTTGTTATTATTCAATAATTATGTATATTGATATACTGCATATAATACACTCTGATTATTCCTACGCAACCCAATAATCAAACATATATTAATATTTTTACAAACATATAGAATTTTTTTATATTAATTAGAAGTATTTTGTTATTTTTTCGCCCATAAGTAAAACTATACCTTAGTGTTAGATCAAATCAGAAAAATTGAATCAAGTTTTCCATGATTCTTTTGTGGTGTTTTAGTGAAACTAGGAGAACTTAGTCAACTAGTTGGGTAAGGATACTAAAAATTTTAATTAAATAAGCCTTTTAACATTTTTTCCATTTTGTTTATCTTATCATTCGAAAACCAAAAGGTTCTATTTTACAATATCCTTAGAAGATATAACCTATTAGTTTTCATTCGTATATTTGTTATTAAAAATAGTCGAACCAATGTAGTTAGAGACCATTAAAAAATGTTTCATTACTACTAATCTTATTAATCTACTGAGTTTTAAATCAGTCAGAAATTCTTAACGTTTCTATTATAGTTTAGTATTTTTTTCTTCTTATTATTATTATTTGTCATATATAAAATTCTTACATTATCATTATTTTGAGTTTAATAATTTTAATATACCATTTTGTAAATTCTCATAAAATTGTTTATTTAAAGATGTCAATTTCAAACTTGTAAGTCAAGCTACAAAAAAATTTAAATTACATTAGAAATGATTATTACAACATTTCATGACAAATTTTTATCAAAAATTACCATTAATTATTCAACATTAATCTAAATGAGTAGGATAATCAATCATAATTTCTGCGTCTTTAACTCTACCTGAAGTGTACTTTTTTAATTAACTTTTCGCCTAGTGCTAACACTGGATAAATCCACCTTGCATACCAAAACGATAATGAAATAAGGGACATTGGGAACCAGTTTAAATAAAGAAATCATTAAAACAAGTTGAAATTTACGTTTTCCCCATTTTTTCAACAATTTCCGGTCGTTGGTCGTCTCGTTTGCCCGTTCCTCCTCTTTTTGTTTTTCCATAATCAACAAATACTAACGTGAAGACTGGGTGCTTGATTTTGTAACTTTGTTTTAAATCATTAAAAATCCTATATATGTAAAAATTACTTTACTTCATCAAATACACAATCCATTCAAAATACACTATTTGCCAAAATGGAAACAAATTATTTATTCAGTTTGTTTTTTAAATATTTTTTATTATTATATAATGCATTTAATATATTTACAGCAATTATAAGACAGTAACTCAAGTAAAGTAAGTAGTTTTAATTTAACAAAGAAATTTGAAAGATTTTTATAGTCTATTATAAAGTTTAATGTAGTTTACGAATGTCTTGACATGGTATCAAGTACCAAAATTTACATTCTCTCATTTTTGGATCATATCGAGTTTTTTCTGGACATATAAATGATTCTTTGAATCCATTAAAATGGCATAAATGAAATACCTAAAAAAAAAAAATTATTTATAAATCATTGGAGTAAAAGTGTTAAAATTATTTATTTAAAAATTTAGTTGTTAATAAATATATGATTAATTTTTTAATTGTGTTTCTATTACTATACTAAAATTTCGAGAAACACGTTGAATTTTTGTATATATTTTTTAATATTATTTGATAAAAATTATAGTTAAAAATAAAAAATTTTATTGAAAAAATCTAGACTGACTTCATCAATGAATGAATAGTTGAGAGTTATTCATATTTTTTTTAGTTCTTTACTAACTTTAGTTCTTTTTAACTAATATTTAGATGTTGCATTCACATAGTTAATAAATATTTGTTCTAAAGAAATTTTTTAATTATTATAATGTAAAAATATTTGTAATTAACTAACACAAAAATTTTAATTTATTTATTATGTTAAACATTTTATTATCTTATAAATAAACAATTAATAATATTGTATCAAAAATTATGATAAAACTTAATTTAGATATATTTTTGTTTTAAAAACTACAAACACCAAATTGTTATAATCAGATTAGAAAATATTCAAGTTAAAAACTCAGTGGTGTTCGTTCACTGGTGATGTTTTCTTACCAAAATTCAAAACCATAAAAAAATTAAAGCATGATAAATAAAAGAGTTTTATCAAAATATAAAAGGCTGTGGACAAATTTTACTTTGTTTAGATAAACTAAGTACTATTGCTGAATTATTAGTTCTTTTTAAAATGAAATTGTAATAATAGTAATTGTTTATAATACTTGAAAAATCTAATACTATAATTATTGTATAATAAGAGCTAATATAAAATATAAACATTTTAAACTAAAAGTTTTTATAAACTATTTTATAGTAAATCTTACCCGGCATTGTGTCTCAGGATCTGGATATAACTTTCCAGAATTATCACAAATGAAATTTGTTGTAAGGATTTTACTGATAGGTCGAGTATCTTCAAGAATATTTTTACTGGTTTCATCCTTGAGACTATAAATTGGATCATTTCTATGAGTTTCTACAGTGTTTAAGTTCTGTAAAATAATAATTAGTTTATAATAATATAATAATTGTGATTCTTAATTTTATACTTGGAAAATTATTTTGCCTAAGCTTTTAAATTTGGTGTCCAATTTCTAGTCATAAATTTAAGATTAGTTGTTAAACTGGTCTTTGTCAGGCTTTTATCTAATAAACCTGTCATCTAATAACTAAATGTTATTAGAAGAGTTTAATGTTTTGAATGTAAAAAACCTATATTTCAAAACATGTACAATATATGTAAAAAAACATAATCTATTATTACCTCAAAAGCATGGAAACAATACCAGATATTGAGAATAATTTCGTAGAGTTAAAAAAAAAAAAAAATTGAAATAGGAGCTCGTCAAGAAATTTTTCCAGAATTCGAAAATTTATCAATTATACAATTATAATCATTTTCTATTATATATAATTTTTTATAAAAAAAAATTTGATTTTTAAGTTTAAATAATTATAATTTTGCTAAAATTAATGTTGAAAGCAAAGTTTTTGTAATATAAATTGTATTAAAACAAAAATGTAAAACTGCCAAGTAGTTAATATTTAAAATAGTTATACTTGAACTACTCATGAAAAAAATTTATATTTGCACTCAATTATATTTAAATCTAACAATTTATATTTAAGTTTTCCTGTATTTATCTATATATTTTTTTATTTATTAAAAAAATATAGCATTCCACGTTTATTTCACCCCTTCCTTCCCCAATGTCATTTAACACGTTTTTACAATTTATTAGACTTGTCACTAGGAACATCTTTTTGGGATAAACTTAATCTTTTTTTTTGGTACATAGCACATTATTAACTTTGAGTCTTTGAATGTGTAAATAAAATATATGAAATAAATACGGTATTTTTTTAATGTTTTTTTTTAAATGTCACTTATTTTCATGTTGTTAAAATTGAAAGATGGTAATGTAAACATACATGCATGTTATTTTATAACTAGTAGTGAAGGTATAAATTATTACTATGGTACTGTTGTATACAACTGTACGCTGAACATAATGATTTAATTGGATACGTTTCATCATTTTTTGACACCATATTACAAAAAAATGATGTAATTACTTTCTAAACTATAGGAATTTAGAATTATTGATTCTTTATAAAATACATATTTCATAAAAATATTTAAGAAATTGTAAAATTTACTTTTTATTTACTCATTTGTTCACAAGTCTCAATAAAAATATTAACATATTAGTTGCTCTTATGAAAACAGTTTGTTTAAAAATGATTTAAAATGATTTTACAAAATGTGATATTGTTATAATGTCATATGTTTTATATAATTAATTACGACTGTTCAAATAAATAAAATCAAAGTAATAAATAATTAAACATAATTCTTACTTGCTTTAGAGGATCAAATCGAATGCCTAATTGTCCTCGGAATAAATCACTGAAATTATTTTGATTAAAAATCTGTTTAGATGGTATTTGCAATATTCCTGCCAATGCTTTAAATTTTGGAAACTGGTAATTTTGAAAATTTGAAGGTAACATCATTCTGTACGTGGATTCTACTTCATTTTCTAATCCTCCTTTTCCTTCAGTAGGCACAAATCTTAAAAAAATATTTTTATTTAATATTTATGACATTAAAAATGTTTGTCTAGTTAAAAATATTAAAAAAATATTAATTTTCTCATATAATTTTGGTAAATAATTACGTATTCAGCTATTTTCAATACACGAGGGGTTCTTTTAAAGCAAGCTACTCAATTTCTCTTACACTAATTTATTTTTAATTAATCCCTTATGTCTTATTTAAGTAACTCATTAAATAGAAAAATATGTTATTAAGAAAATAACTGAACAATATTAACTTTTGGACTAGTTTCAGAAATTTTCAAAAATTTTAAATATTTAATGAAAAAGAGGTGCGGTGTTACTCTTTTTATCACTGGACATTACTCCTCCTCTTGCCTAACCATAAATATGCTAATATTTTTTAAACCACAGGTCCAAAAATTGTTATTGTCCAGTCATTTTTTTAATTAGATTATTTTTTATTTTACAAACCAATTTATGTATATTGCTATTTGAAAAAATTAATTTGACACCATTATAAGGTATAAGAAATGAAAATATATAATAATTTATAACAAAAAAAATGAATATATATATATGTAACTAACAAAAGCTAAAAAAATCACAAAAAACTAAAAATTACATAAAAAAAAATTAATAGCCCCACATTAAAATAATTATTGTTATCTGTATTAAATATACAATCTATTGTGAAACTTAAAAAAAATTGTAATTATTTTAAATGTAATTTTAATAAGCAAAAAATTACAGTTCTTTGTTATTTTACCTATCGTTTGATGTTTGTACCATTTTGAGAACAAAAGTTGATAGTTCAGGGTCATCTCTTGGCGTTTGGTAATGTGATTCACGAGGCCTTATATCGAATAAAACTCCATCAGGTATAGATATACCTTCTTTATTTAACATATTTAGGGCTAAACGGTCTGAGAGAAATGCAGAATCCGGAATCTTTCCTCCTAAATATGGCAATACATTTTCTCGAAACAACTGACGTTTTTGCTAGGTAAAAGTTTAATAAATTAATACAGTGCAGAATGAACTTATAGGTAAAGAAAATAATTTTATAATTGAATACATTATATTGTTAACAGGTTTCAATATTATTATTATATTTATACCTAGACAACGTTTAATCCTATTCAAATTTTTGAATCGGTTATGATTTGTCTTAGACATTGATAGTTTATTTTAGATATAGTCTTCACTATACAATTATACTGTTATAGTATAAAATAGGTAAAGTCAGATATTGGAGTGGGTATGGTTGGTGAAATATATTAAATTAATATAGTAGGCAAATTGGTCTATTTTAGTGCCAGTTGGCAATTTACAAATAAATGAAGAGCCTTTTTTAGATGTTTATAGTGAGAAATAAAGTGGCGAAATTGTGAATGATTTTCCCCTCAACAATACATTTAGAATTCTGGACACTGTGATTAGATGACTCCTTTATATCTATGGCAACCATACAATTGATTTAGTTTATTTATTTCACAGTTTATACTTAGTTATGCAATGTAAAATATAAAATATTTTTAAACATTAAATCTATTTTGTTGATTAAATTTATTAAACATTAATTTTCTTTCATAACAAGTAAATAGAAAAATTTTTTTTCTCAAAAATTGATATAAATTTATCAAAAATTAATTTATTTCGAAAACTTTTAATTGGTAATAAAAAGGGCGAATATGTTCATTAAATTTTTTACGGAATACTTAGCAGTAATTTTCTAGACATTAAGTTTTGCTTCAGCTTAGCATTTTGTACAAATATAATTATAGCATAAATATTATATGCTATAATCACTTATCATTTTGTGTATCTAATACACATAGTTTAATTATCAGCGGGATGTACAATCCTGTTGTACACGAACAAAACAGAAAAACTGAGGACTGACACAAAATTACTTCCTAGATATATTACTAAGCCACCAAACCGTGTCTAAAATCACCCGGAGCTCCGGTGGTCTGTGAGCTGTCACGGAGGATAGAAAGAAAAATCACAACAACAATATAATGAATTTCTTCTGTACGCTCATTAAACTCGTTGGACTAAATTCCACCATTTTTGAGACTATTTTCATTTGTTTAGATGTTTTGTGCGTTTTGGCTTCAAGTTGTACTCAGTTAATTTGAAATGATGTAAAAGATTACACGCTACATTTAGAACAATGTATTTACATACAATGTACANGGCTTCAAGTTGTACTCAGTTAATTTGAAATGATGTAAAAGATTACACGCTACATTTAGAACAATGTATTTACATACAATGTAAATATAATTGTAATTGTACAATATAATGTACAATGTAAATATAAATATAATTGTTGAAGTTAATACGCTAAGTTAATTTGCTCAATTAAATAAAGTGTTATTAATATGATTAAACAGAATGAATACTAACTATTTTTTTTTTATTATGTAATCTTCATAAACTAATCAATATTTTAAATTTATTTTATTTAATGGAAATTTTATACTTAGTAAATCAATTATAAATATCAACACAATCAATTAGATATGTATCAACTAAAACGAAAAGATTATGTGCAACCAATTTTACTCAAATATCAGATATCTATTATCGGATATTCAAATATTACAGTAATTAATATTCATATGGTACAAATAACATAATAGACCAAAAAAAAATATAGTTATGAATATTAAAAATTTTTACTAAGCTATTTAGGGTTAATACGAGTCCATCTAGAAGACCTAAATACTTATTAAAGTCATCGAAACCTATTGATTAATGGCTAATAATAGTTATTCATCATTAGCAATATTAATTGTAAAAGATAAACGATTTAAAAATACGAAACACATACAGTGAAAAAAAATCTTGATATATTTTTAACAAGAAATACTAAATTTTATTTTTATAATATAAAATAAATTTTTTTTCTCACATTAGTGACTAAGATTATAATATAAATGAACTTTTTATGTCTCTGTGATGGAAAAGTCATAATAAATTTGTTAAAATTTTAGTCGAGTACAATTTAAATAAGTTTGGCTAATCAATTAAAAAATTATCTTGTTTTAAAAAGCCTTCTTAACAATTAATTTAAAATATAAATTCTTGTTCTGACATAAATTTTTAACATACCTTTTTCGATGACTCTATAACTGTTATCATAAAAAGGATTATCATGACTATGTGAACCGATACTGTTGAACGAATAGGTCGCATTTTTATTATTTACGTATTAAACCTCAATTTTTAGCGAGTTTGAAATGTTGATAAATTAAATAAAATGCAAAAGAGTAATTATATTAATACCAAACTATAAATACTATCCAAATTATGAAAGATTTTTCGTGATACATTTTTATCATAATATTATTTTAAAAAATGACATAATTACTTCCTTAAATAAAAAAAATAATATAATTTTTATTACAAGCACTGTTTAGTGAACAATTACAGACTGAATGTCAGAATTTGCACGTGGAAATTATCATTTTTCCAGCTTCCAAAATGGATTATGTACGGACCATAACGAGTATAATGGGGGGGAGTCGATAAATAGTAAGTAAAAAAGAGGGGCGCCATCACAATGGAAGCAATTAATCGTCCAAAAGATGCTAAAGACGAGGAAATAAAAGAATAACCATATTCAGAAAATTTAGAAGCACGTGTTATTTGTATTATTCACATTTTGTTGTTGTTTATTTGAAATATAAAACTTATTTAATACGAGTAAAGTGGTACAACTAGCCTACCCTAGGGAGCTTCTAAGAATTGAACTAGGAATTCTATGCACTAGTATACAAAAATTTTCCTAAATACTTTTGTGTTTATTCCAAGTATTTTGTGTGTAATGTTCACAAATGTATGTTTTAATATTAAAAGGTTTTTTTCATACCTATGCCTATTTTTGTGCTATTTATTGTATTTGGATGTGCTTATACATACTGTATGACTTGAATAAATAAATAATTTTATAGGACGCCTGTGTATATTTATAGTACACTTTTATATTATGTTGCAATGATATTTATCAAAAGTTTAATGTTTATGTCTTGTATAATATAGTAAAAATACTTGATGATAAAATGTCATATAAATAGGTTTACCTAAACAAAATTATTATTTTTCCAAATTCTTTTTGAGAAAATCACAACAAGAAGAGTTATCGCAATCCCAGAATAATATAAAATTTGTTTAAAAGTTAAGTAATCTGTGAATAATTAGATTAAATGTAAACTTAAAAAAAATCCGATTTTAAATCAGACAAAAGTTTTTTTAGTTCAATAGTTTTTACTTAAGATAATAAGTGTCGTATGAATTTTTAGGAGTTAGAAACATCATTCCTAATTATATTCTGAATTAATATTATGTTATTGGTATAATGTTTATATTTCCATTAAAAACTGAGTAGTACATAATTAAGAATTTTATATAAACGTTTGAATCATTTTTATTTTTTAAGAAAATTTAATATTGCACTTAAAAAAATCTTAACACAGTAAAGAGATATTATTTAACTCGATATTCATTTTACAAATAATGAATGAGGAAAAATTGTTTTACTTTAAAAATTAATAGTTTTTCATTTATTCTCAGAGCTATTAATCTAAAATAAATTGAATCAGTAAATATTTTACTCTATAAATTAATTTTGGAAAGTTCATGGAACATTAACTCCCAAACAGCATGATGAGATAAAACTATTATAAAAAAAAATAGGTTATGTTAAATGAATTATTTTCTTGAAACAGTTGCTATTTTATATGTTGAACGTATTTGATAAATTTCTACTTAGATAGCTTTTTTCACCTTTTATTTTTGTTTCTATAGAAATATATCAAGTTGTATAGCTTAATAGTTTTTAGATCGGTAATTAATTTTTCATTATATTTTGTTAATAGTATATTTTGTAATTAAAATTGTAAATCATTAAATATTATACAATTTTTATTGATATTATTTTATACTTTTGTTAATAAAACATTTACAATTCGCCCACGAAAGAATTTTCAATCTAAAGGTATTAGATAAATTGTCAACCTTAATTTGATAGAAAGTTGAACATTGTATGCTTTGTAGATAATTGTACGCTGTGAAAAAATTAATAATAATAATAATAATAATCTGTAATTAATATATTTAACAAACCGCAATAATAATTCAATAATTCACTATTAATATAATATTCGTGGTTTATATATTTATTTTTATTTTTAAATAAATTGATTAATCAAAAAATTATGTAATTTAATTGTATGTTATAAAAGAAGATTATATGCGTTGTTTGGAGACTGCTAAATAATTTGGTTGATTTAAATAATCGTAAATAATAGAAAATTTTTTATAAAGTTTAAATATTGGATCTACTATGGCAAATGTTTCAAATTGAAGGTACACTTTAAAAAAATTATGAAAAAATTTTTGTTAAATAGTGAATTAATAACTTAAAGATGTTCTTTTAATGATATCAAATACTTATTCATTTATAATTTTATCTGACAAAATAAATATTTTTATAGATCAGTAATTTAATTATACATAATAATTCAAATATGTAAATTCTAATTTTAGTAATTGAGTTATTCGTATATTTGAATTAGTCATATTGCTTAATGATTTTTAATAAGACAATTATAACAAATTAATAAAAGATATAACATCATATTGTACTTATATTTTCAAACTATAAAAAAAATATTATTTTAAAGAAACATAACGTCATTATTAATTGAAATATTCCTTCTTAAAAACTTTTCATGAACTGATAAAAAAAATGATTGTTTTTAAACAAATAGTAAACGTAATAAAATATTTTTTCTTAACTATTATAATTATCAAATAACAAAAAATGGTTGTATTTCCAAGGTCCATATTTTATATTTATTGTTATATTTTAAGGACCATTTAAATTTTATTAAACTGTTGTTATAAATGAAATATTTTTTCTTCTAACTGTAAATATAACTCTATTAAATCCTTCAGGCCAAAATATTAAAAAAACTTTAGTGGCTAAATGACACTATTAATATAATAACTACTTTAATGATGTCATTTTACTTAGTTAATTTAGTTATTTTAAATTATAATAATATTCTTGCATATTTAGAAAGCATGAATTTTATTTTTTAGTGAATAATTTCACGTTAGATTGTACAAATTTTATAAATATAAATGTATTAAAAAAGTAAAATAAATAAAAAAATGTTCGCGCCACGGTATTAACCTATTGCAAATTTAATTTGAATTTGATTATTTATAAGATGGTTTAAATAAAAATTAAAAATACATAAAACCAGGACTCTAACCGTAACATAATATTGTATTTTATGACCATGCAATGAGTTTTGTGAAAGTTTTATAAAATATAAATGCTTTGAAAACTCGGCTGCGTCAACACAGAATAATCACAAAACTATTTTAAAATCAAATTAAGTGATATGAAATTAAGATAAAATAATTCATAGTTTTAGCATGCCATTATTTCACGCTATTTTTAACAGTTTTCGTTTAGTTGAATTCAAGATTTTACGACACATATTTACTGTACTCTGTCAAATAAGAATTTTCAATAACAAAAATTCAAATTACTTAAAATTCAATATTTCAATATATTTTGATTAGTAAAAAAATATTGACACTAATTTAAGATAAATCAGGGATATCAGCAGAAAAATTTCTTAGGGGGTACAAAATTATTGACAACATCTCAAGTTATGCAGGCAAATCCCCATATTCTATGGACTAGAGAGGCGCGATCCCTCCCCCCCCTCCCCCGAAATTCATACTACAACCTACTTTTTTTTTACTGAAAATGGTATTTTAAAAGGATTATGAATTAGAAAGTCATAGAAAAAAAATGTGTTTAAATATTTATATGTATTTAAAAAAAATTATATAACTACCCCCGAAAATGTTATTATAATACGTCATCTGCATTACCGTTTACTGCATAAAATCAGTCAATACACCTATTAAATAACAACTCCCTTTCTAGAATATTAATAACGTTATTAATAATATTAACTATTTTAAATAAGCCTAGAAATAAACAGATAATTAATTTTACTTCCCTTGTCCATGGGCTGTATAAAGCCAACCTGTTTATCTCAAATGATGCTTCTGGTTTTTAAAATTTATTAGTTACAGTTATCGCAGAATGTACTTTATATAAAAAAATATTAAAAAAAAAAAAACAATTTTATATAAAAATTTTTAAATTAAAAGATTTGATAACTAGAAATGAATGTTTTGCATTAGTATTTTTGTTGGAAAAAATCCCAGGGAATTCAATGACTCCTCCTGGAGTTCCTGGAATAAATGATTGTATAAAAATAATAGATTTATAATATTTTTTTTCGTCTATTTAATAAGATTAAGTAAAAAATATTTGTAAATACTTTGTTTGTTTTTTTGTAATGACTGCTAAAAATGTAAATCAGTTTAATCAACCAACTGATTTCTCTTTATTTTAAGATTTTAAGTTAGGAATAATTAGGGCCACAGACAAAATTAGAAAATATAAATTTCATTCACACAAAAAAGGCGACAAATTTTTTGAAAAATAATGAGTTCTTTCACGGAAACATATTAAATAAAAGGATTGCGATTATAAGTTATTTTAAAAAAATATATATATAAAAAAAGCGATGATTTCTTTTGGTACTATGATTTTTATCAAGAAATGTATAACAGCATGATGTTGAACGAAGCATGTAATAAGGTGACATCGTACAAAATTAGTAAATAGATAACTGTACATAGCTGTTGCATTTTATTTTGTCTCGTTTATTTCATTGTACCTGTTGTACTATCTAATATAAACAAAAGTATTTTTATCAAAATAATATTCAAGCAAGAAAATTTGCATAGATCTACTGAAGACCGTTATGCAGGTAAATTACATCAAAATACTACAGTTTTATGATTATCGATTTTTAAATGTTACCTTTTCGTTTTTCAAACTACAAACGTAATGCTTTATTAATTCTGAAACGATCATATTTTAGATGATTTTATTTAAAGAGCCACTCGAATCCGTAAAAAAAAAAAACAAAGATGACAAAGTATATTTTGCTTTGAAATCAGTTATTGTTTATGCAACAGAAACCGCAAATCAAACGTCGCAACATACTTGACTAACATAAAAACATATTTAATATATTTTTTAGTTAAACTGTCATTATATTGCTCTCTATAAATGAAAGAAAATTGTTAGAGATTTATTTTCACAATTCTTCTCGTGGAATGTAAATTGTCGGTTGCGTTTTGCTGTACAATTTTACGACTACTATTCTTATTGAATGTTATTTAGCACGAATAAAAATCATATTTATACTAAAACGTGTTGTTTTTGATAAAAAAAAAAAACAATTTAAAGTATGAAGTTACATCGTTGTTAACTATATATTTGAATATGTAAAATTAGTTTAAATTATGTTCGACGAAAAATATTGAAATGTTTGTAATAATAGTAAATATTGATAGTAATGAAATAATGTTCAATCACGTTTTGTACGTGTAATTATATTTAAAA